TTTGGTATCACTCTGACAATACCGTACAGCAACCAAATTAGTACATACTAAATTACTCTGAATTTCATATATCTACCAACCATAAGGATTTAATTACAATCCTTAACCTAAGGTAAAAACAAACATTTCTATTTGACGAAACACTGCTTCACTGATCGGCCGGGGCGTGATGCCGACCACTCACCTCCATCTAGTGCTGAGGTCAAGAAAGAGAGGAGCTATACCTCCACTCACCCCAAGCGCCTACACGGCACGTAGCGGGACAAACTTTACTTTACTGCTTCACTGATGTCTGTCAAAGCACACTAAAAATGCACCATCTCCTTACAAAATTCCATTCAGATAGTCTTGTTACATGTGCTTGCTGCCTCCATCATCAGGGCGATGAGTAAACTCACATCAGGAAACTTCTACCAGAAGTGTGTCTACATATTTAAAGTTATAACACTTCACCTGAAGACTGTGAGCTTCCAGTGAAATCTCCTCCAGCTGGTGTCTGAGTATTGACTGAGCGAGTGGACCTAAGAAGATCAGCCAGAGGTGCACGGTGGCCCTCAGGTGTAGCCTGGTATGTCTGGAACTATAACAGGATTATGGATTAGCAGTTCTTAAACGTAGTTACAGGAAGATATAATCTTCTAAACTACAAAGCATCCCTTCACACTTTGGTTTCAGAATATCTCAGAATAACAGAGGTGATCTCATAAACTGGAAACTCTTACCTTTATTGCCCTGAAGATTATATTCCTTAGTCTATTTACTGCTCTTGAAATATAATATAGTATATGGGAACTCAAAAGCTTTTACATTTCAGATCGATATTTCTAGATAAAACAGATAAATTGCAGGAAACTACAACAGACAACTAACAGTATAACATTAAGATTAATCTTACAGATACAAGTTATAAGGAAAGTAGATTGGACTGAACTAGCTTATGGTTTCAATGGGTTAGCAGTCATCCTACAACATTATAAAACCAATTTAACAAGAAATGTATATTCTCACCTTCTCTTCTTCTCTTTCAGTGTCTTGAGCTCCACCTGCTTTGAGCACCAGCCTCTCTATCTCCTGGTTAAGTCCTTCTATCGAGTTCCTCATGGGAGGTCGAGGCACCAATGGCTTCACTGGAATGTTCACTGGGACTGCTTTACAGTGAGGTGTCCCAGCACCTGAAATAACAATTACAAAGAATACAAGGGAGGAATACAACATTCAGTAAAAGTGGCTCAGCTGTAGGAAAAATGCAGACAGCACTTCTGCTTCATATCGGGGGTGTCCCAGGTTAAAACCTCAGCCAAAAAACTGGTTATCTTGACTGAGGTCTTTCATGATTTCCCTCAGTCCCCCCAGACAACTGTTGGCATAATACCATTAAATGGGCCACAATCCCTTCTTTCCACATCATTCCAATTCATTACTCATTAACCATCCTAGTGTCATATGCTACATAATCTAGACACGGAAAGCCCTGTTGAATAAACCAGAAACAAATAATAAAAAACGATTGACGCAAGTCAGGAAATATTTAGAAGAAAGCTGACAGCCTAGTTCAAGGTATTATCCCAGGACATGACAGAAGAATATCATGTCAGGAAAATTGGTATCCTTAACAGAAATTCAAACTGGACACCTCAGGACAAATCTGGTGTACTGATTTGTTATTAATTTACAAAATATGACGAAACAATATACACATGTCCTAAAGGCTATAAAGCAATAATTTTCTTACACTGCAGGTAATATGATACATAAAGCAGCAATTACATTTTGGCTGTAACTCTTTTAACTTATACCCCTTTATCCTGGCACCAGAAAAATAACCTCAAAAACAATTTATGATATCCTGTTAAAAAATACTTGACATAGCTGTAAGAATAATGCACTCAAGCAAAAATTAAAATAATATTCAGAACGTAGCACCATGTAGTCTGGTAGATACTGACATTCACAAGAAGTTTACTACCACCATCATCAGGGTGATAAATCCTGATAATTGAGAGAGTAAATTATTCTGAAGCATCAGTCAATATCTATGAGACTACACACTGCCACCCCCCAGAGGACAGCCATCTTCACATTCGTTGCTATGAAAACCTCAAATCTCACAAACCTGGTTTTTAACCGCTGGATTTCAAACTCATAAGACTACTGCAATTCTGTGAGAACAGTAACCCACCTATGGCAGTGGCTGAAGAACTAGATGAAGAAGGGGTGTTTGTGCCAGTGCTTGGCAAGAACACTGCACTGTGTTGCGATTCACCTCCAGTTTGAACAATCAGAGCAGATGGAGGTATGGACGTAGACGTCGGTGTCGTGGCAATGGACTGAAGAATCAGACCAAATGCAGCTGTTCGCTCTCGGCTACTGGGACTTTCCTTGTTTGATCTCTGCAACCTGTACATGTATAAAGAACACTGTTAAAAGACAAACACATGAAATTCCTTCCAGAAGTTGCTAATTTTTATGACAATGTCAAACAACAAACATATAATAAAATCAGTGATAAAACAGAGTATTGGTTGGGAAACCTGAAGGAAGGAGACTGCTGGCAAGACCTAGGCATAGGTGGAATGATAACATTAAGATGAACCTTAGGAAGAGAGGAAGTGATGGAGCAAAATGGATGCAGCCTGCTCGGGACAGTCAGCTGGCAGGCTTTTGTGAACACGATAATAAACCTTCAGGTTCCATAAAGAAAGTGGGCTATTCCTTGACAAACCATCCTTTTAAATGATACCCAAACAATACGCACCTCACATTCGGAGAAACATGATGAAATCTGTACTCTTGTTCCGCCCACTCCACATACCACAGAACAGATCATGGATACTACAGCGAATAATACATATAAATTAGATGGATAATGCAAGACTTCCTAAGACAGCCTATTCTTGCAAAATCCAAGACAGCAGGTTTAAAGATTTGTGAAAAGATTGCATGACCAACTCTGGTTCTCAGAAACAACTCTGATGACCTCAGAAAGAACTTCTATTCCTCTTATTTACCAGTTACAGTTCCTTGTATAAGTCACAGAAAGAAACAACATCTGTAAGAATCTTTGTACTTTACAGATTTTCTATGAAGTTGACTTTCATCTTGAATTAGTGACAAACATATGGTCAGAAATTAAAATTATCACTTCACACAGTAAAAGTGGTAAGGCGATGGGTTAAGGGAAGCTAGTAAATGCTGTAACATTTTTTACACATGTAATTACAGATTTCCTGTGTCTACTGACTTCTCATAGTAACATACTTGCAAACAAATCTATACAATTTTTTAAAAAAATTGATAAAAATTTATGACTTGTGTTAGAGGTGTCAGCATGTTGTAAAATAAAACACAAAACATTATCAACACAGATTTCAGATGTCTGTCTGTACATCACATCCATTATCTTTTAAACCAGCTGTTTTTATTAAGTTTTTTATGGTACTGGAGGATATCCAACAAACATTTTGAATTCCAAACATCAGCAATACCAAAAGACTTTCTATAGGATCAACCTTAGCACTAGATGTACGTCTTGAAATTCTGTGTGGGGACTTGTCCTTGAAAATTGTGGAATCTTTGTATAGACAATATATTTCCAAAATCAGATACATCACTACATGAAATATATACTTTTCACACGCAGAAATAGACTTAGAGATTTTCCATTGTGAAAGGAAGCTGTTAAAAGCTTGTGGATACAGTATGAAATATAAAAAGTTGTCAGTGGAACCACGGTTCCGGAGAATTTGACGTAAATACGTTTATACGGAAAGGAAGTTTATATTTTGGCTTTATTCTAAATATTTCCTTTAAACATGTTTTACAATTGAGATAAGTTTGTTTAAGACATTGCTTATTCAACTTGAATTAATTACGCTTAAGCTGGGTCTGTGGTAGCTGAATGTAATGTAAAGTAATGTAATGAAATGTAAGGTAATGTAAGGTAAGGTAATGTAATGTAAGGTAATGTAATGTAATGTTTTATAGATAACAACAATGCCAAGTAAACAGATGACGTTTCCTAATGCCGAGTAATGAAACGTTTCCTAGGTAACAACAGTGCTGAGTAAACAGATGACGTTTCCTAGGTAACAACAATACCGAGTAAACAGATGACGTTTCCTAGGTAACAATAATGCCGAGTAAACACGACGTTTCCTAGGTAACCAGGTTACACTTTTTCGTTTCCCTTTTTTGCCGAATCACCCTTCAATATAGACGTATTTACGTCAAAAACAGCATAGGTTAGATAAAAAGGAATAGCTGACAGGGAGAAGCATGGTCAGGAATACATCCCAGCTGATTTGCCCCCAGAGAAAGAGCTACTGGTATTAGATTGGAGGCTGGGTGACCCTGTAAACCTCAAAGCTGGTCTGGATGCAGTGGAGATGAGAAAAATTCCCACTCCTGCTTGAAACGGAACCCTGGCCATTCAACGCAAAGACTAGTCGGTATATTGAGGCAGGTAGCATTAAAATTAATAATGGCAATCAACAGTGAAGTAGTTATGTCTATTTTATGGTAATACATTAGCATTTGACTGAAGGAAGCACCAGTAAACAGTCAGTCTCAAGACCAGACCCATGACCTCTAGAAAAAGAGACAGGAATGTGTTCACATCAGGCACTATCCAAAATCAACTACGTAATATCCATCACTATAAGCAATCAGCTATATGTAAACAAATTGTTTCCTAGTATGTTACACGAGTAAATATAACAAAAAATAAACAATGCAGTGCTTATCTTCTGAATTCTCTGTGGATATTTAAAAAGATACATCTGGGTTGACAAAGTCCATGGCATCATTAGGACGTGGGGTTAAACATTGGGTATAGTGTATCTTTAGTGTTGTTCATTTTGAGCACCAATAATACAAGTTTAACAGTAATGTGTATCTTAACATGTTAACATAGGATCAATTATCAAATGACAAGAAAGCAAAGAATTACTTAATGTTTAATTTTGTCACTGGTTTGATAGATGACCATATTCAAAACCAAATGGAGTGGATACAGCATAAATTATAATGGGAGAAACCAATGCAATGTGTTAACATAACTTTGTATTGTGAAAATTTCGCAATAATAAACAGATCTAATGAAGTTTAGCATCTTCACTGAGGTTTCTTATAATTTTTTTATGGGCAGATTTATTTGTTTTACTGTGAGACAACAAGGTTTACAAAAGCCTTTTTTAGGACTAAACCAGAAAAGAAATGATAAAATGAGTTAACTGTTCAAATATTTTATAGGTTTACTCCTCTTAAAGAAATAAAAATTCTTAAAGGAAGGATGTGAGGTTCTAACAATGGTGTGTATGAAGACAGCCATGTCTAGTTCCATGAAAGTAAAACCATGCGGTTCAAAATAGCTAATACTGAAATACATCATTAGCCAAGACCCTAAATAATCTCCAACCACCACTCATAAGAAATTAACAGAAATAATATACATACTATACTGATCACTGTCTCATATATTACAGAGTAAGAAAGAGATTTTAAAAGTTGCAAAAGGCTTTATTCTTTTATCTTCTGTTCCTCAGTGAGGGCTGCTAAACACAGCAGCCAACCTTGAAGTCTTCTAAAGGTGTAAAATTTACTTTTGTTTCACAGAAATAATAACTTTGGGGGAGGGGGGCATAGTGCTCTGTGAGAGTTGTTCTGCATCCTGAAGGCATGACACCACAACCTCAAAGTTAACTGAAATTAGTGTGAAATCAGGGTGATGAAGGAGGCAAGGACCTCTGAAAATTCAGGGAAAATTCTACCAAACTACACAGTGCTACAACCTAGAAGACAGCCATCTTCTTATTACTAATTATAGTGTTTTTTATGGCACAAGGTTGGTCTGCCCCAATACTAACACCTAATTTGGTAATGTCATGCTAGGTTAGTTCATTATGGCTATAACCTCATTTCAGTTTCATTTGTTTTTAGTTTTTTTTAAAAGTTTTATTAGTTTTCTGTCTTAATTTGGCTTTTGTTATACTTGGCTTGGCTAGACTTCTCATGTCTTAGGACCAATGATACGTTAAACAGTGCTTGGTGTGCAATGAAGCATGGAAAGCATCTACTTCTGGCTGTATAATTTAAACTACTGTCAAAATTATTCTGGCCCTTTACTTCTGCAAGCACCTCAATCTACTTTCGAGAATCAATACAACATGCACAGCTATCACAAGCCTGTCAATATGAAAAGCTATAGAAATGCACGATAACCATGTCAGACTGCATTCACTACTATGAGACAAGACAGATCAACTGATACCTTCTGTAAGCTGTGTTTCAGAGTTAACATTGACCTATCAGGACAACATATGTTTCCAGGTCCAGACAACAATCTTCATTCTGATAATATGAGCAGTTAATATATCCCAGTATAAAATAATAATAAAAAAAATTCAAAAGAAACAGTGATGCCAAGAGAGTAATATTCATCATGTGCTGTTTGTGAAGGGTCTAAATCAGCTGTTCACACTATGCAAGCAAATGTCATAACACAGTGCAATTTAATAAATAGTGTAAATAATCTACTGAAAGATATAACACACCTATGTCGAATATACTTTTCCAATTTATCTTCATTTCCACTAGAGTCTTGATACCGATGTGACTTCCTTTGTTCACTTGTCCATTCCTCTGTCTGGAAATAAAAGTATATATTTTCAACACTAGTTGGAATTCTTAACTTTTCACAAAAAAGAAAAAAAATGTGAATCAACCTCACTGGATATTTCTGTACAAATACTATCTTCACACAGTGTTAATGCAGACCTGAAAAAACAATGCTCTCAACTAACCTGTGTTGATTTGTCAACCAGTAAACGCCCACAGTACATAGGAATCTTCTCTCTTGGCCACTGTCCCTTCAGATAAATTGTATCCAAGGAGGCTGTACGACGGATCACATTGCTACAACTGAAACTGTTACTAGATCGAGCGTTTAGTGTTTTTGATTTTGCTGAAATAATCAAAGCAAGGCAAATAGCACATTTCAAAATCCCATACTAATCATTTTCTGCCTGTACAATGTGCAGCATGCATGCATGTTTAGGATACTGTACAGACTGTCATTTACGTTTTACTGTAATTCACCTTAAAGTACGGGCTAAAAAAACTGCACAGGAATGGTTTCTAGAAACAAAGGAATATTGTCTAAGCAATTCTAAGCAAATTAAATAATCGGTTCCATACGCCTTCTTTGTTTCGGTCATGAGCGACAACACGAATTAACTAATACTTATTAAATAATCAGCGTAAAAATACGGACAAATGATTAATTTCTATAATACATTGTCTAAAATGCAACGGGAGTACTATAATTATGAAACTGTATTATTTCGACAGTCGAATAAAGTTCCGCTACCTTTGTAACTCAACGATCCTGGGCTTCTCTGACCCGATAATGAACCGTCCGGTGAAATCACAGTTTTCCAAGCAGACGTTGGAGACAGAGTAGGGCTGTTACTTTTACTTTTTCTTAAATTACTGCCCTGTCGTAACAACGAAGACATTGGTAATGTTGCTCGCATTGGACCCTGCTTTGATGATGAGCTGGGTGAAGATTTTCGGACTCGTTGCGTTCCTTGTCCCGACATTTTGTCATGTAGACAAATGCAACCGTTTTATAGCTTACAAAGTTAATGATATGTCGTAATTAAAATGACAGCTGCACATGCAAACACAGGCACACATCCATTCAACGTAAGCTACTTAGTGATTCCCTTCTTGTACAACTACTCTACTCTCTGAAACACTTTCACAACTTGTCACTTGCGATCTTCTGCTGTCCTCGACTATTGAATCACGTAACAACAATTTGGAGATCTGATTGGTTCACATACACGCTAAAATAGCGCCATACTCAGTGATAGTGAATAATGAAATTCCAGTACCAACATATGATGGAAGTTACTAATCTGTCAAAATTGCCTTGTCTTAACTAACACTGAATGAAACGTGGGCATCATCATGTGCTTATCATTTGAAATGCTGACCTCTGAATCGTAGAAACATACCTCTAGATGTGTCTACAGGACACACTATCAATGTTAATAAGTGATCCGTGGCACAGTTTATGTAACATGATTTCCGTAGTGTCCAATGCTACCGTAGCTTCCTAGCATGCTTTAGATGATCCGTGCCACAGAAGCACGCAGTCATAATGTAAATACTGCTGAAGAACTTTATAGTTCAGGTTTAAAATTCTCACGGTTTCGACGTCTGAGAAGTTGCGCGGTGTAGTTTAGTAAATATTGGCAAGCGTTCCAAGGGTTCTGCAATCCTCCAGGCACCCTGATGATGGTGGAAGTAAGCGCCCCTGAAACGTCGGTCATTTTCCTTTGGACTTTGCATACAAGATGATAGTCATCTGCTTCTAACGTTAAGGTACTGTTCTCGATTCGTCGTTCTGGTCTTTTGGGTTTATGAATTCATCCGGGTGGTTGTTACCTATCACGGGGGAACATCGAAACTACTGTATATTTCTAAAGTTCTGTGATATTATTAATCTGTGATTGGTATTGTTTACTGGCAGCCATTGTATTGCCCATACTGAGTTTTCCATCGCAATTCTAGCCTCGACGTCAAGATTCAAAGTACCCTGAAATTTTATCTACAGTTGTAACTAACCTATCCTGTTGCAACACGTCATAATATATGACATTGTATTCGCCAAACCATACTAACCCGAGAATCACCGACAGAAACTGCAAACTTGAGAGTACGTTACCGACTGACTTGCAGCGTATTTGAATACGATAGAAATGCTCATGAATTTGCAGTACATTGTAGTGGTGGTTTTGTACCTAATCATATCAATAGACGCCATTAATTGCAAAGGTTGTGTACCTTTGGATGTATTTACTTTTGACAAGGTAGGCTTTCGCCCTGCTTACCAGTCATTAACTAACTTATTGCGGTGATACTATCAAATAAATACATTAATGATGGTTGTTCATGTAGGATAAATTACATCTTATTAGGCTTTGTTGCAACATTTTTGTGTACTGTATGACTTATCTCAGTGGTTATATTTGCCTTATTGCATGTCAGATCAAACCTATTTGACTCCTTGGTTTTTAAGCTATTGTTTTAAGTACCACATATATAATTCTTCAATTTTTGTGACATCCTGTTGTGTTGATCTGTATTATGAATAAATAACCAAACGGTGTGTTGGATTTTAAGTTGTTTTATATCATTTCAGGTAATATCAAAGTTCAAAGCAGCCATTATTAAGTTTGATGTGGCATACCCGTATGGCACCAAGCATGATGAGTTTGCAAAAGTCGCAGAAGCTGCATATACTGTTCCAGACTTGCTGGTGGGGGAGGTTGGGGTGAAGGATTATGGTGAAAAAGAAAATGCTGATCTTGCAGAACGTTATAAAGTCAACAAAGATGACTTTCCTGTACTGAAACTTTTTGTAGCTGGTTTATCTGAACCATACACATTCTCAGATCCTGAATTCACAGCTGACAATATTAAAAAGTTCATTCGAACTAAATCAAATGTTCATATTGGTTTGCCAGGTTGTCTAGAAGCATTTGATAAGATTGCAACAAAATTTTCACAAGTCCATGACCCAGAGATTAAAAAGGCACTGCTACGTGAGGCAGAAGATCTGTGGGACAAGACGACCGGAAGAGCAGACCAGAAAACTGCAGAAGTTTATGTGAAGACAATGCGAAAGGCACTGGAGAAAGGAGATGATTTTGTAGATAATGAATTGAAGAGAGTTCAAAGTCTAGCCAAGGGGAAAATGAGCAAAGAGAAGAAGGAAGAGATGCAACAGCGTATTAACATTCTACAGTCCTTTCATCATGAGGAACTGTAGCTTAGAAATTTTAAGTACTGCAGTACAGTATTGACTGGTAACAGAATTTGGACTGACATATAAATACATTCTGCGCAATGCTCACTGTATTTCAACAATGCATAGTTAGACATTCCATTTTCATGGGTAGTCAGATTCACAAATATTGGAAGAAATTAAAGTAGGAATTATTCCTATACTGTAATATGTACTGCAATATTATTACATATTTACAGAAGTGTCACTTCTAATTCTAAGTATTCCCGAACGATTCAACAAAATTTATTTATAAAATTTAAATTCCCAAGATTACTTCCTTTCTCATACATTTAAAAAATATGTAATCTATATGCAGTGGATACTTACCAGCACAGGGTGATGCAAGTAGGTGGTGGATCTCGTGTGTTTACTTCCAAGTACATTTTCTGTAAGAACAGTCTGGATTACTAGTTATCTGCACAATGCATTTAAATCAAACATATATAATATTGAGTGTGAAATGTGTTTTAGCAATAAACTCTTTTAAATATCACTATCATTTATTAGTCTTTAAGTGCACTTAAGTTTAAAGTTCTCTCTCTCATGTTTTCTAGCAATATGATCTGATGTTTAGATACCACAGCTTAACATTGACATCATGATCCTGAGTTTGATCTAGTGCATGTCCTTGCAATTATTTTCCTCTAAGATTAATATTATTAGTAACCACCCATGTACTGTTTAATGTTCCAAGCGGTCTCTGTCTCAAAAAAATATATGCATTCATTTTCCCTTCTTGAGCTACATGTTTGTCCCAATGCACCTCTTCATTTGAATATAGGAACCTGAGTATTAGTACTTTCATCATAAGTTTAGTTGAGAGTTCCCAAATCTAATATTTAGATGAATCAATATGATTATACCAAACAGTTACATTAACTTCATATTTATTCCATTCAGTGAAAGTATAAAATACAAATGCATATCTTAAGAAGACAACTTTAGGGTTTTTCACTCTTTAATCACGGTTTCAAAGCAAATGTAAAAAGAAAATTATTCCTGCACAGATTTAACATACTATTCAAACCTGCCTTGGTGCTCTGGCACCTTGAATGATTAATACACCATTCCAAGTCAGCCAGTCCAGTTTTCACCTTTTCCTCATGTACAGCACATAAACTAATATTTTATTCATATACACGATGATTCATATAATTAGTATAGTAATTTTAAAGGCATGATAAGCAAGGAAAATGAGCCTTAAATACTCTCCAATGCATGCTTTTGGTACAATCCATAGCAGAAGAATCTGATAATCCTGAAAACAGCAGATATTCCATAATAAGATGTGGTACTTTATGAACTTTACCTTTACAATACAGTGGAAATTTTGTACAATACCTGCTGATGTTTTACACACAAATTTAACTGCAGGCTTTCATCAGTACCTTTTTACTTGACACTATGAACCAAACTTTTAAATATTATGTAGAAGAGTTTTGTGCTATAAGGAGTAAAAAATTAGATTACCAGCAACATAATAATGCAGTTCTACATTTAAATGTGAGATTTATGACCTTTAATTTTAATAACACTCGACTCTATTCACAATGTAATGTTCAATAAGAATTCTGCAGTTACTGTTGAAACTAAATGGGTAAACAAATTTACTTCAGTACATTTTACTGAGAATACTTGTCCATAGGACATAACTGTAAATTTTAAACAAATTTGACTAACCAAATTCTTAGCATACAGCATTATTTAAATATATAGACATTTAAAATTTCTTAAAATCCCATAAGTACCTTCCTGGCCTCTGCCCATCTGGTAAAGATGTACGATCCATTTCTGAGGTGAAAGCACCCAGAGTGGATTACTGTCATTGAAAGATGATGAGAACAACAGACAGCAGAAAGGATCCACAGTTAATGTGGACTATGAAGCACAATGGTAGCCCAGTATTCTTCACATTCCCAAAGGTCAATCACTGGCAGAGATGAAGGATTACTGAATTTACAGAAATTCCACATGCCACCACATTATGAGTTGTAGCTCCACTTCTGGGACACATATTGCCCTCTGAAGCTTATATTTTAAAGTTATACTGGGTAATTGGGGGGGGGGGGGGGGGGAGAGAGAGAGAGAGAGAGAGAAATACTATAAACAGATTGAAATATTTTAGCTGATCCTTTACTAAAACCAACAGCAAGCTATGATGCTTATAAACATCCACACAAACAAAATATTAAACTACATCTTGAAAAGAAACAGGCTACTGTATTGTCTTGCTTATATTCACTCATACATAAAAATGTGGTAAAATGTCACTTTTGCCAATTATATTACTGCATGATAGATAATTAAAAATGTCTTTGAGTTGTCACTTTGAATCTGGTTTTAAACTGCAAAAGGAAACATGTAAATTCCCAATAAGGAAATATGTGTGGAAAGAAATTACCCACAAATCTGTGTCAACTATATAAATGGACTCTAAGCTAGTAGCAACAGAAGTAGAAAATTATAACACACCAACCTTAAATGAATATTACATAAATAATGCATGCAATTCAAAATAGTAATTATTACTTACATTTTTCATTACAAGCGGTGATCAACCGGAAGAAGTTTAACAAAGTTTAATAATTATGGTATGTTTAAAATATGTAGGATTGTGATGTTGAAGGTATTTTAGACCAAGAGAAATTTGTAATGTTGTGCATGTGAAGAAACGTTACAGAACGCAGAAAAAATTAGACATACTTGTATAGTGGCCTTATTTTGGTTTCTTGCTCTGAAACCTGTGAAAAATGTCAGTAATAATTCTTCATAAAATTACAAGTTTTGAAACAGTTCACATAATTAGCTTATATAAAATGCTTGATATGAATTGCACACAGTACTTTTGTAATACTGTACTTGAGGTTGGTATGTAATTTTACTTTAATTGGTCACATTCTAGTTCTGTTGTGACTAGCTACAGTCAATTTTTTAAATTATCAAGTTGGTTTCACCAATGAATCATGCGTCAGTACCAAACTTAGTCTGCTGCAGTAGGCTCTGTCTGATTACCAACTTCACTGGTGTCAGATTTTCCTGCTACATTATCACTGTCTGATGTCCCCTTTTCATCCACTGTCAACTTCTCCAGATCACTTGTCAGCTTGTCTGCCTCTGTCTGAGTATTGTCACCTGACTTTGGTTCGATCTCTTCGACTGATCCAGATTCATCAGCGTCATCATCATCATCATCCTCATCGTCATCTGTATCTTTTGACACTGAAAGTGACAAATTTCTAATGTAGCAAACTCCAAATAAACTGTTTCTTCAACATACTGATATGCAAGCCTCACAAGCTGATACATTTCAAACACACTACAATATGCTTCATGAACTGCATGTCAGACAATTTATCATTTCACTTTGCCATGCGTTCTGGACCTCAAACATCAGAACAGTGATTTATCCAGTCACCAACAGATGTGTCACATGTTAAGCGGCCCATCCACGTACAAGTCTGAATTGCGAGTCTGGCTCGGCGAGCTTGACTCGTGAGCTGGAGTCGGATATATTTCACCACACATGCATAGCAGACTCCCAAACTTAAGCGGCCCATCCACGTACAAGTTTGACTCAATGGAACCCGAGCCGAGCCGGACTCGCAAGCCAGACTCGTACGTGGATGGGCCACTTTAGAAACTGAAGGCAGCAAGCACACAACTAATGTGAGCAAACACATGTACAGTGGATCAAAAATAACTCTGAGCTTGAGCCATATCATAATAAGAAGAGAAGGAAAGGGCAAGAAGGAGAAAGAAGGCAGAAAGTCAGAGCACATTTAATGCAACTGGAAAAATATTTTCCCTTTCAACTTCGACACAATCAGTGGCCTTTTAACGCACTGACTTTTAAACTACATTATATCACATGAACAAAAGAAACAGTAAAGCACTAGCAATGCAAGAAACATGGTTGTATTTGTAATAATTAACAAAGCTTGGAGTTATTTTGCATCCATTGTACAGAACAAGTATGTTACCATTTCAAACAACACCGGATTGAATTAATAATATAATGGCTTAAAGACACATCTGCTGTTGGCTCATATTATCCAACATTGTTTTATTACCTTATCTGTACTCTCACTTAAAAATACTATAGCAGTATAAAGTCCCGCGCCATAGCCGCGCGGTCTGAGGCATCACGCTTCGGACCGGCGATACGGAATGTGCGCTGGTTCGAGTCTCGGGGGAGAAGAAATTTTCTCATGAGCTTTCGACCAGTGTATGGGACCGGTTCCAACCCAGCATCGTGAGAAAATTGGGCAGCTACAATAAGTAGCGTAATCCGGTCAGGAAAGCTAGCAATGGCTGGGGGTTCGTCGTGCTGACCACAAGTCACCCTGTATCTGGTTGGATGATCGTTCACCTCTGCTTAGGCATGTGAACGTGAGGCCAGCAGTCAAGCTAGTCGGCTTTGGCTCTCTGGAGCTGTTACGCCACGGATTTATTTTTATTTATTTATTTATAGCAGTATAATTTTCACTATAAATGAGTTAAATTTATCCTGGAGAAAGGCATTAAAAAGGGCTGGCTGACAAACTTCCTACAAGACTTCTCATACTTTTTTTATGGCCAATTGAAACAAAGATACTTCAAGAGAATGAAAATAAAGCAAGCTCCAACTTAAAAAAGAAGACATATGAAAAAAGTGACAGTGGAACCACGGTTCCGGAGAATTTGACGTAAATACGTCTATACGGAAAGGAAGTATATATATTGGCTTTATTCTAAATATTTCCTTTATACATGCTTTACAATTGCGTAAAGTTTGATTAAGACATTGCTTATTTAACTTGAATTAGTTACGCTTAAGATGGGTATGTGGTAGATGAATGTAATGTAAAGTAATGTATTGTATTGTAATGTAATGTAACGTTTCCTAGGTAACAACAATGCTGAGTAAACAGATGACGTTTCCTAGGTAACAATAATGTCGAGTAAACACGACGTTCCCTAGGTAACCATTATTATCGGATCTTACAGATTTATCTGTAACTTTTTCGTTACACCTTTTTGTTTCCCTTTTTTGCCGAATGGCCCTTCCTTATAGACGTATTTATGTCAAAAACGACAGCGATTGCCACAGATTAGCACCAGCCAAGGAATTTTTGTGAGGCTTGTATATGGCCTTCGCATTTACAGGTGGTAATTGTCGAAGATTTCCACAAAATATTACATTCATTCCCCCAAATGGTTTATCATATTTATTACATATTGTCTGTAATCTCGCATTTATAGTGTGTAAAATATTAGCACCAATCATGCTTACTTCGTCCACGAACAACATTTCAACGTTATGAAATGCTGATCTGTACATTTGCAACGTCTCCCTACTAAGTCCCCCTTGCTTTCTTGACGGAAATTCTAAACGCAGAGTGAACTGTAGTACCACCTACGTTTTGTAGGTAACACAACAATGCCAAGTAAATTGATGACGTTTCTTAGGTAACAATAATGTTGAGTAAAGAGATGACGTTTCGTAGGTAGCAATAATGCCGAGTAAACAGACGACGTTCCCTAGGTAACCATTGTTACACTTTTTTGCTGAATGACCCTTCCTTATAGACGTATTTACGTCAAAAAAATGCAATCACATTACTTACATTCCTTAGCATAAATTTCACACTGTGTTTCCACTATCATCTTGGCCTCTTCAAATTTATCCTTCCACTTCTTGGCATCTAGAAATTAAAAAAACTTTTAATGTAACTTACTTCAAACTATGAGCAAAAAATTAAGGCAAATACCTGGTCTTCATACATCTGTAAATTTACCATAGGAAAAGAACTATCACAGAAAACAAGATGCTCAATTTATCAACATATTTAAAAAGTAAATACTTTTCTAAAAAAACAAATAAATACATGGTAATACCAGATAAGCTTATAATTTCCCCATTTAACCTTTTCACATATTTATTAAATTCTGTCATATTCAGTGATTTGCAAAGAAGTTTTAAAGAAATTAAAACAACAATCATCAACTCCACAGCTAAATCCCTTAACCTATCTTAATCCTAAGGTCACACCAATTTTCATTTTGGTAACGTTCACTCTAACCTGTCTCGAATGATGTGAAATTTACAATATGCTAAAGAATAATTCTTACCAAATTGTAATGAATGCCATGTCTTTCTGCATGCTGATATTCCAGTTTTGGTGATGTTCTATTGATATTGACTTTTGTATGAAATACATACAATTTCTTTTCCTTAATTTCACAATACACGATAACATTATTTTAATTACAAAACTGCATAATACGGCATAGGTCATCTCTCTGTGACAAGAATTAACTTTACCAGAATTTATGCCACAACTGTGTTTATCATGTCACAACAAGTATCACTAAACAATGAAATCATAAGCCTCAAGAACACATCTTTCGAGAAAAATGGAAATGAAGCAAAATATCCAATTTTACCTGCCTTTTCCATAACATAAGCAATATGCTGAACTTACAATTTCAGCAAAAATATGTTTCAAAGAAATTTATCTTGTAAACTGACGGGTCTCAAAATATGGAGAAAAGATCTGCTTATATTCACTGGTATGTTCTGAGAAGGATGTACTACTGAACTGTAACATGGACTCACATAGTACCCAATTAACTCAAGTAATATTAAAACATACATACTCTCTGGATTTGTAAATTTGATGGCTAAGAGTTCAGGTCGAATCTCTTCATCTCGCACGATCACTACCACAGTTTGGTTTTAGTTCCATCCAAGGTGTCACTGAAGCAAAATGAAAAACCAAGACACAACATATTCAGTATAGTGTTTACCTTACAAGTGATGTTTAAAAGGCTTAGGCAGTCAGTTCCTCTGAAACAGTGGTCAATATCGACCAGTCTACACCATGCTACATCCCAGAAGATAACCATCTTCAAATCTCTGTAGTCCTTTGTCAAAAGTTACTGGACAAGCAAACATCTGTATATTTAACAATGCAATGACCAGCTGCACTAAAAAAAATTATAACTGTTTCTGTTGAGATTAATAAATACACATATTTAATTTATTAACAGATTATTATGATTAAGTCAGGTTAAACTACAATGTTTTATGCTCAGTCCACATCGATTAAACTCAATTCAGAGACATGGGACTGTAGCCACCACATTGCTACAGAAAAAGGAATGACATACCATAATGGTTGGCACATATCTTAAGAGTCTTGTCTCTACGCATTACAACACGGACACAGTTCTTCTCTGAATGTCGGAGAAGTTTCACATCTCCAGTTCCTCTTTCCTTCCACTCTGGTGGTGATTCAGTTGTATCATAACGGAACAACTTTGCTCGCCTACCAACACAGAAATTCAAAAGGATGTTAAATGAAGTATGCCACAGTACAATGGTTACATTTCTTACAAGGTAAAAAACAGTCCGAATAGTTCGGAAAAGACTAATATGACAGGAAAATACTAACAATTTAATCATTTCAATTTCATCCTCTTCCATTGTTGATACTGTAACCTCAGGCAAAGTAATAACTGGCTCAAAATGAGGATCGTTTTCGGATGTTGTGGAATTATCAAGGTTTACAGCTACTCCAGTTACACCCTGAAAATAAATGTCATATTAAAAAAATGCACTGTAAATTTGAACTCTACATGATTCATAACAAACTGCGGTGGCCGGTCATGCCTACAAAAAAATCTGTACTACTTTTAAAAAATCAAATGCCTTGTTATCTTTCTCTCTTAGTATCATCCATCATAAAGAATAAATAATTTTTGATGTTTACCTTATCATCTGCCATTTTTACACAACCGCTCAAAACAATACCACCAAACACAACAAAAATACACACGCGTTTCTATTTCTACGAACAGCTTCATTAACTGCCTTCTTCGTTGCTGCCTTATCTCTGACTCTTCTTCACGGATTACCTGCATAATAGTAGTTCACCATCCGAAACATAGATAACCTAATTGAACACGGATCATGTACAAACGTCAGGATTGATCTACAAGAAGAATATCAATATTTTTCAGCTTTGATGTGCTACGTTGCAGAAATACTTCACAGCAATGTAAATGTGTATTGTGGGTTGTGATATCACGTACAATAATGGCTAGAAGACCACATATCACATCCCAATAACCGAACAATACACATTCCAACGTTGCATAGCCTGATAGTGCGAGTTTGTTCAATATTCAATTCGCCAGCACTTCGCTGCCGATCAAAATACAGGTTAGCAATTTATACCTGTTATGGCTTCAGTCATTTTCAGGTTGACTTTGATCAAACTGCCTTGAGCGCAAAGGCTAATTTGTCACTGTCTCGAAGTAAAAAGAGAAACTACTAATAATGGGACGTACCCGCAATGATATATACTATATGTACACTTCTATACATTGTATGTAACAATCACAACTTCAATACGGTTAACATACACAGGAGCCTATTTAGCGCGCGCGTCTACTACCAAAATGTTTCAGAATTGGTGTTCTTACGATTTTATTTATGCTTACTAGCACTTCATATCAACATAAATACATGCATAAACGTTACTTACGTTGTACATCGCTTGATAGCCACTGGGTTGGGCGCAAAGTGGTGAGCTCTTTGTTTAGCAGTGTTCAACCCCTGGGCATTGTTGTGACTGCAAGTATCACTACAAGTGGAACAAAAAATTCAGTGGAACCACGGTTCCGGAGAATATACGTCTCTGTATTTAAATTATATTTAAGCAATAAATACAGTGAAAGGAAGGTAGCTGAATGGAATGAAGCGTAATGTCAAAATTATCTAGTCTAAGATGCACTTCTTCTACATGCGATTCACAGCTCAGCTCTTTCCGCAATAACGAATGCGGATTGTTGGTGGCAGTAATGTAACACAACATGTAACGCAAGCTGACCAATGTTGTCCATCCATATTTACATTGTTGATATGGATCTTACATGTTTTTCTAGGTAACAATGCCGAGTAAACACGACGTTCCATAGGTAACCATTGTTGTCGATTTGTTGATACGGATCTTACACTTTTTTTGCCAAATGACCCTTCTGTCTAGACATATTTACGTCAAAAAGTATCCCATGTTAAAAAGGCAGGTCAGCAGTGTCATGTACAGTGGTGTTCTGCCCCTTAGCTCTCTAGTGGTAGAAAGTACAGAAACAATGAGAAGCATGAATTAAGTAGACAATACAAAACACTTTTACATCTTTCATGATTTTCATAATGAAAGGTCCTATAATGTTATCCTTTCATGTATCTAATGCAAAAAACATGAAAATCATTAAGGTAGGTTATACACGTGATATTAGATCAGCATTTGTCTAACTTCTGTGGCAGAGTGTGCACATGACATTACTCAAGCACTAGGTGAGTAATGTCCTTATCCAATGTACATAAGCACAAATTTAATGAAAGTCAGTAAGATGGTTTCAAAGAGATAGAGGACATACAGCAATCTCATAAGCCAAAGAAAGGAGTAGGTTAAAAGTTTGAATAGTATGTGCATGTATCCACTCCCATGCCCATCTTCAGTAGTTCTTTCAACCAGCAGAGTCAACAAAACATAAAAGCCATGCTGGTGAAGGTAAGAAGCATTCATCAGAAAGCAATGTGAAAAGTAACACAACAAATAGCAGATTGTGTTTTATGTAATTTGTACTGTTCTTCTCCCCTACTATACAGAGTTGACTGATTCAGCATAAACAATTTCCACAAAACAATAGTTTTTTTCCCCCAAAGAATTCTTTTAACTTTGCTCATTTTTGGGAGTCACTTCCCATGATTCCTAAGCCATGTTTTATATGCATGGGAAGACAGCTCCTGATTGAACCCCATGTATCTGTGAGGATTGTAATGGCAGTGACAAACAATGCAAAAAACATGAGTGTCCTAGGCAGGACTTGATCCCTTGACTAGGATTATATATATTTCTTTAATTGTGAGCAAGTGGGATTCGCTGAAAAGAAATTATATGAAACATTTATGAAGAACACAGTATGTAAAAAAGAAGTGACTTAGTGGCATATCATGTCTCACAAATGCATATAAGGCTCCAAAAATGTAAGACACTTGCACAAAAATTTCACCATAATGTTTCTACACTACTTTCTTATCACATATTCAAAACATCTTGGCTTTTATTTTTCTTCCCTTCCCTAGTCATACATTTCTATAATGAACACATGGTCATGTACTCTGTTGTGGCACATCTCTCTCTATGTCCTGATTTAAAGGTGGCAGTCAGAATTTATGGAGATTATTTTTAGTTAAAAAATCCTTTACTACTGTACACAAGTTTTCATTACAGTAATATATCTGAGAAATGTCCACTATTAATGATGGGTCAATTTAACATTTCAGAGTTTGTATTACATGCTAAGTACTGTGCCTTCAATCTATCTAAACCAGGAGCTCTCAACCTTTCAAGACTTCGGGGCTGCATTCCCTGTTTCATATCAACTCATGGGCCACCGAATTATAAATTAGAACAAGCTTACTATTGCAAACATGTTCACATATTACTCAACAATCTTCGTTAAAAAAATGGTTGATCTGTTTTTATTAATTATTCACATAAAATATTTAATTTTGGTAGTTAATATTTTTCATTACACAAGTGATACAGTATTATGAAAAGGCACTTGGGTTGCAGAAAAGACATTGGCAGGTCCCATGAGGCCTTTAGGTTGAGAACCGCAGAATTAACAATTTCAACATATACTACTATATGTTACCTATGGCTTTAAAAACCTCTTTTGATGATTATGATACACACTGATGCTACTCAATATTTGCGCTACAGTTTAATACAAATACTGGGCCCTAAGGTAAAGCTATGAAATGTATCTTGTAAGTTTACAAGACGTTACAATAGTTTGGTGGATGTAGGTTAGTGTATGTACATTAAACCAGTCTGATACAAAGTCAGTGTTTTTCTGTCACTGCCACTAAATTGTAGCTCAGCTTTCAATGTCTGCTTATTTTATAACAGTTGAAGATACGAGTTACCTGACAAGATGTGAAACTAATTTAAGTCATTTAATTTCAAGCACTGTTTAATAGGCAGTGAAAGAGTTGATCATTATCAGTGGAAACAAACTCCAAGATCAATATGTCTTCCAGTTCAAGGAAAAATTAAAATCTAAGGACATTTCCAGCTGTCCTTCACCAGAGTTTAAAAAAGTAGCACTTCAGTTACACTTCGTGTGACATACTGGGGTTTTCAGTTCTCGTCAGCAGGTGCTGGAAGATCAGCATTTCCAATGCTGGCAGCACGACTTCTTTTCCCTTGTCCTCCAGACACTTGACAGCGATGTAACATGGCCTCCTGATATGCCTTCCGTACTGCCTTACGATCTGTTGGTTTACGAGACTCTGTCAGTTTGGCCTGATCAACCTCTGTTGCTACTCCAAGTGGCTCAAGTTTGTTGCGTGGTAGCCACTGCCTGTAAAACCAACATTCATTGAGATTAGAAACGTGTGTGGATTTTGAGAATATCCTGAGTCACGTCTATATGTAAATACAAAGAACAGCTTGTCATCAATGTTAACCCATTCACTGCTCCTTGAAGTTCATATGTTTAATGACATATTAACCCTTCATTATTGACTCAGTGCTCCAGGTTATGAATGAGGGTAATTTGATGGAACATGGCAATTTATTAAAAATGCTACTAACATATACTTTTACTAATAGATTCATGTATTATTCAACTTATTTTTTAATAAAATCAGTCATTAGTGACATATCTGAAAGTGCTTTCATTTGAGTAATTTTTGAGTACCAGGTTTAATGTCTGTTGCTGCAATTCACATACATCCCTCCAAATATCTATAAGAAAGACACATTCTAAAGTAGTACAAAAAATATATGTGGGTTGCACAAACCACAATGGTAAGCTGCAGGCTGAGAAACCCTGACCCAACATGTCCATAGTATTTCAACATATGAAGTTTCTGGTGAGCCATGTTCAGAATCTTACAGATGTATGCTGAGTCATGATAAAGTAACAAGTTCATGATAACTCAACATGTCTCACTTGCACAAATCAGAATCAGGGTCATGCTCTGTTCCCATATTATTAAAATTGGTCAAGAATTTACTTTAACTTGCATAACACATAAAAGTTCTTGGCTTTAACTTTACCTGTGGTAATACTTTCTGAGCTAAGTAGGTTTTTAGGTATGGATATTAAAGTAGTTTTAATTTCATAAATAATATTAAGTCTTATTCACTTCCAAATACACTACTATAAAGGTAGCTCCTGCTCAGGACTGATAAAAATCAAATTTTATCAATTTATGGTTACCTAAATTACACACACACAAATTACTTCTGATTCCTCAGTTAGAGATTCAGTTTCCATTTATTTTGAAATATGACTCATGAATGCTATTTCTAATAGTTGCAAATAATAATTAACAATCTTAAGATTCAAAACTGTTACCTTACCATGTGCGCTTTGTATCAAAGAAGAGTACAAGATATACAGGCTCCTCATAGTTCAATGCAAGTGCCAGTACATCAGCTGGAGGTGCTGGTATTGGGACTCCCTTATGTAAATACCCAGCACGAGGCATTTTTGGGTTGATTATCTAAAATAATAAGAAATTTATAATAATGATAACAATAATAATGACATAGAAGCAAGTGGCATTTGGCCATACATTCCTGTCGACAGTTTAGTGCCCAATATTAACATCCGTACGACAATACCACATATCAGTTTGCAAGAAACGAGCACTGAACACTGACAACTTACAACAAATACAATGTTCAGTGTACTGTTACTTACCAGCGCAGGGTACCAAGGGTATCCTCGACATTTAGCCCACACTAGGTCTAGAGGTTCCAGTGAACCACTACTTGCGCCTTCTTCTTCCCCCGAAGAATCACCTCCTGAAGCACCCCTCTGTTGCAGGTCAATACTTGAGCTACCACCATCCTCACTACTACCTGTGCTGCCTTCTGACGTCGAGCAACTTGAACATGTTGAGTCTGATTGTGTCTCTTCATCTGTCAATCTGGAAATTTTCCAAGATAACTTTTCTTTATACATGACAGTATGTGGTTTCTAAATGTCTCTCAAACCCACCTAGCAAATTCAGACTTTCTACTTCATTTGCTGGAAGTTTTCAGTTTCATGTAGAGGCGACCCTCGTTACACAAATTTTCGCTATCTGTGTCTTTGTTTATCCATGGTTTTAGTTCAGTACAGTAGAGTCCTGATTATCCAACCAAAATGGGACAGAAGGATGACTGGATAATAAAACAGTTTGATAATACAGAAGACAAAGACAAAAATTACGGTAAATATCAACTCAATTTTTATACAGTTTACAATAGTATTAAATTACAAAGAAAAGAAAATACAATACAATACAATATAATACAGCATCAAATGAAAAATAGTAAAAACAAAAATATGATTTAACATAATGTAAATTTGTAAGTCAAGGAGTTTCAAGAAATTAGTATTTGCTTCTGATGAGCCTCCTTCCTTTTCTTTGCAGTAAGTTCATGCCAGTGCCTGAACAGTAGATCCATAATGGCCGCCTCCCTTTGTTGTTAAACTTAAACAAATTCAATAGAATTAATTCCTTCACTATGATTCACAGCACATTGGATAAAATGCAGTCAGATAAATTAAGGTTGGATAATTGGGACTCTATCCTATCTGCAGCCAAATTCTACCAGGGAATCTGATGCAGATGATAAGCTTTACATCTAAGAATTCTTGTGCCAGTTTGACATAAAATGGGTATTGTTGTATGCTTCCCATTTGATATGTTTCTGTTATACGGTGAAATTTGCAGGATTACCAACCCTGTATACAATAAGTCACCCACACTGAAAGAAAGCTGACAAAAGGGAAAAATTTAAATAATTTACCAATAACTTGACCTTCCAATTCAATGGAATGAGGAACAATATAAACTTGTCCTGGGATCCACAATGTGTCTACAGTTGATAAGTGAGAATTTGCATATGGTGGCCTTGATTTACCATATTACCCTCTTGTGACCAGTGTTTGCTTATATGCTGTTTTCACAGGCACCATTGAACAACCTCAAATGGGTTAGCTCCACCAAGTCATTTTCTGCAAGTCCTCTTCTGTTTCCCAGATAACTATCCCCTCTAACATTAGAGTGTGAAATATCTTAGATTGTCCTTCCATCAATATTACTGTGATGGACCCTTGCACAAATACAATCTATAAACCACTAACCTCCTCCGCCCCGTCTGTAGACTGTGAAGCTCTCTGAACATGGCAAGGGTGGGGCAGGCATCAACATGCTTGCATGATCACTATCCCCTGTTCCTGCTAATAGAAGGTTTGGCTCAACATGAGAACTGGAACTTGAGCACTGATTCATTACAGCATCCAAGTTTTTACGGGGTCGACCAACACGCCGTCGGCTAGATATTAGTGATGAACCACTGCACCTGAAACAATAAGTTTTAACTAAAATCAGTCAAAAGATTTTGTCTTGAAAAGCTGATGATTTCAGAACATTCTGAAAACAGACAACTGTTTATTTGGGTAGATGGAGCATTAAATGCTGTAAGAGCATTGACCAGACATTTTGTAAATACTGTGAATGTTCTCATAAGAAATGTATATAATTTTACATTATTATATATTCTAATACAAATTAAAAGATATATATTTTCTTTCACTGAAAGCCACAAAATGACAAAAGGAAGTGTTCAAAGAGAGTGTCACACACTATTATATAAATAACTACAAAACTATTACCTATATCAATTAGATCAACAAGAAAGGGGCAGGGAATATTTAGGAAGAAGAGCCACAGATTTATAGATGTAGGGATAAGTGGAAACCTTAGTTACACTGACATGTTTTCAATTAAGAGACAATAACTATTAGAAAACCATTTGGAATAAATTATTATTTTTTGGAATAAGAGTGCTGGAGAATATGTGTTATGAGTTTAAGGATAAGACAATATTTGTGTACTGTGTGAGTCCATTACTGTGACAGTTGATTTCTCTTTAGATCACAAAACTTGCATGACAGACAAAACAGAAATAAAAAATGTGTCACATACAGTTCTTTCCTCCTCATAAAGACGATATATTTTATTTTATTTTATTTATAGTTTTCTTTAACAATGCTTTTATAATCTCAGACTGTATAGCATCAAATGAGATGACAGTGAATTATGCTCCTGTAACTTTCCACATGTTGTTGAGTAATGTAAGTGATCTATTTTTAACTACGTTTCCTACATATATACAGTGGTTAAGATAAAAGTATGCATTCCACATCTTTCAGAAGTAGATTGCAAGGGGATCAGAAGAGGGAAGGGGTAGAATCTGCTTATAAATAACTGTATGAAGACAACACTAAAACAATTTTACTTTAAAGAATGAAGGATAGAAGATAATTTATTTTTAAAATAGTGAAGAAGGAAGAACATCTAGTTTAATATTATCATTAGTGATTTTTAACATAAACTCACATGCTGACTGAACTGTTAGCCCCACCATGTGTACCACTGTGCGTGTCTGGCTTTTTAATTGCTGAAGCAGCAGCAGCAGCCTTACGAGTGAACAGCACAGCTGTACGACGATTTACACCAGATGGAGATACAGATGTAAGTTGTGACACTGTGCTTGGCTGTGTCTGTTCAGAAGACACAGTTAATTTGACTGGGGTTGTTGGAGCACCTAGCCCTCCAGACAAATCTGTGAAAACACAACAAATGTAGAAAATAAACTTACTTTAATAGCATGTATATTCTAAATGGGTATTTTTTTTATAATTTTCTACACTCAGAATGCAGTGTGTCCAATAACTTGTGTGTATGAATTTATTCACCCAGTAACATAGTATTTATAGAGTATCACATTCAATGACAGTTAACTCAAGCAACAGTTTAGAAATGCACTGTAAGGTTACATTACTTAATGGAATTACTACAATGTATGTACAGATGGTACCATGGAATCACACCAAAAGTTGGCCAGACATGATACGTATATAAACAGTGACACAAAGTAGCTCAAACGTTCATGTACCAACAGTCAGGAGATGAATGAAACAAGTGTTACAAACATGTAACAGAAGTAAAAATTGTAAATTCCAGAATATAGTACATCATGTTTGGGATCAAAAAACACAAACTTCAAATTAAAATAAATGTTAATTTTGTGGCGTTTGTTACATACCTCCAGGGAAAATAAATTTATATCAGTGGCATACAAAACACCTGGCTTTGAGCTAAAAATTTCATAATTTTCAGACAAGGACTTAATTGCACTGACACTACATGAGCTTGAATTATGGAAAAGATATTTCATTGATTTCAAAATCTAAATTATCTATTGCTAGAAATACTCTAATGCCACTAACCTTTCAAGCACTTACATTATTCATGTTCAAATGAACTGCTTCTGTCTTCTAGAAAACAACATCTCACGAAGAACAAAATGTGAAGCTAAATGAGATGGCAGCACAGTATTATAAGAATCTGAACAATGATGAGTACCCAAGCTTCACAATATATCCATGGGAAAATAATTTCCAAATTTCATTGCCACAAAAGAGAATATGGATGCTGTATCTGTTACAAGAACCTCAACACCATCATTTATTACATTCTTCTCTTCTTATGTTTATATAAATATCATCCAGGTTTCTTTTATGTTAAATCTCAAAACTCTTTTTTCTGAGGGTTAGCCCTTCTTATAAAATTTTCTGTTGAAACACAAAAGTTGAAAAATGACCAAAAGTATGTTTTTAATAGTGACAGCGTGATTCAGTTCAGTCTTGTTACCTTGTGCACTGGAGTCTAACACTGACTGAGACCCACTGCCACTAACTGCACTGTTTGAAATGAGAGGAGTAGATGCAGTAGTAGTTGCTGCTTCTGAACTTGTGATTGAGTCAGCACCTTCATCTGATTGTCGTTTGCCTCCCATTTTCTTGCGTCCACGCCCACTTTTCTGTTTGCCACTGCTCTGCACAGCATTAGTTGGGGATGCTACTATATAAAAACAATACTTCTAAAAAAATGAATCTTTTATCATTTATGCCTAAAACAAAGGAGGATTACCTGTAACCTGTTCATAAGTTCTGGTAACTTAATATGAAATGCAAACTTTAACTATGCTGTCCTGCAGCAAAATCATGAAGTTCCTCTGAGCGTGGAATACTTAATTCAACGACTCATTTACCCTGGTCTATAAATGTATCTGACTGTTATACTTATTATAGTAATTTACTCTTTTTATAACTTATTCTTCATTTATTATAAAAACACAAAGTATGATGTATCTGTGTGTATGTCTTCTGATAATATTTCAACCAAATTACTCTATTTCATCAAACTTGGTCTAAATATCATATCACTGTATACCAGCCATATACTTTTAATTACCTAACAAATAACATCAAGATAATGTCTGCATGAACTTCTGTCACAGGAAGACTAGTACATTCAATGCATGAACCAAATATTTTGTGTGATGATAGACTTTCAACAAAATATGCAAAATTTGTTGGGGTAATGTTTTTAAAATGCAAAATAACCTAGTGATCATACAATGTCTAAAGACATGTATGCAGTTATAACTCATGAATTACTGTACACAAAGTCCAGCCATTGCTGTATATGGAACTCAATATATTTACATATCATAAACATACCTACAAAATGCATAAAACTATAGAGTTCAAAGTGCCCATGCACATTTTTCTAAGATCTCACCAAGTATCACAATAACAGACTTCTTGTAATTTTATAAATGAAGAGCATTCATGGACAAATTAGACAGAAACACCATTTACTAAACATGTTTGACCTTTTGTACTTCCATGAAAGCTAGATCAAAATCTACATTGACAAACTGTTAAAATCAAGACGGTGATTGCGGTTTTCTGGGCTATGATGACATGGTTACAAAAGTTTCAGAAGAAAGACCAACTCTGAAGATGCATAACACATTTGTCCAAAATTTTGATAACCATATACAAGACAATATGGTGTCATAACCTAGAAGACAATAAACAATGTATATGCCACTGTAATAACCTCAAATCTCTGGAATAAAATGATGGAACCATAATGAGAGAAAGTGAAATGTTCTAGCTTTAACATAAACAGAAAAATAAAAACTAAGAGAGGGCCTTTTTGGTTTCAAGGTAGAAAAAGTTAGTACAAGACCACAAGGAATATACATGACTATAAGATGAACTTGGAATAATGTGGATTACCGTTAGGATCAGCGGTTTCAGCTAATGTTTCATGCTCCTTGGCTCCTGAAACTGTGACAGAACTCTTGCCAGAAGTACCTGTAATATGTAGACATCAGTCAGCACTGACATCATGCTGGGTGTTTTGAGCATGAAGTTGCCATATAACCAAGCAAATTCACATTTGTCTTCTTTTCTTCTTCTTCTTATAGCATGGTTTCCATTTTATTCATGTCAGTGGAGCTTTGTAAATGTGTATATTGCATACACTTATTCCCTGGTATTGATAATGTTACAATCCTAGGAAAGTAACGGAGTCCAGACTTCATATTTTCAAAGGAAGATCAAATTTTGTTGGTTATGCTGGTTCAGATCAAAGTTTGAATATTTAAGTATTCAGACATCTTAATATTTGAATAAGTATAGTATCATGTATAACAATAAATTTATGTTTCTGTAATAAGTGACTACCTTTATTTTCACTCATTTGTTGCTGCTGAGAGGAACGCCGTGTGGAATGCCGTGAGATTGGTTTTGCTGTGCGTTGCTGTTGTTTTAGATTCTCCTCATCATCTTCATCCTCACTGGATTCCTCTCTTTCTGAATCAGATTCAAAACCATCTCCAGCATCTGCAATTTCCATACACTTGATGCTAAACAACCCATTACCAATAATTAATTCCCATCCTGAAATATCTGCAGGTATTAACACTTTTACTACAGGGCAAATTTCCAAGCATAATTCATACCAACCTTTTATTTTGTTAGTTTATTTTGAGACAGAAGACATATGCTGTTGTTTCTTATGTCTCCTGTTCTGGTCTTCTGACACCCTCAGACTCATATCACCTAAGAAGTGTAAAGGAATCCACATTTGATTCCATTTACTCTAAAGAACAGGACAAGGATGAAGATTACGCTTTTCAAAGTGAACGTACAGTTTAATATGGGCTGTGTACCACATTCACAATTTTTTAACCTTTTGAGGACTGGGGAACAAACATAAAAAGTGATACTGGATCCAGCTGTCTTCAAACTTGAGACCACTTGCACAGGTATCCACCTCATTCTTATACCACAAGGAACCCAGTGAAATACATAGTATGTTTTCTTACTTCCCAGACTTCCATTTTTTGACTCTAAGAATGTTTCTAATTCAGTGGACAAACGCATTAGTACATATTAAACTCCCGTGTATGAAAGGTGTGAAAACAACAAACTTCAAGCACAGTACGGGAAATCCGACTTGTCAAGAAATGGACCCTGGTCTGTCTAGAAACAATAACTATTGATTACCATGAAATTTATTACCAAAGTATTATGTAGAACATTATTATTGTGGCACCAGATATCTGACTAGTCACAATCTCCTCTCTGGCTGCAGAGAACTAAGCAATTGGCCTATTAAGAACGCTTTTCATTCTTGCTACTAGTGCCATGCCAAACTCTTTACACTCGACCTGTCTTTTTTAGTCAGCTGCATACTGACTCATACGTTACCTAAGAGAAACACACGTGAAATTGGACCAGAACCAAGATCCTAGCACAAACAAAGTAGACTCCATATTTCCCTAGGCTTAGCGATAAAAGAAGTCAAGTTTCAAGGAATGAATCATGTTCAAGACAAATGTTCAGGTTAAAAAAATGTGTATTCACATGTCTAATTACAATTTACTTCATTAATACCTGACTGAGAGTGACGTAACTGTGGACCATTTCCTCCAAGAGCCATCTTACGACGGAGTTTTGTAATTTCTGTTTTAATGAGTCGGACTCTCTTAGCACGTGCCAGACCATGACGAAGTCCTTGGCTTCGATCTTGTAACTCTAGCAACTTTGAAAGTCGATCAACATTAGCCTGTTAAAAAATGGCATTCTGTACATATATGTCAATCACAATTCACTGTAAGTCAGCATATGCACAATATATACATTTTAGAATTCCAAACTGATTAATGGCTTAGTGCTTCGGACATGACCATATTATAATGCTGGCCCACTCATTAGCTTTAGAATACAGATGAAACATGATGCATTGGAGTTCCAGAATATACAAAAACACTAAGTAAATAAGAGACCAAGTGGAAATTATAATACTATTTACATACTAAACCAACTTCAAGGAACAGAAGTGTCTGTAAACTTACGACTGAACGACTCTTATCCATAACAGCTTCTAATTCACGGTCAATTTCTCCAGCCAAACCTTCCTCAGGTTGTTGACGGTGCTGCTGCTGAGATGGCTGTTGAAGCAAACCTGACTGTGAAGTTTGTGGTAATGGCTGTTGCAAATGAGGTGTTGAAATATGCGACAACTTGGCATCTATACCGTAAGATGAACTGGAACTTTGGGAAGATGATGTTACACCATCAGGCAACAACATTCCTGTTGTCAGATCAAATCCATTAGCCTCAAGATCACGCTTGGCTTGTCGAATTAGAGCTCCTCCCTGGAAGATAATAAAATATGTTAAAACATTACTTATCACTTCTGATAGATTATTAACCAAAAATGTTGTAAAGAGAGTGAAATTCTCACTGTAAAGTGTATTTCTACATTACAAAATTTTACTCATAATTTAAAATAAATTAGTTAAAGTGTTGCAAAACAAAAAACTTTCATTTTTCTTTTTTGACATGTTCCAAGCAATGGAATAGGAACACTAAATTTATAACTTGTTAAGTCTCTTAACAATATGGTCACCAAAATCAGAAGTAAAATAAAACAAAATACAAGAGCACGTCAGACTTCACAGAAGTACTGGAAGTCAGATGGGTCATGTCACTTGACAAGTAAATATTACTCTGTGGAATCACCATTTAAGGATGGGTCTTTTGATACATAAGCGAATCAGATATGCAATTAAAATGGCAGACATGATTAATGATAGGATATCATACATAACACAAAGTACTTTATCCCATTACAGTGTTCTAATGAGCATATCCAAATTAAGTCTGATGCACAGACGGGATGATAATACTGGGGGAAAGGGGAAGACATATGAGGCGCAAAGCTTCGGAATGGACTGAACTGGATGAGGATATATTCCAGTCTATGGTTATTGGAAACACAATTATGAACTTCACCTTTCAAAAAATTGAGGAATTTCTTGACCAACTGAATACCTCTCAAGTGGCCAATTTGTATTTATTTATTATGGTTTATTTAATAATTCTATCAGTAACTCAGACAACAAAGGACTGAATAATAGGATAATTAATGAACTGGAAATGATATGGAAAGAAGCAAATGTGACATTTTCTAAGGCACTACCTACAATCTGCCTCAAGGGACTGAGTAAAACCACAAAAAACGTTTTCAAGATAGCTGATCTCTAGGCCTAGACTTGATCCTGGGACCTACTGAATATAAAACAGGAATACTAACAACTAAACCATGGCATTTGGTGCACTTGGTTTAATGCATTCCTATGCACAAAGTGCACAATATCGACACTCATAATGAAAGCATAATCAAACCCTTATAGTCTGATAAATTTATCATGATTACATTCAGTGAGCTTCGTCACTGAAATAAAAATTAATTCCAGTTACATTTAGTGAATCACCATACTTTTACAGAATGTTGACTTTAGCTTTTGTTATTTCTAAATACTGGGAAATAAAAAAAAAACACAGATTCTATATAGAATATGAAAATAGTAATCCCCCCACACTCCATCATGTTTGCATTCTTAAAACTTAAAAAAATTCAAATTAAACAGGTCATAAAACTTTGACTTACCTGATCTCTCATTTTTATTGCAGCACGGTAAAAAATAGTGTCACGAGAATTATATGCCATGCAATTATTGATCATTAAATTGAAATCTTTCTCAAATGCATCAAGATTTGAGTACTGGAAATTCTCAAGTTTAGTTCGCATGGTTGAAATGTCCATGGGCTGTGTAACTACATCGCTATAATCAGGTACTTCTGACAGATCAACTGGTTCTGAGAAGATATCTCCTGTGTCTCGAGACTGGATAAGGTCAAGAAGGTGACGCAAAAAACAGACCAAAGGCTGGAGGTGAACTTCCATCCACATTTCTTTGCTGGAAAAATGAAATAAAATCTATTATATTTTTTAGGCTTGTATTTCTCATTACATACTTATTTATATGAGGATGGCTGTTTTCTGGGTTCTTGTGCCATGTTGTCTGGTAAAGTTTACCAGACTACATGGTGCAACAACCCAGAAAACAGCCATCTTCAGACTCACCACCGTGAAAACCTCAAATCCTACATACTTATTTATATCATTACTGGCACTGGTCAGTATTGTTAGTTGTGTCTAGGTAAAATAGAAGTACATGGTTGCAACTGCATAAACCTTCTATGTAAGTTAACAGCCTGTTACTTTGTGTACATTGCTCATATTTTATTTAACACAAACACATTTTGTTCCATTGCATCTGTGTTTACTGGAGGAAATAATGGGTAGCTGAATTGCTCCCCACACCTCACATTTGAATGTTGTTAAATATAATTATAGTGATCTACTTTTAGGCTGCAATTTTTTCACAAAATGTAGTATTTAAAAGACCAAAATTGGTAAAGAAGAACAGTTTTAGAATGTAATACACTACTTCCCACAAACATTTTTTTTGCACTAGGCAATAAATAATTCCAGCCTGTTAAACAGGTATTAGTTACCACTTTAAACATTCAGGGACATGGGTTGTCAAAGTAATTAGGTAGTAATTACATACCACTGGTCACTTAATCAGATTGACTGCATAGACAGTTTTAATGTGTCTGTATCATATGTGAATCATCTCTACATCCCCGCCACTATCACATTCGTTAGCACAAAACTTGTATTCGTGAGGAACCCAATTCTAATTCTTGATGATAACAAGATGGAGGTTTGCCCAGTTTATCTCAGTCCCTCCAAAGCATAAGACACACCCATATTTTATGGTAAAAAAATGTTTATTAAATCCAGAAACACTGAGATCATGGAGAATTTCTCTTATAACCATAAAAAAATAACACACAGAGCATTTATATTGCACTGTATGTGTACTTCTTACCCTGATCTGCTATGAATATCCTGACTAATATCCTTTGTGATCTTCACTTTCTCTACCTGCCTTCAAATATGTTATAACTGCCTTTTTTCATACATACATCATGCTCCTATCTCATTTAATGTGACCTACACAGTTGAAATAGCATAAATAACCCAAGAATGTTTTAATTCACTGGTTATAAAACAAGCTCATTTCTAAATGCATACTGGCATCATCGTGTAAAAAATAATTTATATATAGTTCCCACACAGCAAATTAACAGGTAACTTACACCTTGCATAGCTCCTTTTTTAATTTCTCTCGTTTACGGACTAACTCGCAAAGAAGCCGAGCTCGTTCCAAGTCCTGACGTAGACACTGCCAATATTTCAGCTGTCTGTATAGTTCACCCTGAAAATGCAATTGGCCCACATGGTAATTAGTGTAAGTGCTTAAGTTATACAAGTGTCCTTAAACATTAATGCTGGTGCAGTATGAAAATTAAGTAAGCAAGCAGTAAACAAATAAACAAAATCTGCAAAAATGAATTCTGGTTAACTACAATCTTGATTAAACAATTAATAAAAATTGGGGGGAAAAAACTGTCATTACTTTCACATAAAATACTTTCAGTAATCTTTCTCAAGCACTTTTCTTCACTATTTTGTACTAATAACAAACACAAATTAAAACAGAGCAACTACACTACAAATAGCTATTATGATGTAGCAAAGTGAAACTAACACTTGCTAACTATTCAGATTTTCCAACTACACTATGAGATACTGTGATCTCACAGTAAGTAGTAAAACTGCATTACCTACAAGAACCACATTTGTTCAACTGAAGGTGTAACATTATGCTCAAACTGTATGGGGCGCAGAAAGAGAATGAGAATTACAAACTGTGATGTTGCCACTCTGACAAGACCTGAACAAAAGTGAGTAGCACACAGTAACAGAATCTCGTGAGACAAATTTAGATTCTGTAAAAGATGGGGAAATTCTTGAGTAGCTGAGAAACAATTAGCTTCTCAAGGATTCTGCTCAAGGGACTTTGTTAAAGATAATTTATAAAAATAAATTTTAATTTAAAATTTCATTTAAAAATATGTTTAGAAGAATATTATCCTCTTATATGGAGTCCAAATATAACATCATAAGATTTACAAAATACTTCCCGTAACGAAAGTTCCAAGTTTCTGAAGAGGTATGCCCTCTTTGCATGGTCATCTCTTTACCTTATAAGCAGAATATATATTTAAAAAAAATAAAACATCACTAAACAGGACCTTCTTTGTGTCTGTGTGCATGAAGCAACTTACAGTATCACTCACCACCTCCTGTAATGGCAAAGGGTCATCACGACGAGCTAAATGAGAACTCTGTAGTCGTCTCAGAAGAGGAACACCATTCCTGAACTGCCTCTTTAGAGTCCAGTATGCGATCAGTCTTTGAATCAACTGGCTCTTCTTTGGTACATTCACTAATGATGCTATTTCTTGAATTCTGTATAAAGAAGTTACAAATATAAAAAGCATGGTTCCATAAAAAAAGGACAGGTAAATCCTGTTATACACAATTATACAATCTGTGATTTCACATAACTGTGGTTTTATTTCAATATTATGAGCATCAATATCCTATTCACAGCCAAATTTTTAAGCACTGAACCTTCATACCTGTCAGGTGGAATGGTTGGTATAGATATGACAGGAACTGAGGACCTTTTCTTAGCAAGTAACCTTCGAGCCTTCTTCATTTTTTGGCGGGATTCTTCACGTGCGGCTTCACCTGTACCCCCAATACCACTTGGAGTTGTTGCTTGCTTGCTAGAAGAAAGCGTACTTCCTCTGGGTCTTGAATCAGAATCTACCAGTCCACCGGGTGTATGGGCATCACAATACGCTGTCTTTTGGACTAGTACTGGTCCTGGGTCAAGACCAGTGCCTAAAAAACACACTCAAGATAAACATTATGTCCATTTCAGAAAAAAGGCAACTTCAACAAGTACACAGATAAAGATTGGAATGAACAAATTCATCAAAACTTTATGTAGGAACCATTTAAAACATTTAGAGGTTAAGTATTTTACAGACAATGGACTTCTCATCTAGCCTCTATGTCCAGAGCCCACCCAGTCTCTTAACCAATCAGTACTAGGAGTCTTTCCCCACGGTAAAAAGCAGCGTAGGTGTGACGCTGACCACTCACCCCATCTACTACAAAGGTCAAGAATCAGTAGAAGCTATACCTCTTCTCCCCACAAGAGCCTGCATGGTATGTAGTGGAACAACTTTACTTTTTTTCATAAAATCACAAACCTGTATGTGAGTCTCGAACAGTGTCCATCTTCATAAAGAGACCAGCCTGCTGTGCACAAGTTACGTGAAATGCAGCGTAACAATTTGTTTTATGACACTGAATGCATGCTCCTACTCCTCTCTGCTTACAGATGTAGCACGTTAACTTCCATCTTGCTGGAGGTATTGTTTCTATACTGTCTATTGGTTCAAGAAATACCTGTAAAACACACACATTACTTCAATATTAAACCAGCACCAAAGTTCAAGAACTCAGTAAGACAGGAACGAGAAGACACTACAAGGGAGAACAAAAACCTCTGCAACATTTTGAAATAAGCACTGTTAATAACACCCTCTGCTGAACATCTCCATAAACTCTGCCATTTACCAAATTTCTAACAAGTTATAATCTGGTGTGAATCTACTGGGTGACACCATTATTGGCCTCCCATGCTAAAGATCTTAGGATCCAGAACAGTTTTCTTTAAACATTTCACATCAAAACACGTGAGTGAAGAGAGCATATTCGTGTCACCATGGTTCATATCCCCTCTTCTGCTCATCACCTTATCATTGGAAGAAAATGGAATCTCACTCAATGGGTGCTCTGATCTCAGAAATATTCCTTTAACTGTGACAGATGTGTACTGGCCAAAAATGATCAAAGCAATAATTCTTACAGACACCACAAAGAACAGTTTTGAAAATGTCTGGTAAATTAAATTGAAAAAGTAATATATACTTACCAGAAGAAAATCTACAAACACTTACTAGATGAAAGAAGAAACAACAACACAATAATTCACTTACAGTATTTGCAAATCTGACTTCTGGAATCCACAGTGCGCAAACAACATGTGCCCAGTGTCCACGATCTGTTTGTTTGAAAGCTCCCCCATTGTTGGGGCAAAGTACACAATCAACAGCACGCGAAGGAGACTGCAAACAACGACGACAAAGCCACTGGCCTTCTGGAATGTATGGTACACCATAACAATCCTGTAAACACACACAAAACTAGAAACTGTAGTAAATTTACTCGACATTCGGTTTCCAAAAGTGCCAAGAGAATGCAGTTTCAGACTCATGTATTTTGTGTGGCCCATGTGCATTTTTGTAATACTGTATCCCTCTGTATAATCAGAAAATAATTGCAGCCTTATTTAAATGTTTTATTTTAATATAATAATTAACAAATAAATGATTGGCAAATTTCTCAAAGAAAACTGAGTAACATAATAACCCTATTTGTGAGAATATGGGCGTAGCATTATTAATAAACTGCCATAAACTTTCAATAAAATATCATCATAATAAATAAATCAGAATGAGTGAATATGACCGCACGTCTTTCCGACAAATCACCAGTTATGAGCACGCTGCATACTTCTGAAGACCTGACTATACCTATAAATTCATCAGTCAATGTTTTAATCAAGATGGCTAATATCTTTACCAAACAACGTCTCAGAAAATACCTGGTGAACAGCCAAATTACACATGTCGCAGAAGAGGATTACATTGGAGTTCTGACATTCTCCATCCATACATATACAACAAACAGCATCATCATCAATTACAGTTGGTGCCACTCCATCTCCTCCTTTGCCACAACTCTGAAACAATGAAAGTAACCACATAATCACTGTCTCTCTGTTCCATTGCTAAACATTTCAACATTACTGCATACAATAAATTGTCTTAAAAATTAACCAGTAACAGTTCCATTAATATTACTATGCAACAATATTTTAGTTACCCACTCAGTTAAAATATTTATTATTCAATGATACCAACATGCAGGAAAGACAAGTATGTGTGATGCTACTACAAGACATTGCAAAAGAAATACACTATATTCCACGTAAAAACAGGAGTCTTATTTCAACTGTATACATTTGTCTCTATTAATGTTGTAGAAAAAATCTGGCAGTAAACTTCAAAATAATAGATTACCTGAAAGTATGATTCCTTCTCTAGTCGATCCATAAGCAGTTCAAACGTATCTACAGGTACATCGGGGAGACCAGCAGCTGCACGTTGCTCATTTATAATACTCAGCCAAGCGCAGTCTTCCTCATCCATATCATATTCCACTTCACCATCAAGTTCCTCAGCAGACCTCTCAATGAATCTGTATTTCAAAAATTAATTGCTATTATAGCTAACATCATAAGTTAGGGCAGCTTAATCAGTATGGTGTCCGACTATGAACTAGACAACCATGATTCAACACTCATCAGGGGCAAGGGATTTTTCTTCTGGCTTCAACATCCTGATCAGTTCTGGGGCTACCCAGGCTCCTATCCAATGGGCACTGGGCATCTTTTACACACAGATATATCACAGCCAGAACATGATGCTGACACTCATCAAGTGCTGAGCTATTGCTGATAACGTAAGTTAATTTAAAATTTAAAAATGAACAACATAAGAAAAACAGCTTTTTTTCCACACTCATGGATAAAAATTTCAGTAAACAGAACTGAAAGCAGTCTTTACAATTTAGATTGTCATTACACTAAAATATATTCACCGACCACCAGAGATCCACATACCACAGGCTAGGAATCATTGAACAAAACAACAATGCCAATAATGATACTTCGACACCAATTACACTCACTTTAAAGCCAAATTTATTAAAACAAGACATACCTAATATATGCGTTGGGTCGTGGTGGTGCATCACTTATGTTATATGAATCTAAGATGGTGTAACTTGGCTCTGGAAGACGAATTTTCTCATCACTGGACAGCATACTTTGACAAAGGTCTGCAGATAACTGGATCCCCTCTTGCTGCATATAACAATTGAAATTTCACATTTCATAAATTAAAATAGTTGTAAAAGGATACTTATGAATGTCATCTAAACAAACTGATACAAAATCAACAGCAGAGAATATCAGTACAGTATTTATGTAAATTTAGTAGCTCTCTTAACTGTCTTCTAGGTTGTAGTGCTGTGTAATGAGGTAAACATCTACTAGACTACACAACACTGCAACCCAGAAGACTGCCATCTTTGTATTCAAAGCCATGAGAACTTCAAATCCTACTACAATAGCTTTAATCTTACATATCATACTGCAGAATTTTGAAATTTTGGTTAAGGTTAGTTGATGTTACAAAGTTTGGTATCATATGAAATTTATAACAAAAAAAGACAATAATGTAAATGATAAGTCACCTGGTGGGCCACTATTGCAATTTATCATGAATTCTTATTATGGCAGTGACCAATTCATTATTATGTCTTGCATTTCAATGAATATAAACCACTCACACTGTCATTACTGCTTCCATATGTAGCTTCAAATTCCTCCTTTGATATGAGTGGTAGAGGATCAAAAATGCTGACTCTAGTTATTCGTCCATCAACCTCAAATTCTACTATCTTCTGAGCTTCAGCATATGTCAAACCCTCTCGTGTTGACAAAGTTAGTACATCAGCGGCAGATGAAGGTGGTCGTGAATGATGTGAGCCACGTCCTTTCTTCCGCCCTACAATTATACATCCAAAGAATTAGCAGTGATAGAATATTCATTCCTATTAACACATCAATTAATACCCGATAAAAGTATAATAAATGAAACTTTCTTCCTTTTAAAAACACTGTTTAATGCTTTTATATCATATTCCTTAGACTATGATTTTGCAGTTACATTGGCTTCCCCATCCAATACCACAGCTGATATGCAATCAAACAAATAGGTTTTATTTGTAGTGAATAAGCAGTTTACCACTGGTGATGAATTCATTACTTGCTTATTTAACCAGTGTATCAACTACATGACGAAAAACAATATACAATGGCACAATTATGATTCACTGATAAATATGCAAGAAAAGGCAGTTGTGGTCATTTAATGGGCTGATGATATTTCTTAATAAACTGAAAAAATCACGAAAATTCTCAGTACTGTTGAGACTCCAACTAGGACTCTCCCACATATGAAGCAAGAGTGCTTACCTGGTACTGGTAGAGCATTTACAGATGTAGGGGCATTATGATCAAAGTTAACCAAGTGATACTGTAAACCACAAAGGCTCTTATACACTTTTCCACATTGTGCAACTGGACATTCGTAAGGAGGTTGCTTAGAATTACGGAGTTTTCTGCAAAATTCCAAAACGTCGAAATCTAACCCCATTTTGTCGTTCGTAAACAAACTCCAAACTGAACTATACTATAACTGTCATCACCTCACGCAGCATATTTTTAATATCGGTATCACAACTTCACAACCGATTAACCAAAGGCTTTAAGCTGAAGCTCGTCTAAATAATATTTTGAAAATCATGGAAACGACAAGGAAAAAAACACCGTACTGTAACTATCTCACGCTTACAACTTCCAAACTAGCAGTTGAAACAGAAAAGACACTTTCCTACCCTCGGACCTAAGACCACAGCAACACCAACATAAGACTACAATATTTAACACAGATACCAACTTATTTAACAGCCTTCCATTATCACCACCGGTAATATTCATTTCCAGAAAAACACATATTGGCACGGCGGCAAAGTTGAAACGAGCCAGACGATCGTCTGCATAGATAATAAGAGAGACAGTTGACTTTGCGTACCGATAGTAATTGCATAACTAATTGCAAGTCAATAACGCCAAAAGTACTCAGAAAAATTAACTAAATTATGAACATAGTAAGCATTTTACCAAAGACAATCAAACATAGTAGACGTGCGATCTTATAGCGGAGCGGATGCCACTGGCCATTATTTAGTGATAGCAAAATTGAGAGCAAGCGTCTCGGTTCGACGGTATCCACAGAATTCCATTGGAACTAATCCATGCAGGTGGTAGGACACTGCACTCAGAGATACATAACCTTATAGTCTCGATTTGTTTTTAGATCCAAAGCTACAATTACACCCTGTGTGAAAATTCAGTTGTTAGAAACAGTGACATTATTAGTTACCACTGGGTACTAAAGGATTGAACTTTCAGGCAAACAATCAACAAATTCCAGTTTAGAGTTTGTTTAATTGGAATTAATACTATTATAGATACAATGTAGACAGCACTTTCTCACATAGCTGCTGACAAAACAACTAAATATACCATATAAATTTCAATTCGTTACAACAAATAATGCCAATTTATTTTTTCCATCGTAAATTTCCGTTAAATTACGAACACATTTCCTAAAAAAATAGTATAATCAGAGTTCATTATATACTGTAGAATTTGAAGTTCTCATGGCAGCAAGTATAAAGATGGCAGGAATCTGGATTGTAGCATCTTGGTCTGGCTACATTTCACCATGATAATGGAGGCAGGAAATAACTGTAAAATATAATGAATTATTCTTGGGTTATCAGCCTTGTCATAACTGGTAGCCCAAGAATAATTCATTATACTCAGACTCTGTAAAAGCTTCAGATGAAAAGTTGGTAATCTCCTACTAAACTACATAACACTACAAAAAATATGGCCAATTTCTCCATAAGCTATTAACATACTACACCAGTTTAATTCCAAATGTGTGCATTTAAATTGGTTTTAGATTGAAGTAACGGAACCTTTTGGACAGGCATTACTTCTGAATACATCCACGGTACTGATGGAAATGGTCACTTCTCACAGTACTTAATGGGATCTGCTACACAACGCTCCTCATCATGTCCCCTGGACAACATTCCTTACCAACATGTGAAAAACACATGAATATCAATGTTATTTCTTGACACTGCTGCTCAGTGGTTGGAAAATGGGAATTGTGCTCACAATCACCAACAAAGGAAAACACATATACAAAAGGAAACTGGTTTATGCATTTCACTTAGACCCCAATAATGTTAACATAACTGAGCACATAATTCATGCCTTGTACAATAAATTATCAATGTAGATTTAACAGGAACTTTATACAAATACCTACATAGCTATAAGCACTATTTACAATTATTTACAAATGTGATATTTATAATAAAAATAAAGTGTATTAAGTTACATACCAGATCATTAATAATATCAGTCATTACAATCATAACTCACTTCCTCAAAAGTCTCTCAGTAACATGAGAATATTTTCAGTCTCTCTTTGAAAAGGACGTTTAAGTTGTGCATTTGGAATAATAAAAAAATGACCATATCTTGCCTTGCTCATGACAAAAAAGTAGAACATATTTTATTGGTATCAGATTGTATCCAGAAAATGAGGTTAGCTTAGCTCTGAATATAAATTAGGCCAACTCAAAATGTACTGTTAAGAATGATGTTGCTGCAACAGAGTGAGAATGCTATCACATAGCAAACCTCAAATCTTTAGAATTAACCAGTGCCAAAAAATATAAACTTTATAGCAAGAAAAATACAGAAACAATCAGTTGAAGAGTGGAAGATGATAGAAATCATAACCACGTTTGCCTTTCACTGCCCAGTAAATATAGACCACATGATATGCTCCGGGAATGAAGCAGATGAAGCCAGCAATGAAGAACACAAATGCCTGTATGCCTGGCATAGGCAAGCATATAACCACAGCACCAGTAACTAAAAGACCTGAAAAAAGTGTAAATATATCATTATAAATGAAACATACACAAAATTATGATTCAGAATATACATGGATTACAGCCCTCTCATCAATTGGTTTAAGGTCTCACATTAAATTCATAATATGGGCTTTAACCAGTCCATTCACATACAGACACATCTGCAGATATGTCAGTGGACATGAACCGCAATAAGTAATTTGAGTGTGTGTGAAGTGGTTCATGGTTGGTCCACCTGTGTATGCTGAAAATGCACACCAAGCCTTTACTGCTGGAAACCTTATCTTCTGCTACAAATGACCAATTACTAAAACAACAAATCAATAAGAATAAAATTTAATGACAAACGTTATTGGGTAATTTATTGAAGAGTACTGAAACCTGGATTGTCAATGGGGGTTAGTACACTATAATTCTTATAATAAATTCATATGACTGTCTTTTGTGGTTTAAGAACCACTGCTGTGTTTTACTTCTTTGCTGATATTATCATTACAAATAACACTAAATACAATGAAGTATATACGATCCATTCAGATCAAGATTGTTCATTTGTGGATGGGTGATGACGAAACTATTTGCAGACAAACATCATATGTTCGTGTGCGAACACACCACTTTAAATTGTAGCCAAATAAAAATTACAAATATCCAGAAGCTACATTACTTCTTCCTGGATGTATACAAGGCAAGAAATACATTAAATATAACAAATAACATCAAGTAGTAATGTTTATTATTAAGAGCTACATACCAATTCCAACAATTAACAACACAACTGCCGCCAAGACCATTTTCCAATTCTCCCTGATCTTTGGGTGCCTCCAACCTGACTGTGTTGGATCAAACATTCCTGTATAAAATCCACCATCCTGGATCAAGGAGTCACTATCTCTTGATGTAGCCTAGTTCAGAAAAAGGCCATTCATAAACTATGTACACATTGTTTTCGCAAATGCAAGAAATGAAATAATAACAAACTTACGTCGTCTGATGTCTTAAACCTTGGGGCTGTACTTGTAATTGTACTGGCAGTTCTAATCGGATCCTCTATACGCACTATTATACTGTCCTCTGATATCATATTCCTGCTTTTTGGCTTCAAGGGAGATCTTTCTGTTGTAGAACCATAAACACGGATAGCTTCGTCATTCTCTTCTTCAAATGCATCATCAATTGTGAATCTCCTTTCACGAGACCCAAAAACACCCGCCATTTTGTAAATTAAGTATTGCCGGTATACAATAGTATATTCCTTTCTTTTAGTTGTTTACGGATGTATTCATGTTTGAAATAGCAAAATGAATATGACTGTGCTGAAATTATCTTTAAAAATGTGCTACACTAAATCGACGTAAAACTATTCACGGCCAAACAGATCGATGTAATTCCATTTCTTCTATTTTCCAACAATCCAAGTAGCAGATATATGTGAAGTTGATTAGCTTTGCTGTGTAACACGTGTTAATTTTATATGCGTTTTGTGTAAGTCGAGGAGAGAATATATTAACTTTTATTAGAATTAATAATCGAAAATTATATTGTTTTAAGGCAGCAAATCAGAATTGCCTATAATTATCTGTTGATTAACGAACTCTCAGGTTAAAGGCAAAGGCCTCAGCATAAATGTTGGTCCATGGCACTCCTCGTTACAACTATTCATTTACTCCCCCCATGCTATCAAGTACATTCTAGTATAATAGGAAAAATGAAGTGTAACTTTCAACACTAAAGTTTACAAAAAACATGCTTAAGGTTCAGAATACACAACTAGATGTACCAACCCCTTCAATCTTACTGGCTTTATATTAAGCACCATTTATGCCAAAGAAGAGAACCTGGTAAAGTAGGGAGAATTTTACAGATGCTGTAATGTACCAATACTGGGTCCTCAAATTACATATCACTCAAAATATGTTTAGAAGCATGTTACACTCTTCAAATCAGACATGTACATACAGAGGCATGCTGCAGCTTCAACAGTCACATGGAAGTCAGTGCAAATTGGTAGGTAGCAGAGATGGTAATTAGAGAAGAAGCAGTGCATGTGTGAACAACTGTAAGAATAGAATGATTTAATAACAGTGAGAGCTATTTATAATAGTGTGTTTACATAAAAAGTTATATTTGTTCACTTTTGCTATTCCTTAGAGATTTAATCAGACATGAAAACACTGAACAAAGTTCAGAATTATAATTGTTGCAACTGATGGAATAGGTATTAATTAAGTGTAATGTAGGATACTTAGGGCTACAGAATAAAATTCCAATACACTATGAAGTAATATTTTATTCCAGAGACTGTAACAAAAGATCCCTTTCTGAAGTTAAAAATTTTATTATCAGATTGTCAAGAGGTTCTACGCTTCTAGCTACTTGTCTCTTCATGGCCAGTTTGAAGTCTTCTTTCACTCCCTTGTCTGTTCCACGTGTTGAAATTCTGCGTTGGCTGTAATAAAACATTTTTTATATTACCTAATATTCTGGAAAATGTGTCATCACTAGATATAAGAAACGACACAATTTTTCACATTAGAAATGTTTCTTCTTCAGAATTTGATTGACAAAGCCATCTGATGTCCATCATCTCATTCAGCTACAGGTTTCAGTATTATAGACAACATGTAAAAATAATTCTGTCTCTGTGCCTAAGTACAGGCACATAAAGGGAATGGAGAGGTAAAGGCCCATGAATTTTTAACCTCAGTATAACATCAAAGTGAGCTTTATGCTCTGATCATTTCAACCCTGGGAAAGAATGCAATTTATATGGCAAAGTCAGAAGATGACAAGAAAGTCATCATAATGATACATACAAAAATGCACAAAATATGTATCTTGTCAGCATACATTTTCCATACAGAAAATCGGGAATTTTGAAATGCAAGAAAAAGTAGACGGAGACAGTTGGAGTCTCCTATGCAAAAGTCAAGACACAAGTGTGGAAATCAACTAAAGAAAAAGAAGAAAAGGCAAGTAGTGTTTACATATCACAGTGAATTTTATAACATTTTTTATACATCTACACAAATTTCTGTTTTAGCAAATATATGTCTTAATGAATCACTTTGATAAGTACACCAAATTTTACTGTGATGATTCTTATTTATATTACCTTGTGATTTGCACCGAGGGCATGACATCTAGACTGATGCCTCCACCTTGCTCTGTTGAGAGATACATGAATTCTTCTAAGACATCCACATTCACTACATAATTCTGAAAGAGGCTGTATGAAAAAGATCCCCGTTGACGGATACGTTCCATCAGTTGCGTCATTAACTCTTCCTCCAGAGGCCAATCAAACTGCAGGAGTGTAATAATGTGGCCAATTGCCAAATCACTGTCTGGTTGCAACTTTGACAGACACTGGTGCTAAGAAGAAAGAAACCACAGAATAGAACAAGAACATCGTACATCATAGTACAAATTTTGGTACAGAACACAGAATGAGTTCTGAGACTGTCATGTATATAGTTTTCACAGTAATGCTATGTGAAAGCACAGAATGTACTTAGTAGCATTGTACATGTATCCCATAATTATTCAACCAAAAAGGAAAAGTTATTGTGGACACACCACTGGAGTGAGATGATACAGGGAAATGCAAAATATGGCAGTAATGCTCCAAGAGCAGTCAAAGCGTGTGATTTTGAAGACAATGTGTGTTTGGGTCCTTATACACGTCAGGAGTGTATGCAGAGACACAAATTCAGGATGCAGGGTTGCCACTGCTGTTTTCCAATATACTGAATCCCCTCACCACTGGGCATGATGTGCTCAACTTCCTAAATGTAACATCTGGCAGTAACCGGTATGGCTGGGGAGGTCCAACATTATGACCCCACCCCCCATTTCTCTTTACCTAATCCAAATAGCTTCTTTCTCCAGGTTAATGCTAAAGACACTGTTTACATCCAGCAACAACACTTACTCCCTGAACACTGCCAACTCACTGAGGCTGTATTTTCCTCGGTTGCTTGGACACACATGGCTTGTGAATCTAGAAAGTGAATCTGGTACTGCTACTGCCAGTTGAAAGAAGACTAAAATATAGTAATCTCTTCTATAGCAAGATGGTTTCCACCCTTTACAATTATGCTTTTGTTTTATGTCAGTGAAAAATACAGAGTTAAAAGTAAGTTGCCTTCAAAGGTCGGTGCAGAACAAGTTCTAGAAAAAAATGCTGAAAATTTGTGAATCCAAATGTAATGTATAAGTACACTTCTTACAAATATATGACTGTCTTGCTCTTGTTTTTCACTCACTTTAAGTGCTGCAACCAGGAGTTTGATGCAGTACTGCAAAACCTGCAGTCTTGTTAAAGGCAGGAAATGAAGATGTCTGTTTGACTGACTAGGCTGGAGCAATACATTTGTCAACTGATGTGTAGAAGGAAGTGATGTCAGCATACTGGATGAAGGCAATAATGTAATTACCTGAAGGATATGCTCCAATGACCTCTAAAATAATACAAACAATTTGAATACAATGTCTTTCCACTCATGAAGATGGCTGTCTTCTGGGTTCTAGCATCGTGTAGTATGGTGAAAGTTTACCAACATTTCTGAAGCACTTGCTGTCTCAAACATCAGACTATAAAGTCCTCCAAAAGACAGCCATCTTCACACTCATCACCATGAGAACTTTAAATCTTTTCACTCAATATGAATTTTATACCTGCTGCTATCTCTTTCAATCTAAAGCAATAAAGTTTTGTACTGTCTTTCATAATCAAAAGTGGTAAGGATGGAATACATATGGATTTATTTTCTTCCTCATTTCATAAAACATATGAGTGTGTGAAATGCACAATGGTAAAAATTATGTGATGAAATATAATACAAAAAAGTGCTGATTATCTGGAGCTCAAACTGTCTCTAATGTATAATTATATTTTTCTTAATTACTCACAACACTGTCTTATATTCAGTGTTTCGTATTTTTGGTATATGTTTTGCAATGTTAACACACATATTTCTATCTATAAATATAAGTTAATATTTTGCTTATGTGGATGACAATAAAATAAAATTTGCATTAACTGTGTTTCTTGATTATCTGGGCTCCTGCTTCCCCCAATTGCCACAGACAATCAGCACTGCAATGTATAAGCAGAACTCACAGCAAATAGACCCTGACAGTAGAATGTGCTGGCTAGTCGGAGATGCCTGCGCAGGTTTCCATTGATCCCTGTATCCAGTGCAGTAATATTCCCTATTTTGTTCTGTGCCTCATCAAACCTTCCTTTGTAGAGTGCAGCATCAATTAAGAATCCATTTAACCAACTATCAAGCTTCAAGTGCTGACTCAACTTTGTAAACTCTGAAAAAAAGTAAAGTGTGTTGAATTACGACCTCCAATTACCAACATATTCTTCCGCCCAAACAGTGAATATTATATTTGTTTAATCTACTGTCTACAATAACTTTTCTGCCTCTGCCCATCTAGGCAGTGGTCCAGAATCCATTTCTGAAATGGGAGCACGTATGACAGATTTTGTTACTGCCAAGAGTAGGGTATCATGATAAAATGGTCGTCACAAATGACATACAGCTTGACATGGAATCTAAACCAAGGAGATGGCCTGGTATTTACTGTTTACATTCCTGAAATCTGCACAGAAATCCACTGCATTGAATAGTGAGATTTTTTTATGTATGATGATGAACCTTTAAAATTAAATCTGAAGGTTTGTGATGACATAAAAATAACAAACTTCCTGGGCATTATTCAACATCTTAATATAACTGAAACAGAATATTTCAAAGTATGAAGTCTGTCTCCATCCTCAGGCAAAAACCCACTCTGTTGGGCCGAATCAACAGAACTAGTCCACAGACAGGGACCATTAAGCAATTATTCTTCCCTTTGGTATTAATTACCTCTCTCCAAGCTCTCAGAACTGTGAAGCAGATCCCGGCATCGTACAGCCATAAGGAAATTGTGAACTACTACCATATTTGCAGGCCTCGCAACAGTAAGCAATGGTGTTGATGCTGAGGACTCATCAGTAATTTCCGCCTTTCGGCGTTTAACCTTAGATTCACCAGCACCAGAAGTGCTTGCAGACACAGATGCACTCACTACCTCTGACTCGCCACAGAATGCCTCGACTAAGACTAGAGGTACCTCACCACCACCTAAAAGAAAGTTACAAGGAATAAAAAGACTAGAATAAATAATAAAATTCCATGTTTACCCAATATGAGACACTTTTGGGCATTTATATTTTCATGAAAAAATTGTCAGCCATCTTAAATTTACCAGAGAGACCAATAGTTTATACGAATGCAAACATGGCAACTGCGGCATACTACAAAAACCACACAACCACAGAATATCAATATATTCCCAAAACAATAATTATTAAATTTGCATTACCATTACTACCATACACCAAATTTATCCAGTTCTGTATCCTTTGACCATTGTGATTATAATCAGCAACTCTGCTTTTGAATTTTTATTTTCCATTTTAATTTCTGAGCATACTTTTCCAAATATGAATAACTACAAGTAAATACACAGAAACTATAAATATGTCTATAGAACCTCATACTATATGTATATTTCTTTTTATTTCATCTGTGGGACTGTTATTGCTAATTGGACTTGCCTACCTCTGACCGCTTGAAGCATGAATGCTACTACGAATTTTAATTTCTAATGACATACCTGAATCCAGTGTTGTTACATATTCATGCAGACAATACAGAAAGAATGTTGTAATACAATAGAGCAGTTGCTTATGGTTTGGATGGTCATCTCCAACAGAAGCACATGCCTGATGAAACTGCGTGATCTTTTGCCAGTATAAATCTTTGTTCCTGAAAGCAGTGACACAATCACAGAACACATAACAAAACATGTTTTTTTACAAAGGAGGAAACTATGAATGAAAACATTATATTGACTAACTCCATGGAGCGGAGTCCTTGAGAAGCCAACAGCACACAGCAAGTCAACAAACTCCCAACCTTTTATGGACTATAGGTTTATTAACACGTTCACAAAGCTTGCCACTGATCACTAACTTGAGGCAGATTAATTCAATCCTCACCAAATAAACGTTTCAACCAATATCCAGTTTAATATTGTCCTCCCATATATTTCTAGTCAATAACTTCTTCTATCAAGTAGTGTTTGACAGAAAAAAACAACTTAAGCAATGAATTACCATGAGTGTCCAAACATTGCACTAAGTTCCCATCCAAGCTTCCTCCCTGTTGCTTCTTGAATTACAAACAAGTTCTTCCACGGATCTTCTATTCTGCTTTCTAGCTCTGGCAAATCCTGAGACAATTATTTACACATAAATTAACAAATATAAATTGGTTTACATTGCTTCACATCACTCTGAGAAAAAAGTATGATTATTTCATCCACATCTCCCTCATTAAATGCATACCTGTATTGCCTTACTGGGTGACATGAGATAGCACAGGTAAAATTCTATAGATTTGTGTAGTAATCGGAATAGTTGCTTTGATGGTAGATCAACTGAATTTGACCCTAGAAGTGGTAGTAGATCACACACTGGAACAATAAAACAAGAAGCTAATACCTCTGAAAGAGCCTACTTTTACAGTGACACAACAGTAACATCAATTATTTTATTCACACAATGAAATAAAAATATTTTAAATTTATCAGGGAAATTATTTTTCTGAAAGTTTTACCATCTGTGAAGGGCAGATAGCAAAATGAGGAAACAGAATAAAATTATTTATACCTGTATATAATTTCCACCAATTCTGATTCTCACTACTTTAAGTTGTTCAATATAACCTTAAAGTTACATATCAACTTCATACTTATAACACAAAACATGTTCTACTCATTTGCAAAATTTTATGATGTACTTCTATAACAAACGTCATATATATAATTATAATTACCATTAATACATTACTATTAAACAGAAACAGTCACCATGTTCATTTATATTGCATACAAACATCACCTTGACAAAAGTTCACAAATTTTTAAACATCTACACCACAGACAATATCAAGGCCTGCATTAAACAGTACTGTGTATCATTAATCAAATAAATTAAAAATCACAAAGATGGGATAACCTCAAATGGCATGATGTTCAAAAGTTGTAAATCACTGGAATCCTGTCATGTCCAATCTTGTTCATGAAATTCTACATAAGCATGAATTATAACAAGGCTGCAAAACTTACCAAGCAATTTTCGGAAGCAGTTTACTGAATTTTGATAATGACTATGTTTCTCGGCCGTCATGAGGGTGTCTACAAGTCTTGGCTGAAAAAAAAATATTCACAGGCATGGATACATATAACAGAAATAGAGTAATTATTGTCAAAATGCTTGTGCCAATGGTTGTTTCATACAATGAATATGATCTTGATTCATTTTCTGAGTCATACTTGATTCAGGAATAGTCTGCAAAACTTTGTGGGTTTTACTACCATGGACGCAACATAGTAAGAATAAGAAGACACGCTAGTTTGGAAGTATGATAAAGACATACCAAAATAAGTGATTTTAATTAAAAATTACACAATAGCTTCTATATAAAAAATGAAATAAAATGTTATTCAACAATGAAACACATTACAAAAACTGTTCAAAGTTTCTACCTGTGACTTAAATGCATATCTGAATACAATGCATTACTATGCAGTACATTACAGTGTTCTACTGAAGTGGATGGAAACACCGTGTGTTGTGTTTGCACACTTGTTCATATTTGCTCAGTAACATGAACACATTTTCTGACAAATTTCCCACTTAGAACTCTTTCATGATGTATTCTGTAACTACAAAAGGTATTTCCACATTAATTGACTCACCCCATGTTGAGGGACAGTCTGAGGAAACCGTCGAAGCAGGAGAAGAAGCAAACGACAATGTTCCATTGTGTCCTCACTGTGTTCTGCTGTCATAAGAAGCAGTTGGTGCTGCACTTCTACAACAGCACAAATGCAAACAAATTTCACATATCCTGATTTCATGTAAGGAAAATCATCGGGTACAATACTAATGCTATCAAACTCTACCCATACAAATTGAATTAAAAATCATGATGCACTGTAAAATGCATTACAAAACAGATTAAAGAAAGTTTGTGACATCTGAAAACAATTACTCACAAAGTTTTGACTGCCAAAGCAAAATTTACAGTATGTTAGGTAATACTTAAATAACTCTGTTTAATAATTCACTCCATAACTCATATGAGAGTACCTGGCTGTCACAAACTTACTAATTCTAACTCTAATTTAAAAATCAAATATTCTATTCCTGTATAATTTTCAACTCACAGTACACAACAATTTTACTGTCTTTTCTAAACAATAAATTTTCTGTTACAATTAATTTTTGTCAATGCTGTTCTGGGTTGGGACATTGCATGGACTCATAGGAAGATATAAATGTTTTTGGAGAAACATAATATCTCCATCTTCAGCCTTGAAAATAGAGTAAGTATGTTTTACTGGGATGTTGGTATCTACCTATGTGTCCATATGGTGTCCCAACCCACAAAAACAAAATCAACATCTTCACTGCAGTGAAAACCTCAAATCTCACATGATTAGCTTTTGTTTTTCATTCTACATTTCTGCAATATTACTTAAAGAAATGAAGATTAAGGATGAAGTGGAACGAACTATATTCTACTTTAAGAAACTTCCCCACATGGATAGGAAAATAAAATGGTAACCTAAAATAGACAATTCTCCTTACCCAGGATCAAATATCGCAGTTTATGGTGAAGAAACTGGGAAGTGGTCACCTGACAGACCAGTAAAGCGACTGGAGAACAATATTAAAGTCGATATTAAGGAAATACATAGTGACATTGCAAAGAGGATAATGTCAAATGGTAGGTCTTTATATTAACAGCAATAAATCTTCAGATTTATTTATCAAAGAGTCAGTTAATACAAAGCAATTATCTAATTAAAAAATATTCTCTAACCTTACAAGACAACACCCCTGATCACAAGGAAGAAGTGTCTAGGAAATGTGGCCATTTGAAAGCCAGCCAACACATCATCACTCACCCAAAGGAATCTGAGAAAACATGTCTCGCAGGAAATCAGCATCAGGTTCTGCCATATCAGATCTGAGAGATGTCGTCAGAGCTTGTACTTCTTGCCACATCTCTGCTTCCTCCTGGAACTTTTGAAATCTACAAGAAGATTTTGTCTGAGCAAGAGAAATGCAAATACAGATCTTTGTATACAGCGATAATGTAATACTCACATTGCACTGAAACATTTTGCAGCTTCCTTAACATTTTTTGCTGCTTTCTCAATCTGATAAGCTTCAAACTGAAATAAAATAAGCTCATTGAGAATCAATATCTTATCTGCCACATAAATGGTAAGCCAATGTGAGGCTGGCATAGGACTGGACCTGGCATTCTTGTAACACATTTTATGTGCAAATAGGGTACAAGAAGTGTAGGCCACTGCAGATTAAATCAGGCTTACAAATACGGCCAGTAATTGTATATAAAGTAAAACAAAGCCTAGAATTCAATATAGATTCAATGTAGAAATACATTATTATGCGCTGTTAATGATGTGTGCCACACAAATTCTGAAATATTTCTGCACTTGTGTACAATGTTCCGTCAAAAATTGCACCCGTGCAAGAAAATGCTTAACAATGGAATATCAGTATGTTTGTGCAATTGTGGAAAATTTATAAATAGTATGTTCTTGTGGTATGCCAATCTTCGAATTATGTGCACACAGCTTCGACCACTTTAATACATTATCTGTGTATGATAAACCGCCTTAATACAAAGGCAGAAAAGACAATCCTAACCTGTACGGCAAAGTTATCTGGGAACAGTGTTTTAGCCGTTATCATCCATGCCTTCGCCTCAAACGGATCACTTTTAAGAGAGTTTTTTGCTCGTAAAACGAGATAATCCTCATCTGAAATTGTATTCGAATCTTCTGTAACTGGTACCATTATAGGACTTGAAATCAAAACACGAGCTCTTTTCTCACAGACGACCAATTACTATAATTTTCATTTATTAAAATTTCAACCACGGATAACTCTTTCCACTAATTGTTAGTATCAGTCTGTGACAAACGATTATTAACAGATGTATGATCAGAAGGAATTGCATACACAGATGAAAATATTATTGTCTAAAAAGATAAAAATAATATGTCGACAACGAATATTACGGCGATGATAGTCTAAGAATGACGGAAACTCAGCTGGAAATAGTGATTCAACATGAATTAAAGCTTTGTTGCACGAATGCCTATTTCTCAGACCCATGCATTAAAGCTAATAAGGATAGTTATAAATACATTCAGAAGAAACTGAGCACAGGTTCACCTCTCATGCACAGACTACAGCACAAAGTCAAAAGCATAATCAAAACCAAAATTACATTCCAGATAAAATTTAATTCGATTAAATTTTAAAACACTTCTATGCATGCAAAATTTTGGTAATAAAACCTTCATTTAAAATATTTCTTGGGGTACATGCAAGACAATATTAATCTTAACAAACATGAGTATGTCATGTGCCCTCATCAGCCAGTCAACATCAGTCACATGCTTGTCAGAATAATTGCCACAGAAAATATGCAGTTACTTCTACCAAGAAGCAAACGCTGGCATGCCATTCCATGTTGTTGTCAAAATGTAGGAATATCCAGCAAAAGCTGTGATACAAGCATTACTAATGAAGCCAATGTCACAATTGGTATTTCATTCTCTCCCCTTTTGTGCCTACCACAGTAATTATAAGCCAACAAATTATTACCTATCAGACTTGTGCCTTAACTTTATGGATAATGACACCACATTGTAGCAAGCTAATCTGCCAGTGTTTTGGAGAAATTGCATTTTCAGGATGTAGTGAGAAAAAGCCAACTTGCCTCTCATATTTATATTATGTGCCTTGGGACTGTATAAAACATGTTATGTTTGGTAGATCTAGCAGTATGTATAGACCAATGGGACCCAGGCAATAGCTACTGTCTTTGTCCTGGAGACTGGTGTGTAGGATGATACAGACTATGGTTCCTTCTAATACCTACATCTCTGTAGAAAAGATGAGTCAGAGCATAGCTTGATCTTCCAGTCAGGTAACATATATTGCTGTATACATTGAAGTTATAGTTAAGATGTTAAGTTTTCAGTGATTTCTTGATATATCTGTATTATGGATGCAATAATATCTTAAATAATTTCTAATGTCTGAAATAAACATAAAATTCTGAATCAGTGCCACAGTTGAGACAAAAGGCATGAAATTTCCCTCCAGCCCTCCTTAAACAATGAACTAAATACATTATACTTCACGTATAGGTGCTTATAATTTCAGTATGGGATGCACAAGTGTCACAAACTTAATCAAAGTACACAACATGATCAAAATACTCATGGATATGTTTTATTTGTGTTGAGTTACAAGATGATAAGTATACAATGGTGGCTGAAGTAACAAAGAAAAATTAATGAAGTGAACAGAGAACATTAAATAGAATTGCATCAATGGATTACCAAGACCATAATCATTACTTATAATGTCAGTCACTCAGATACTTAATTTCACTGGTTTGTTAGGGAAGAAAAGGTGGAGTAAGCAATATGGGTTAGAAATAATATATACAGCTTAGTACAATAAAAAATGTTAAAAATTAATGTATGCATTACTGAGGATTGTGGATGTACATACTCAGTTCTTGAATGCAAAAATGAAGATACTGAAGGTGAGTAAAGAAAGTTTTTTTTTAAAAAAAAAGATATGTAAATTACCCTTAGAAAGTTAAATATGAATACAATATATCTTATTTTAATCAGTTATGAACTGATATTATTACCTAGTTTTCATCAAATGAAGGAAAATGCAATACTGAACGTTTATCATGAAATACCAACATGAATGCTACAGATTATAAATCAATTCTCACGTATTTCACAAATGGTATCCTTAATGATCTCCTTAACTGAGCCTTTGAAAATGTAAACATTTATACTCTCAGGGTCAAGACTTTTATACATGAAGATTGGCAAACGATCAGTCAGCACCCACAAGTTGCTTTCACGATCCACCTTAAGATCATTAGGGAAAATAAAGGTCTCATTATCAGAAGCCACAAGATGTTGATATTCAGGACTGTACTCTTTCTTCTTGGAATTCCAGCATCCCACACCATCAAGGTTTACTTGTGTGTAGAACACAACACCACTTGGTTCATCCAAGAATGAGGCACTTGCCTGTGTATTGGGACCTCTTGAACCCAATAACTTGAACTCTTCAAAGTTGTGAGGGTCAGTTGCAAGGGTTTTATTCTGAAGAATTTTAGTGGACACAGAGAATTCATTTGTGCTAGAAAAAGGATGGAAGTAAGCAGTTCTGAACCCATCTTCCTGTGGAGCAGAAAGTGCCAGAGAAAACACTCCATCTGTCCACTGGAAATTTATTCCTCCAACGCTGAAATTAACATTCAAAGGATCAATGTGGAAGTAAGGGTGTTTGACCCTCCAAGACTCATCATCTCGAAGACTATAAACTACGATACTGAAACTACCAACATCAGGGATGTAAGCAAAAGCTCCATCACAGTTATTTGGATCAACATCAACAATGATATTAGCAAAGAATGAGTTTTCCTTTACATGAGATTGATTTATTACATAACTATGAATCAAAGTATCAGTGTGCAAATCATAGATATGGAACTGAGGACCTGTCAGCTGCTGGGCTTCTTCCAAAATATCGGACAGGCCAGTGTCCATCACCCACAAGCGGTCACAAGCATCTACTCTCACACGAAAAACTGAGATTAAATGTGTTGTATTCTTAGCGTAGCTTCCTTTTTCAATTTTACTTGCAGGCAACTTGTTAGTGTTCCAGTCAGGATATGGCACCAGTTTAGGAGATCTGTTATTATCTGCAACAAACCATTGATATGTTATGAAAGATAATAATATACACAATTTTTTTTTATCTGTACAGGTTCACAATGTAAGTATGCCAAATTGAAGAGTAAAGATGATGCTTCCCTATGAAGAAGTTACTTTGCTAATATTTTTACCTTCATAATACATCAGTAACTATTTCTAAAATAATAAGAGAAATATTTCTGTCATGAGATAGCTCAGTTGGTACAGTGACTAGGCTCTGATCTCCTCATCCATGGTTCTATTAACAGCAGGGCAAGATTTTTTCTCTTTCTACAATGCCCAGATTGGCTATGGAGCCCACCCAGCCACATATCCAGTGGGTACTAGGGTTCACTCTTTATGGACAAAGCAATTAGGGCATGAACCTAATCACTCATCCCATTTTCTGTCACAGATAAGAATGTGCATCTACTCAATCCTGACTGTGGTTCTCCCCAGTCTCTCCAGGGAAATGTCAGAAAAGGATCTTCAAATAGGTCAGAATTGCTTCTTCTACTTTTAATTATAAATACAGTTATATGAGGTACACATATCAAAGTTTACACATTACAGAAAAGGAATCAAGCATCATACATCTCTTCCCTTTCACTGCTATTAATAGAATTTTACATTTTTGAGCTGACTGATCCAAGTAGCAAGATATGTCAACTCAGAAACTTAACTCACCTTTCAGAGAAATATAATTAAGTGTTGAGGAAACTCCTGCCTTCCAGCGGGGTACTGTAACAAACAGTTTGTCTTTCCAAACATCAAGGCCTAATGGTACATTGTTCTCTGGAATAAAATTTTTGGACTCAATGGCGTTATTCCGTGAAGTGTCATCAGGATAATCATAGTCCACTAGGTTCCAATGGTACACTTCCTCTAGTTTTGTGTTTCTTGCTTCAATGAACAAGGTAGGCAACACTACATACACCAGAAATGGCCAACAAGGTGACAGGTGAACCATATTTCTGAATCTGTGGATACACATAAATATATTTATTATCTTTGTATATCAATAAATAAAACATGAACTGCTTGAACAAACTACATTACTCAGTTTCCTTCTGCATTACATTTATAAGTAGAAAACTGCAATAAAGCCAATAAAAATAAATGTGATACAAATATATTCCCATTCACTTATATCTTGATCACTTTTACAGGTTATAAATATGTAATTACAACAATCCATGTATGTTGTAATACTTTTAAAGAAGCTAAAAAACATTTACATGTAACAAGGAATACTTACAGTATAAATATAACTGCTTGTTAACTGCAGCTGCAAATATCAACTGAAGCTCTCTCTCTCCACAGTTTCACTTATGATATTGAGAAACATTCATCTCATATGTACACGGAAACCATGTTCCACTTTTCCCCTTTTTTCATTGGTCCTCTCAGCTACAAATATGTTAATCACTGGTCAGCCAAATCCTGTTTTCATATCCTCAGGCTATAAACAACAAAAGACACCCCCCCCCAAACACACACACACACTACCTTGATTGTTATTCAAATTTAACCTTCAATTTAACTTTTTTATGGTACATTTGGTGCAATCTAACACCCAAGGTTATAACTGTCACTTTCACTTCCTGCTTAAATGCAAATCTGTTTGATGGATAATTCATTTCCTGTCAATCACACCTTTGTGTAGCCTCTATAAAGACAGGAGAATGTGGAAGCAAGTTTTAGCTATGGCTGCATGAAAAAAAAGGCCAAATGGGTAAAAGTGAAGCATGACATACTTACAATGTTATTTTTCTTCATGGTTGTTAGGCTACAATATACCACCATGTTTTCAATATTACAGCAGTATAATTATCTGCATAAAGAGATGCATAGCTCCCTAAGACAAAAATCGAGAATTGATTATGAAATTACATCAGCCACATGCCAGAATAATATTTTTAATCAGGCCACAACCACTTCCTTCCACATCCGTTCTAATGCATTATTCATTGATTATCCTCTCATTTCATGGTATATAATTTGAACTACTGAAAGTGGCATTAAATAAACCATAAATAGATAAGTACTAATGCCCAGTTAAAGATTAACTCACATCAATTCCTCAAGACAATTCAATTCAAATTAAAGTTTTATGTTAAAACTAAAGTCTTAAAATACAGGTATTTAAATTTCCATTGCATTTTATCAATCAGTAAACATACTTACATAAACAGAACCCGGATGTTTTTCTCAGCATGACGTTGCACAGCCACATATCCACAACAAGGTCACAATATTCTTAAACAGTTTCCTGATCATAAGATCAGCCAAGGCGGGCCCATTTCCAGGCTGCAACACTCTCCAGATCTAACCCTCCTCAAATTCTTTTGTGAATACATCAAGAATCAAGTTTATGTTCCAATACAGCTAGTAACGTTAGAAAATTTAAAGAACATAAGAAATGTTATTGGGAATGTTCATTGTGAAATGCTAGAAAGTATCTGGCAGAAAACAAGACTACCATTTTGATGTGTGCAAAGTCACAAACATAAAACACACTGAACTCTACTGGTACTCACCTCATGTTCAGCTTTATTCCCGAAAATGTTGTTGGCACAGGAGACATCTCCTCTTCCACATCTGTGAACACTTAAACTTTCATACTGATAATCTGATTTCTATCATGACATATATCAGCATATGAACCAGTACTCTCTTGTAACATGAAACATGATCCCCTGTCATTACAACAGATATGCACTGGATCAAACTGACAACATTTTATACAAATTTCCAACTTTATACCTTTCAAAGTCATTACTAAAAAAATTTCTGAAATATCAATCTTGTTTTTCCACTTTCCCTGTAACATTTAATTAATCATATCAATAACACTAGGTTTTAGGGATGTGTTTGAATAGCTGAAAGAAATGTTCACAAATTAATACATGGTATAATTATAACCAAAATATGCACAGGACATTCAAGCAGTCTCTTAAAAGTATTTTTTTACCTGCATTCTCAAAAAACACCTACTTCCATGGAAAACAGTGCCATGCCTCTATTCATGACATGAATTTTCTGATGACTAAACAGTTTGTGACACACACCGAACGTGTGTTCATGTGTCTTAAAACCACCACTCTTAATGAATGATTTCTTACACACATAACACACATGGACTGTCCCCAATTTGTATATACTGATGTATCACCAGAGTACTCCTGTCACTGAATGACTTGTTACACACATCACAAACTTGTGGAATGTGTATGCATTAATGATGAGACCACTTCAGAAGGCAGCAACAGCAGCTTTGAAGCACAACTATAAAGGTGGTACCTAATTTTTTTATTAATTTTTCACAGCACTACAGTTTTGTAAGATACGAAAATTTCATGACAACTAAGTATAATGAATTCTTCTCAGGCTACCAGCCATGTCAGGTGGTTAAATGGTGAAAACAACATTTGAGAAACAATCTTCATCAAAGATGGTTATCAAAATGTTGGTGTTTTCTCAATTAAATTAACTGACACGGCTGATAGCCCAAAAAGGATTAATTACAATGCAGTTTTATCAGCTATCACACATATACGCAGAGAGTTCTACACAGGGACTAGCCTATTAATGTACTTTATTATAAGTTTTTGATTCTTTCTTAAAAAACAATAAAGCTTTTGGGTACATGCCTTATTCAGGGATGCATGGTATGTGAATAAACACGGTAATGCTGACACAAAAAAGTCAACACATTTTTGACACATGTCCACAGAGTTTTGGGAACCACTGTTGTAATGCAATATTAGCAGATCAGCTACTGTCAAATTCACATGTGTAGGTAACAAAGATTTACTGCTTACAAATATGTCTTTTTATATGAGCGAAGTAAAACACAACCCTCTCATTATAGCCTTGTTGATCCAGATCCACAACAGGTTGAATTGTTCCTTACAACTGCCACAATCATGAAGCACTAAGGTGGTCATACCACTGACAAATGGATGTACAATACAGATCCTTCATACAAGATGGTTATCTTCTGGGTTGTTGAGCTGTGTAGTGTGATAGAAGGTAGAATTTGAGGTTGTCACAGCGGTGAGTCTGAAGATGGCTGTCTTCTGGGTTGTTGCGCCACCGAGTAGTCTGGTAGTAGTTTACCGACGTTTCAGAGGTCCTTGCTGCCTCCATCATCATAACCTTGTTGATGGAGGCAGCAAGGACCTCTGAAACGTCGGTAAACTACTACCAGACTACTCGGCTAGAAGACAGCCGACTTCAGTCTGATGGAAGTTTCACCTCATCACGAAAATTAGGCTTACTCACTGCCCTCTTGATGGAGGCAGGAAGCACCTCTGAAATGCCAGTAAACTTCTACTAGACTACACAGTGTAACAACCAAGAAGATGGACATCTTCAAACTCACTGCTGCGAGAACATCAAATGTCGATGATTCAAATACTCCACTACAGCTCCAAACTGAATTTCATAATTATTTAACATCTCTGTAGGATCGCCACTTTAATCAATTACTGTGTTACTTACCTAGTAATAGTTTTATCACTTAGTGCAAAAAGTAACACATCGCTGAGCTAAATCACAATATTTGAATAACACTTTCTGATGCACTACTGTTCACATTCACCAGCTACTTTTCTTCTGACAGCATGGCCAACTGATCACTGTATTCAGTGTAAATCCTTTGAAGATGCAAATTGGAGCCAATCAAAGGCAGAATCTCCCGCAAAAGTGCATGCTTTGAGAAACCCTATAAAATAAATAAATAAATAAATAATATATAAGTGAATGGATTCCTTGTTCAATATAGCATATGTTTCCTGAAAGAATATTTTAAATGTGCAGATGAGGAAGACAGTGAATGAAATATATTATTTTATGATTCATAAAATTCTGTTTACTTAGATACAAGAGTGGAAGGATGAAAACTTATAATACCTTCACAGGCATTCTTTAATCTCAACCTACATATTACAGAATTTAAAAAAATCTCATTCAGCTCACTTCACGGTACAGAGTATTTCTCGAATAGATGATAATTATTACACAGATGATCAAAACATCCCATATTTATCACACAACTGAAAGGATCACCACTATCATCATGAAGGCCTGTCAAAGTATGTTACAGTACAAAACCTTTTCCTACTTGAATTGCCATCACCACGTTCCAATGAACATTATACAACATCTGAAAATAGAAACACTAAAAAGTTTGTAAAATAAAAGTGCAGTAATATGGATATGTGGAAACAAGACAAGTGAGAGAAGACAGCAGATGTAAGAGTGCATATTAGAAGGCAAAGTCTATCTAGCATGACTCACCCTGGAGGAATTGTCAAGGGAGAATGGTCATGATTACAATTATAATTCCAACATGTGTGTACCCAAATGCAAACACTGTAATACAGTATATGTGTAGTATGTAAATATTTGTTGATTATACCATCACAGAAGTATCCCATGACTTGCTATGTTTTGCATGGCTATGAGTTGGCCCCAAGAGGTCATCACAGATTAATCGCAATCGGGTCTCCAAGCCTGTAACACATAAACAATAATTAACAGCTTATTTCCAGACAATTTTACGAAGAGACTGTGTGGGCTGCCAATGCAATAAATGGTTATTTTATTGTTTGGGATCTCTATAAATGTGGTCTTCAGATCTTTGTAACCTCTGCCTCACTTCTTACACAGTAGCAAACACAGCAAAGAATTGTTTACACTCAATGTCAGGGCAGTATTACAGATGATCAACAGTTTAATACGGATTTCAAACCTAGGTGGTGGCCTGGCATTCCAGAGACTCATTAAGTTCTGACTTTGCAAGAGGAGAAAACACAGGGACACATCTACACTCAACTCATCCTCTCTTGGTACATGATCCTATTTTAAACATCCAATTTCCATATAAATATTTACCTGACCTGTGTCTTTCAACAACATTAAGTAAAAATAATACACATTGTAACAGCATCAGAATGAATATGATTTACAAGAATTTCATTACAGAGAGAAAGATCTCTGGCACCATTAGTCTGTTATGGTACATATGTGGAAAATGCTGCATAAGATGAGTTTTTTTTTCTGCCACCTTTGCAATAATCAGTTATTCCTAACTACCTGTGAATATTTCTGTAACTTTTTTGCATTCACTGTACTTTCATTGTTGCTACCAAAGCTCTTTTCTGAAAATTTGAAGGTATAAACTCACCTTCTTGAGTAAGAAAGCGTGCAAGTGCCAGAAGCCAACTGTGAAACTCTTGCTTTGAGTTCAGAGCACGACACGCAGCGAGCTGCTGCTCCATGAAAGTGACTGTGCACAGAGCATTGGCTGAGGATCCCTGTCCCAGTAAACTCACACCACTGCAAGTAGAACAGAGTTCACATAGCTGCTAATCAAGTGGCCCTCATACACATTGATATATATATATATATATATTATAACCATTTAGTTATACACACATGAATTTATTCTCCTTAATATTATTATAGATTCATTACTCCTACAATTACCTGATTATATGAGATTGCAGGCATGCTAATGGTAACCCTCCTGTGTTCTGACTGGCAGAAAGTGTAGAAACAAAGGCACGATGAGCTGAGGAACGCTGTACTGGATCACTGCTGTTTGCCAACACCAACCTAGCAAGTAAATACACATCCAGCTTTCACTAAATGTCACAATTTCTTTTACAATAAAGTCATTAATTAAACTAAGCAATCAGCTTCCACCTCAGAATATCAAGATACAAATATCACAAGAAAATGGAGACACCTTCAACTGGAACACAAATAAGGAAGTGCAGAGTACTTAGGGTGTACAAATGTTGAGCTTAAAAACACAGACTTCTAGGAGGAAATTACAATGCCTAATTTCCTTTAAACATTTAAATCTGTCAGTATACAATAAGGTGCATAAGAACTACAAATAAAACAATGACATTATTTAATGATCTATTTCTGAACACAAATTTCACTCAGACTACATTAAGTTTGTCATATATAAATCTTTAAAAAATGTTGTACAATTTTGTGCAACTTACCAGCTGGAAAGTTCTGCTGAAAACATGTATGCTTTCCCTGTGGACAGAGAAACAAGAGGGTGGCCTTCTTCTGTAAGGGAGCAACTGAGTATAGTCACTACAGAACCTAAAACATACCAGAGGCATTAAAATAATACACAATGCATACGAACATTCATGGCGTCAAATTTCTGAGCTATTGTTGTTGAGTGGAAGAACATTTGTTTGATTATGAGTAGATACTATAACATCCAAATAGTTTTAACTTTGACTAGTATGTATAAATATATGTATATATCAATCATATCAGGCAATCAGACATGTCAATTTGGAGCAGAAGTCAAATGTTCTGGAAACCTATGTGTGTTCATTCTCGGGGAATGATGTGATGGGTGAGCATCAATGGTTGGTATATTTATATAGTACCCCCCAAAATGTATACACATTATAATATGGAACTTCACCTTGTTATTGATCTCCGTGTTTTGTGTTTATGGAACACATGGCCAGTGGTAATTTTGAACACCCATAACACATTTGCTATTTCACCAAGTGCCAATGCTGATGCATGTAATGGTTTAGTTTAGATGTCTTTATTTCATTCATTGAACATGTGTACATCTTTCTGGTAAATCCTGTATATATTTACAGATTTATTAAGGCCCCACCTTCATATATGCAGGAACAGTGGGTTTCTTAATGATAAGACACATTTACACTTATCTCTGCCCATGATCCTTTATAGATCAATTATTCTTACAGGTGGGGTCTCAATTCCGTAAATGTACACACAAGATCAATAATAATTAACATGCCACATCATTCTCAGATGGAAACAGAATGTTCCTGAAACACTGGATTTCTGCTCTAAATAGATGGTGCTGATTACCCAAGAAAGCTTCAAGTCATATATATATCCCCCTACACATTACAGTTTACCTGGCTCAGCCTGCATGATTGGCAGCAAACTCTCATTTCGGACCAAAGCCTTGCCCTTTAATACGTCCCATACAGAAAGATTACCACGACATGTGACAGCCATTACTTGTTGTGAAGCATTAAGGGCCAATCTTGAAGCTGGGGATGACAAAACCAGTGGTGGAAGAGGTCGCTGACCTGAACAGGAGTAAAATACACATTTCTTTGAAGTGAAAGGACAAAATCAACAAAGTGACCAGTCTTAGAGTTGTTAACAAAACTCTACACACAAGACAGGATCACCAATTGAGAAAAGGGCTACTTGAATGAATAATGGTTTTCTTTGACAAGGAATGAGATTTCATACAAAAAACATGCACTTCATGACTGATGAAAACAAATGAGACTAGAGGTTCTAATTATCAAGAAGATGTCTATAGCAGTCTTCTGGATTCTGAAACTATGAAGTTATGTTGACAACCATACGACTGAGACATACAAGTCTCCATTATTTTAGTAACCACCTACAAAACTACATGGCATCACATCCCAGAAGAATGCCACTGACAAATATACAGGACTCAGTGGCTTAGCACAATACCATAGATAAAGTTAAAACAAGGTAAGTTCCTACTTAAAGTCACACGTTAAAATGAAATATTCTTTAAAATAATATATTTTTTTAAATATGTCACATTTATGCTATAACATAATACACACACACTTTACTAGGTGAGAAATAAAGTTGCACAAAATGTAAGCATAGCCACAAAAACAATACACACATAACATACCTGTGTCAGTCTGAAGTAGGTGAAGTGTAGCATCTTCACAAGCAATGACCACAAGCTGACTATTAGCCACAGAACCGCTGACTGGGTAGCCCAGAACAGCTTCCCACTGGGGCATGTCCCCTGAGCTGCAGCCATCAGAAAATACTCTAACCTTTGTAAGTGGGCCAAATGAACTACCACATGCCCGATTTTCAACTTCTAAACGTCTACTTTTGACCAATCCATTTCCGCCACTGATACGAACTACAAGTCCTTTACCATTCTGGAGTCTCAGGGGAGGCAACTTCAGCCCTGGCCCTGAATCAACGTCTCCTACTCCTGGCGGATAACAAACAACATAAAATTAAAACCAAGCATATGACAGAACCATATTTTCAATTTGGACAAAATAAAAAAATAATTGTACAATAAAGCTAACAAAACAGTAACAGTCAAACCTCAAAATAGCAAAACTCACTGGACTGAGATAAGATACAATTCAGGAACATGAAGATGTTAAACAAATAAGATTAGTTCAGCACAGGGGCCAATGATGGAATTCTGAAGGAAAGGTGAAGGGGTATAATTAAACAAAATAGTCAGATAATATGGCTCTTTTAAAACTGTGTCATGTTATGGCAATAAGGATATATGCAAAACCAGCTCAAGGCCATATGCTGGATAACTCAGTCAAAGAATTATCCCGAACAATCACTGAGTCACCAAGAATGGAAAGCCTTCCCCATAGAATTGTGTAAAATGCTTCTACACTTCAAAATCTGAATGAAATTGGTGTCCCTTGAATGCTATCTGTCTTTGACTACTGCCCAGAATGCTAATACTGTACTAGTATACTTTGAACCACATCAAGAACTATGTCTGAGACTGTGACTCACAGGCATGTTGTATGTGTAGCACGGTCTTGCCGATCATCTTCATTTCTGCATTCACACACATTCACTGTGGCTTATTACAATTGTGTGTGTCGTTATTTCTATGACAGTGACTGACTATCCTTTGTACTTGTGTCGTAATGGAACATATGCGTAGTGGGGATAGTAGATCAAATGGGTTGCAATGCATGTTCCAATTGCAATAGCAGAAGAAAGAGGAAGTTCTCCCTTTCACTTTAATTGTGTCAACCCAGAAAACTATAAACATTTTCACCACTACAACCTAAGCCTCAGATGGAAACTAGGGATGTTTCCAATGCTTGCTGGGAAATCAACTGAATTTTAATAATTTCCTTTACACATACTTCTACTGGCTATTGTACTTTTACATTCTCCAGAATTACCTGATAAACCTTCATCACCGGAGGATTGCGGCAAGCTAGTTGGTTGTAGCTGTTTATCAGAACCTGATGTCACTGGTGGTCTGGAACGTTTCACTACAGGTAACTTGGTTCCAACACTGACAGCAGTGTCTATTCGGCGTTTGGTAGTTACTGAAGGTGGCACACTACGACTCACCTTTTGCACTTCTAATCTCCTGCAGAAAATGGTACAGTGTAATTTATGAAGAGAAAACATTACTAAACCTACAAAAACAGTTAGTTGTATGAGTGTATGTTTAAACCCCAAAACCTACAATAAACTGTACATGAAATTCATTACATAAATAAATATGGCAACATGAAAAACAGGCACTGTCAGTTAGCCTCATTATTTGCATCTCATTATATCCTTAACGTTTGGTATGAAGGTATTAATACAAATGTAATTCCTACTGACCTCTTTTATTGAACACCAAGTATTTAAGTTGATGTTGGTCTTCTGAGCAGTAACACTGTGTGGTCTTGTAAGGTATATATCAACATTTTGGAGAAACATACCCTATCCATTCTCACAACTTCTCTGAAATGTCTGTTATCTGCCTACAAATCTACATGACACTACTACCCAGAAAACCAAGATAAACAACTTCATTGTCATGAGAACCTCACATATAAAAGATACATTCTACTCTACTGAAAGTAAAAATGTTTCATTTAATCTCAAATCATTCTATGCTAAACAGCAACAGTCAATATAGCATAATTAAATAATCTATGAACCAACCAAACAGACATATCTTGAATTCAAATAAATAAACTACTCATTACCCATCAGAGATGTTTGGGGTTATCCTTTGACCTAAAACTTGATTATTTAATGTTGGTGGACAGGATGTACTGTTTACAACAGGTGTAGCGGATACAGCAGATGTTGTATCACAAGGTCTGCTGTTGCTACCGCCACTTACATTCGGTGTCACAATATCATCTCTCTTTTCAATGACAATGCGACTCTTTGTCTCTGAAGAACTACTAAATGTAGGTTGCTGTGAACCACTTGCCCCAAATGGCTGAGGTACATCTCTGTAAAAACAAAAACACTGTTCAGTTTGAAACAGGACAACCTCAACCGATCTACAGTGAGATTTTTATGGACTTTGTCCAATCAACAACTAATATTACCACTGTTGACTCATAAAAAAACACACATTATTATTCACAGGAATTAACCTAAATCTTGATTAACCTAAATACGGTCAATGGAAGTTTTTATACTCCGAAAGTAATGGTTATACCACTAAGACTCAGCTGCCAAAGAACAGGATACCATGAGATCAGCATTTAACTATGAAACTTTAAGACAAGCATCCTATCTGTCACACAGCTCTTCTAAAGTTGATGCAGCATCTTGAAAATAATCTATAAATCAATCAATCAACCCATCAAAGATTTTCAATTCATAATACATGCTAACATAAATGCTGATTTAATTATCACAACATTTTTATGCTAACTAGTTTTAAAAACAGTATTTATCATCACATTTAATATCTAAACTTGCTTTCTTATATTTAATATCCACCTCAAATTTCTCAGCCACAAAGGTCCATAACTTAGTATACGTGAAAATAGTGAAAAAACAATCATACAACGAAATATTACCAAGGAAATATCAGTTACAGAAGTTGCAAAATCTGCAAAAAGATGGAAGTGTCATCAATCAGTACTCTACAGAAAACAGACATCTGCCACCTGTCTTAATAAACCACAATGGAAACCTAATTCCAGTAATTCTGTATGTTAAATTTATATCTGATACTCTCTTTGAGTTCTTACCCAGAATCTGGTGCTGGTGGAATGAACATGGGTGTTATGCGTCGCTTGCCATCTGATGTTCGAGTTTCTATTTGTTTGTTGATTGGTCCCTTCATTGGTGTTCGTTGTGTAACTGGCTGCTCAGTGGCAGGTTCAGTTTGGTTTGCTGGTACTACTGGATCCTTCATTTCAGCTTGTTTCTCTCGAACTTCAAGCAACTCAGGAGTCTCCACCACACAAGTCTGGCGAGCAGATGGTGACAGGAATTTCCCATACATCCGCTCATGTAATGTACTCTACATGAAAGAATCTCAGATCAAAGTTGTGTGGATATAAAACACATAAAGGGCAGGCCAATCTACTTAAATACTTTTTCAAGAACTTTGCACAGTCATTCATACAAAAGAATGAAAAGCACACAGAATCTTGAAATATAATGCCAGTGAAGAAAAATAGTCATTTTACAACTGCATTACCTAATCTAAAATCATTTAACTGACAAACTACAAGCACTAAATGCCTGCAAGACATTTTCCTGTAAGGAAAATTCAAGAAAACTCTTACTTCATTAAATAATAAAGCAGGGATAATAAGTCTCATTTTGAATTCAGATACATGCAAATAAAATATTAATACAAAATATCTTGTGATAGATTTTCACTAATTTCCATCTTATAGAATTTTTGTTTTACAAATTAAAGTTTTAAAGTAATCTGCAGTTTGTTATAACAATATCTCAAGGAAGATTTCAGACTTTCACAATGGTTTTATGCTAATATGGAGCCTGTTTCTAACTGACAGTACTGTGTAAATGTAGTCTGTATTGTAGATGTTTCAGGTATCATTCCTGTCTCCATCTTTAAGGTGAAGTGACTACACAGTAGCCCTGCTGATCATAGTGCACAAATGGAGTGGAAAAAGTGAAAGAAAGAAAACATGATTTTAGATGGAAGTTCAAGAACTCTGATTTTCAAAAAGGGCGGTAATGTTAAGAACAAATGCCCAACACTGCAAATTCATAAGCTTCAATGGTAACAAATGCAGAACAGTTGTTATCAAATATTGTACCTTTTCATCCAAGGTGAGTGGTTTGCCTAATTCTTCCTCTGAGAACTCAACAAAAGCCACAGATCCATCCCATGAACATGCCATAAGTTGAAGGCCAGAACCAGACCATGACAAGTCAAGCACAGAGTTGCTGAACAGTTCATGGATGACTACGAGGGGACGCTTCAGAGCTGTAAGCCAGACAGATAAAGATCGGTCGCGAGAACCGATTGCACAACAGCAATACTGCTGTGGCTTGCACCATGATTTGTACGATTTCTGGAGAATGTTAGAGTTGAAACGCTGTTAACAGAGAAAAAGATAATATAAATATACTTATCCATAAAATGTACAGTGTTATCTGACATAAGTACTTTCTTTCCACAGAACAGAAGAGGATTGTCAGACTGAGTCAAAAAGTGATGATGCTGATGTTCTTCTTGGTTTTGATGCCACGCACACTTGTTGAAAGATGCCAATTTTGACATCTACTTTAGAGTCTATATGGCACCAAAACCCTGATCATCATCACCTTTTGCAAAAAGCTCAAATCACTGAGTCAAAAAGTCTTGATCTGTAAATGTCCTTGTTACGCACAGTCCTTAAAAAAGTAAGACAGATTAAAAATGGTTATTACATGTTTTAAATGTTTTTATAACTGTCTCCTCTACAAAGCAACACACAGTGGAACAGTCAAGGTTCAAAACCCTGTTGATCTGGCCTTCAAAATCACCAAATTACATCTCAATTAATTTATATATATATATATATATAATCACATAAAGAAGTATGTCTACACCAAAAGACCTGAAGCATCTCTTATAGCAAGATGCAGCAGACAACATTTATCACACTTATGCCATATTCATGCTTTCAAGAACTCACAGCACCAAGCAAGAGATCATCACATAGCAACAACTTCCCATCCCTCCATCGGAAACTAAAATGGGTTCTGCTCCATAATAAAGAATTTCTGAATGTTGTATGTTTATATTTAATAACTTCAGGTATGACATATGATGACCTCCTTTTCCTCTGCTCATATAGGCAAGGGTGCAGAATTCATTTCTGATGTGGGAACATCTTCATGGAAGATTCCATTACTGCTGTGATATCACGATCATGACAATAATGATTAGAATGGAAGACCAACAGCTTAACAAACATCCCAACCAACAGCAGGGAACTGGTATTCTTTACAGTGACATAGTTTTATCATTGGCAGAGTTGAATCTATGAGAATAATTCACTGAGGATCAAACTGAGAAGTCTCCGAATGACACTCCAGAGTCTTACGACTACCACGTCCCTATGTAAATAATCTAACACTTGAATTCAATATGGCATCCTCATGCCTCTCCTTGAAAAATGGTACATATTTCAGTAATAGCATTTTTAAATATGTGTGATAACTAAAATTAATTAGGATATAATAAATTTATGCCACCATAAAGAATAATTAAATTAACCAGTTAATATAATCCTTCAATTTATTTGTGTAAATAGAAAGTTTACTGCCACTTTTAATATAAACAGGAAAAGAACAGCTTAAAGCTCATGTACATACCACACACGTGACAGCTTTGCGGTGACCTACAAAATCTTTGTCTTGACGCCACCCTTCACGCTCTACAATTTGGGCTGTAGGACCACCTCCATTCATAGCATGTGCAGAAACAAGATACTGACCATCTGGAGACCAACTCAATCGAAGGACGTGAGTTGTCCCGCCACACTGAAAGCAATTACTGTACACGCTTGATTACCTAAGCTAATGGGATGTAATGAAAGCACAAAGAGCGAAAAAACAACAAGAAAATCAATATCTTATTTTCAAATCACATACAAATTATAACATGAAATGCTTGCATTTATGTTACAATCAAAATGTTAGCAATTAAGAGTACACAAAAAAAATCATGAAAGAACAAAAAAAATCATGAAAGAACAAACCAATTTTTATTAAAACTGATACCAGAGAATTAATGTATTTCCTTGGTTTAAGATGCACTTTTTTCACATTTTAAAATTTCTGAAATCAAAGCACAAATTTATATTTGAAGGCACCTAAGAATCAATACAGCATCCCTTCTCCTAAAAATCTATTACCAAACCAAAGATGCGTCTTAAAAAATAAATGTATTCACTGAATGCATTAATAATAATAAACTTTTCTGTAACACAACACATAAATATGTCACATAAAAGGAGAAATAAGCTTCTGTGCATTCAAGTAAACAATTCATGGCATACAAGCAATTACAACTACAGATCACTTTCACTTTGTCAGTAGCGATTTAAGCATGCATTTGACTGATATGGCACCAGTTACTTCAACCTGAAATATATACCTTGTAATCTGAAGAGTGACATCACATAATATGCAAATTTATTTCAAATATTCTGCTCCAATTAAATCACTGGCTATAGCACATAAAATTACTTTGACATTTAGGTAACTTCAGTGTACCAACATTAAAAAAATTCAAGGAGCAGTTCAACAATGCATTTAAGAAGTTTTAGGGAAATAACGCATGTGGTACATGACATACCTCCTCAAATGGCTCACTTATGACAGCATCTTGCTGCCAGTCTGCTGTCCGCCATATCCTGAGTGTCTTGTCATCAGACTGTGATGCTACATATTTTCCCACAGGATCCCATGCCACCCCTTTCACTAGACCTGAATGACCTTTCAAAACCGCAACCATTTCTGAAATTAAATTTTTCATTTTGACAAAATATCTAATGTCAGTAAGAACAATATGAAGCATATATGAGACATCTCACCCATTAAATGTTTCATGTCAATACTCAACATGCCCAATAATGTTCCTATACTTCACACTGTTTGGTCTAGTGTGGAAAATTCAGAAACATCTTAGATGAACACCTCTTATTATGCATATTTGAAAACGTTTCAGTTACTACCGATTATAGTTTAAGACAAAAATGTCTTCCCTACCACCTTCATATTATTCATAAATGTAAGATGCCTAAGTGGTTCAGATAGTTTTTGGAGTACTCACCTGGCATTTTCAAAGCATTCCAAACTATTACAGTGTTGTCGACTGAACAAGTAGCTAACCAGGCATCATGAGGTGACCAAGCCATATCAAGAACGTCTCCATTATGACCCCTCAATGTTGTAGCACAGCGCCATGTTTCAACATTAACCTTCCCACTACCAAACACGGTGTTTCCACCTGCTGACAATAAAAAATATTTAAATACATATAAAATCAAATTGTAATAAAGACAAAAACTGGCATAGTATTCCATAAAACTGAACTAAGTGGTCTGATACAGAAGTATCACTTCACTTTGGTTTAGAAGTGTTCAATTTTAATCCTGGTCAGGAATTTGATATTCTGAATGGGAGTTGCATGATTTTCTTTAATCCATACAGATCAATAAAATACAATGCCTTAAAACAGGTCACAAGTTTTACATTTGTCAAGGGTAGTGTCATTACCTTGCTTCCAACAAAATTCAGAGAACTCTTTTATAGATACGCCATAATTTACATGTTAATTTCAATCAGTAGTTTTTGAGATAATGGTTGTGAACATACAAAATGGCTAAAACAAACTTTTTAGATTACTTTTATGCAGTAGGTCACAACCACTTGTGCCTGCTGACCAAATGACAGGCTACTTAAATTCTTTGGTAGCACTATTTCTGATCATGGAAGTCTGTTCATATCATTTATATCTCTTGAGGAAACAGTATAATAGTGACAAATTATTCTCTTCCAGTCATTTAGTTTAACTTTAAACATGACACCCATCATACAACTAGGTAAACCACCACTATATAATCTGCCATGAGAAGTAAAACAAAAAATCTGAAACTAATTTATCTGACATTCACTGTTCATGTTTCCTTGCTCAAATTAATTTGGATACAATTTCAGATCCCAGACAACTCCTGAAACAGTACATTTAATGCTCTCACCTGATGCATATTTACTTATTTTCCAGATCATAACCAGTTTGTCATCTCCACCAGAAGCAAGAAACCTGCCAGAAAAGCTCCACCGTACACAATTCACACAAGCTAAAATGATAAAATATTCAATTAATTTATAATATTCTGTAATGAATACACAATAATTAGCCCAGTGAATCATTATACATGTTGATGGAGCTACATTATTGAACCAAAAGAAGAGAAGCATGAAATATTTCTGACCTATTACATGGTAATCCTACATTTCAGTGACACAAATGACCCCAAAAGCAATTACCAAAGTCTATAATAATCATACAGTACTGTCTATAGTTATGCATGTGTCATACATGACTAACCAAGTTGATAGATGACAGAATGTTCAACAGTACAAATGCTGCTGCCATTAAGTAGCTTTTAGAAGCATTTCTATAGGAGATACAGGTATGAAAGCAATAATGAAAAGGATGAAAGAGGGTAAGGGACAAAGACATTAATTGAATCATTCCTCATTAAATTTCAATGGGCCTTTTCCAATAGTTAGTTACTATACAATATTAAAATTCTATAAATCATTTCTATCATACAAAATACTGCCTAATTCAAAATTATACATCCATTCTGCAAATCTGTCAGGAAAATAATTGTTTCTGAAAAAAGTTACCTGTAAAAACCAAATAACTAGAATAATCTGTAACATTACAGGCTGGCTAAGACGTAAGAATACATGTAATCACTTAGCTCTCTTTGAATGTTGCTCAAGGAGGGTTTAAGTGGTAGGAATTGCTTAAAATGAGATGTACAAAACTGCATAAAAAGAACTTCATAACTAGTACTCTTCACCAAATTTTTAAAATCAAGAATGATTAGCATACAGAAACAAAGGAAAGAAGAGAAATGCAAACAAAATTTTAGGTTTAAGAAAGTGAATGCAGTACACCACTTTAAAGACTGAATCATGGTTGGGAGAATAATACCAAAATATGTCTTAAAGAAATTTGGTTAAAGAATGGACTGGATTCACCTGGATAAGGACAAAGTCTAGTGGCAGGTTCCTTTGACATGATAATTACCTACAGGTTCTGTGAAAAGCAAGAAATTTCTTTACTAGCTGAATGACTATTCTTTTCTCAAGGACACTGCTCTATGGAATGATTTAGTAAAATAAAAGGATCAGAGAGAATGCTAAGGAACAGTGCTAAAAACTGAGCCAATTACACCAAGACCACATATCTACCACTGTCTCTTAGCAGTGATGACTACACATTGGTTTAATCTCTCAGAATTCCATGATAAACATTGACTGGGAAACCTTTTAATATGCAAGTTCAAAATATCGAGTGATGTTCTGTTGTCAGAAGTCAACTTTGTGTCATGATATAGTAATTATCTTCAGTTTTTTCCCAACTTACCTAAATGATTGTCCATCTGACACAGCATTTTTGGTATATTTTCATCATTCTCTATCTTCTCACTAACGACTGGTGCCATGTTCCAAATAACAATTCTCCCTGAGTCTTCCCCTTTCATAGATAAAGAAGCAAAACCAATATTCCATAAGCCACCATTATATTTGTTAATCCAATTGGTTTATTTCACATACTGTTCAAATAATAAAAGAGGGATCATTTATCAAAACAGATTTTGAGAAAATATTGTAACCTTACCTTGACCACCAGTTGCAAATCTTGAACCATCAGGATGAATATCAATAGAAAATATGGGCAAATCTAAAAAGTAGAAAAATTAAATGTTCATATTTTGAAAACCAAACTATGATACACTCAGTAAATAAAAAAGCATCATGCAACACAAATAGGTTAAGTTATCCCTGCATACACTGTAAACAACACCATTTTGCCTAAAAATACACTGTAATATTAGACCATTACCATCGTGAGACACCCAATTTGGTTTCAATAATTTCATGGCTATACAATTATAAGATTACTCAACTAAAAGTCACTTTATTAAAATTGACGTTCACTACACATAGCACTTGCCCATTTCATGTGTACTACCGCCATTATCGTAGCGCCATCTTTTAGTACCATTCTGAATCAATACCGCATCTTCAATTAATTCCATTTACTATAAATCTAATTATAAGCCACTGCGGGTCTTCATATTTTGTACATGATACATTTGGAAATGATTGCGTCACCATATACATAAGAGAGCCTTAAAATGAATAAACAACATTCACTCTGACAAATACGATCCTTCACGATGTCCCATCATTTTTGTAGGTTTTTATTCCTTTGAAGTCCGCGCTTTAACAATAACTCTGCACTTTGTATCTGGGCTTTACTGCACAGATGGCCTTAGTTTGACACTGCGAATGATTATGGTTCATAAAATGAAAAGTAAGAAGCAGTTTTGGGGTTCTCCAAGATCCTAAACTAGCTTTTGCCAGAAAAGACCAAGGCAAGATTTGAATTGAAGATATCCTTAGCCCTTCACTGTACCACTTACATCTAATGCACCATAACACCATCATGGCAGTTAAACTAACATATTCTTACATACCAAACTATTCTGCATTAACTTATTTATTTAGAGTTCTGTCTGACAACAGGTCCATATGAACAGGATCCTTCCATCCTTTTCTCGGACTGGGACCTTTTCATATACGTTCTTGGCAGATGATCCAGAAGTGGTTTGCCATTGCCTCCCTGCATACACTGTAAACAACACCATTTTGCCTAAAAATACACTGTAATATTAGACCATTACCATCGTGAGACACCCAATTTGGTTTCAATAATTTCATGGCTATACAATTATAAGATTACTCAACTAAAAGTCACTTTATTAAAATTGACGTTCACTACACATAGCACTTGCCCATTTCATGTGTACTACCGCCATTATCGTAGCGCCATCTTTTAGTACCATTCTGAATCAATACCGCATCTTCAATTAATTCCATTTACTATAAATCTAATTATAAGCCACTGCGGGTCTTCATATTTTGTACATGATACATTTGGAAATGATTGCGTCACCATATACATAAGAGAGCCTTAAAATGAATAAACAACATTCACTCTGACAAATACGATCCTTCACGATGTCCCATCATTTTTGTAGGTTTTTATTCCTTTGAAGTCCGCGCTTTAACAATAACTCTGCACTTTGTATCTGGGCTTTACTGCACAGATGGCCTTAGTTTGACACTGCGAATGATTATGGTTCATAAAATGAAAAGTAAGAAGCAGTTTTGGGGTTCTCCAAGATCCTAAACTAGCTTTTGCCAGAAAAGACCAAGGCAAGATTTGAATTGAAGATATCCTTAGCCCTTCACTGTACCACTTACATCTAATGCACCATAACACCATCATGGCAGTTAAACTAACATATTCTTACATACCAAACTATTCTGCATTAACTTATTTATTTAGAGTTCTGTCTGACAACAGGTCCATATGAACAGGATCCTTCCATCCTTTTCTCGGACTGGGACCTTTTCATATACGTTCTTGGCAGATGATCCAGAAGTGGTTTGCCATTGCCTCCTTGTGTGTGTGAATGGAGTAATTGTTGGGATGCCACGGAGAAACCGGGGAAGCCCCCGGAGGAAAACTCGGTGTTGCCTGGACCACGGCCTTTCCCAACACAAGTTATAAATTCGGGCACCGCCGGGAATCGAACCCGAGACCCCAGGATTACTATGGAAGATAAATACATTTACACTGTGTTACACTGCATAGATAGAGCAAATAATTAATGCAACATAAACTTTCCCAAGAAAGTAATCTGTCTGGCATGCAGTCAACTTACCAAAATATGTGCAAGTGCACTGATGACAGCACCAGATGTCCCATCCCTAGTGTGAACTTCAATAACTATCAATCAGCCAAAGTGGTTAGCTATTGTTGTTTCTCATCAAATTCATAAACAAATTTTGGACTCCAGTTTCTTCTCTGAATATTTCATTCTCAATCCAATCCTTTCTTATTCTTCTCCAAATACTTCTAAGAAATTTCATATCCACTGCTTTTATATTTGTACAGGTCCATGATTCAGTGTTAAATTTACTTCATAGCTTTCAGTTCCGTATTATTCCTCTTATAAATCGACAGACTAATTTGCATTTTTCTATTGGTCTTCTTTCCCCTCTGAAATTCACTTCACAAATATATAAATTTGTCCACATCTTTAACTGACATGTCAAGAACTCTTGTAGGAAAATGTGTCTAGGTTTCTTGATATCCGCAATGACAGTCATATCCTTATTCCTTTACAAAAAGTTCCACCAATTTAGGTTCTCTTCAGTTTACTTTCAATCTTTAAGACACCATGTGCAACCAGTTAACATTGTGATCACACATTACTACTATGAATATGGTATATGTGCCAACATTGAGAAAACTGCCAGACATGTCTATAGAGTGCACAAGAATCACAATATAGTCCTCATTGTTTTATACAGCTTTTCACGTTCATAATTTCCATGATCATTCATCACCTCTAATACAATACTGTGCACTAGAAATTCCTGTTATGTACCCATTTATGAAGCAATGTAGCATCAAGTCAACCTTATGCTATTCAAGGTCAGGATGAGCCTGTTCTGGCTTGAATAACATAATACAAAAAGCCACTTGCACCCCACTTCGCTATAACTGACAATAATTGCAGTTACAGCAGGTCATTAATACTTGTTTGTAAATATACTTACCTAAAAGTACTGCTAGGCCATATGAAATCAGAAATTAACTTATAGATAAGGGCAGTGCTTTACATATCAAGAGTTACTATTACAATTGGTCTTTTCTTAAAGAGAAAAAATACTAATTTTGGAGACAAAAATTCTAAAAATTCAATTTTGTCCTTAGAAATAATATTATTAATGGTCTGGGAAGACTGAGATAGACAGAGGAGTTTAGCTGCCAGACAAACCACTTAAGTTAAGAAATAGAAGAAAGGGATTTATGCCTGTACTGTAGGTCTCCTGGCCACATTTTAATGGTACCAGCATGCTGCTACAACATACAACCAACTGGACTGAAAATAAGCCATAAAGCATGGCTGATGAAAGTCAAGTTGATTTTCATTTTGACAGATCCAACAACATGCACATTAGTTTTTATATTTTGAACAGCAAATTATAACTGTTATAAAAGTAGACGAACCCTTCAAAACTGATTTTAAAAGCGTATTCATTGAGAAATGTACATGAACAGTTTTTAATTAAAGCATACAGATAAACACAAAACCACAAGACTACACAACACAACAACCCAGAAGACAATCTTCATACTCACCGCTGTGAAAACCTCAAATCTTACAACACATTCATAGCTTTAAAACCACTGGCAATTTCAAAACCAACTCATTTTATACCTGACATACTCTACTTTTTTCTTTCATCAAATGTCAACAGCAATAAATCTGCACTGGTAAAGAAAGCACAAATTCTGTATTATCACATAACTTACAACATGAATGGGGAAGAAATTGAATATTCTCTAATGAAAGAAATATGACAAATACACAATTCTGAATATTACACTACCTGCTACATTATAAAGTCCACTCCATGAATCACCATAAACAGGAATAAAATGGGTGCTACTTTCTACACTTCTTGCACAAATTTCATTGCTGAGCTGAGATTCACACTGCTCCACTTGGTAGTCATTCTTTTCAAGTCTTAAGATATAGATGAACAAATTTACAGTAACATTTGCAACATTAACCATAATGTTCCTGGAATAATATATTATAAAATTGGTCCTTTGATTGTATCTGAGGAATTACTCTTTGGAATGTGTTAATGGGGAAATACCAATGAAAAATGAGCAAACACTAACACTTGCATCATTTCTAAAATATTTTATTAGGCTAAAACATGAAAGGAGAAAAATAAACTATGACTCTACCCTAGAGATGTATCAGATGCTGAATTATTTACAAGAATTCATATTTACCCTAATTTTATGTATAAAGTAACATAAATGTCCCAAGGGTAGAGATGGAATTAATGGAAGGATTGGCATTAACAAAGTTTCACCCACCCACCCTCCTCAAAATCATGTTTTCAGCAGTTTCACCTGGCAAGATGCAATGAATAATGTCAAACAACTTTTTTACATCTTTCTTATATCCTATGTGGGAGACGTGACTGAATGAATGGACATTAATAAGGGGCATACTACAACAGTAATAACTTACAAACACATTTACGATACTTCCATGGACGAAAGATAAAGCAGATTAATGTACTACCATTCATGAATTATACACCCCTGCAATGATAGTATTAAGTAAATCACATGACTAACTTAGGTGCAGTGTTCAAATGCTGGTGGGCAGGACAAGGTCATGGGTAAAGAGGCAGCCACTTTTCAGAGCCTGACCACTGAAACACTATTACCATATTTTCTCACAACATTCACTGTTATTGAATAACCAAAATTCCATCATTATACTGTTGTTCTTAACAACTGTGTGATATTTAAAGTTATTTTTTGAAGTCCGTAGATCTAACTATCATATGGTCAACAGAATATCTTTTACATACCTGAAACACAAACCACACAACAGGCTTCTAATTGGACCAAAGGATGATGATTTGAGAAAATATGGTATTCTCATTGCTTAATACACTAAGATCAATCACACTATAGTATTATATTTCTCAGGTGCAGATTCACGTAATTTGTCCCACAGGTCTGCAGGCATCAACTGGCCACTGCAGTCAAGTGCACAACACAAAAAGGAAAGGACAACACAATAAAAATACAAAGCTCAATGATCAAATAGCCACATAATTAAAAAAGAACAAAGAATATGTCCCCCCCCCCCCACAAAGAAACATCACAGTCAAAGAAAACAAATTTTGGCATCTCGTCACTGATATTTCACTCAATTACTCATACACAGCTTAAAAGAAAGTATCTTTTTCCTCTCAGAGTTATGACAATCGAAACTTAGTGAAGTAATGTTATTAAGTTATGCTGCTATGTACGAACTGCTGACCCAATGAGCAGAGGTCAGCGCTATTTGCTTGATGTTGCTGTGGCAGCGTGTCATCTTGACTGTTACACAGAGGAGTGGAGCTTGGTACGCAACCAACAAATGAAGCCCACACCTATGCAATAGCTCACTTCTTCTTGTTCTTGTTAGTGGCACCACGAGGGGGTGTCACTGGACGTCCAGCATTGAGGCCACCATATGCAAACTTGCGCTTATCAGCCGGCTAACAACAAAATAAAGATTCTTGAAAACTCTTGATGTGCATCAGAAGATAGATGAATATTAACAGATTAAAACATTATCCATTACCTAATGGCAGATGTTAGCACGAGAGAACTTACCTCCACTTTCACAAAATCAATTCAGAAAATACTCTTACCATATGCCTCAGCCTTGGTGACATCTGATACAGAATCTTCATGTGATTCAGTAAGCCTTTCTCATCACAAGCATATGTTGAGGTAGTCACTAAATCATTTTATTTATATACATTAATCTGATTCATTTAAATAAAAATAATGTTAGTTAATAAATGTACATTTTTTTAAACAAATGTAGATGATTGTCCTCTATGAACAAAAATAAACAGATATTGAGGATGCAGTATCTGTCCATCTGCATCTTTGAAACAACACATCAGATTTGGTATAGACCCCAAATAGTAGATTTGTCACATACAAAAAAACTCAAACCTCAGTGTGTACATCAGCACTCATGCCTGTAAAGTAAGTCAAGATCACTGTTAACATTACCTTAAGTATCTGGAAGGAGCACATAAGTGTTTCATCCACAGACATCATGGCACCAGCATTGTCGAACTCACCACAATAGTTGGGTGCTGAGAAAAGTGTGACCAACTGCCGTTTGGCAAAGAATTCGTAACCATCTTCCACAACCTGAAATATTAACAAATATTTTAAATGTCTTAGCCAGTAAGCAGTCTTGCTAGAAACAGTAATATGAATTACTATAAAAATTAAATGAATGACAGGATCACTTCTGTATTTATATATCCTATCGCACGGTCAATTTACTTTTAAGTTATTTACTTACACAATTTCAACTACAAAGGTCATTGTGTCAAATGAGATGAAATGACGATATTGGAATGTGGCAAGATTTTAAAAGAGATACTTTCATGGCATCTGCCAGAAGAGAACAAGGAAAACTACAATCAGCCAGTATACCAACTGTGTTTTAACTTTACAAAGATAAATATAAAAATTACAACATGGCAGACAAACCTTTTCCAAAACCATTCAGTATTATGTTCTATGGAGTGTTATAAGCCAACATAATATCATTCCACGAGCCTATAAATGCTTGACCCCACACAATTTTCTATTAGCAAAAATAATTTGGCAATATAAAATGTACCATACGTCCAATTCATCTTACCTGATGTGCTCTGCAAATCAAATCAAAGTCATGTTTATGCAAAAACTTGGCAACAACCTCTGCACCAAATGTGAAAGACACGCCTCGGTCATTTTCGCCCCAACCCATTGTATCCTGCCAAGTAAAAAAAGTGAAGATATTCATTTGTAAGCAAAATTACGTGAAACAGACAGAATCAGAAGACATGAATGAAAGAATAACTAATAGGACACCCATCTAGAATAAAGATGACAGCTGGACATCAATGCAGAAGTACCCTTGATGTAAAAAATGCAAAGTATGTAAAAACACAATTTTGGGATAACAGAGATATTACAGCTATTTCATTTATACTAAAAATTTCTTCATAGCACAAACAAAAAATATTTACTTCTATAAACGAATTATATGTCATATTTTTATTTGGAAAGTACTCAATAAATCCATATACACAAAAAACTGAGATTTTTGGAACCATGGGTGAAAGAAAACATCTATGGGGTGTACAACCACCAATTCAAAAGTTAATGTTAGCCTGAGTTTAGCTAAGATAAAACACTTGAAATCAGACTTATGAAAGCTGCAAAATTATGCTACTTTGGGTTACCATTCTCATTAATATGTATGACTCTGGTATTTTGTGTTGTATAAAGGTACAAAGAAGGACAAGAAAGATCAGAGTCTTTTGTTCAAAGTACTGTTTCAACTCTCTGAATGTTAATACTATTAAGATGTGTGGATAAACTTAAAGAGAAAAGGTAGCATACAGTACTTTAAGATATTAACAGATTACTGATTGTGTCAATCTACTAAAGCCATGTCAAAAACCCATCAAGGAAATATCTTACCATGATATAAACATCTACCATAGAATGTAATGTTCGCGACTGTAATCTTGAGACTTGTGGGGTGAGGAAGTGTGGTGAAGGAGGAAAGATTGCATATGCTATGCATTAGCTTTTAACGCTTTGATTTCCTGCATTCCTTGCAAGTCTCAAGACTACAGTAGCGAACAATACCGTAAGTAGATTAATGGAAAAAGAGGATGCAGAACCAGTAGTCAGGTTGTACCACTATATTTTCAATAATGATTTCATCCACCCAAGAGTGAAATGTAATTATTAGGACAATGTAAAAGCAGAATTATGATTAAATGCTAAAAAAGACAAATTCATTAAAGTAATTCACAGAAATAAACTAGTGCATGAAAATAACTCAACAACTCCTCAAGTCATATAAAACCAATGCCAACCCCACAGATGCAATTGGCTTCAATCTGTAGCAATGCCAATTCCTTGGCTCACATGTCCAGTAGCATAAAAGAAAGCAGTGGGCAGTTTGGTAAACATATCATAAAAACATGAAGAACTTCTTTGTTCATCTGGAATAAGAGGGCAAGTATCTTTCTGTTGAAAATACAACATGTGGTAACCACAACATATGCAACATCAGCAGGGATGACATATGGGACATTACATGGGCGAGGAAAACTGTAACTGCCTATTTATACTAATTCCAGGCTTAAGCAGAATACATACTTTTCATTTCTCCATTTTCCCACAAGCACATTCACTCACCCTATACTTTCAAAAGCTTAATCAAAGAATAGCCTACTATCTTTATGGAACCTGTTGGTTCATCACCGTGTTCATAAAAGCCTGTTACTGTCCCACAAGTACACACAATTATGAAATTCACAGAAACACATTTCCACTTATTTAACCAAAGAATAAAACCATGACAAAAGTGCCATGCATATGGAACTTAAGTTGGGATGACATTATAAATCCATAAATCCAATGTCTCTGCAGCCCATATCGGGCCTTGGCCTCCACCCATGTGGCAGGTTTCTTCGTATCAAAGTGTGAATCTGTGAGTAGTGAGTGACCAGCCCACTGACTCTGCACAATTTCTACTCAAACCTGATTTGACTGCCAGAGTCATCTAGCAGTCAGAAAACTATTTGGGTGAGAAATGGCCGCTGTTGAATTTTGCTTACGAAACATCTCATATCATGCTTGTAAGGTCTTTTCTACGACATGGGACCGCCAGCTTTACTTCCCCTCCGAAGAAAGTTATGCTACCGATTTTTATCACCCTTAAAAATCCATCGACCTCAGCCAAGATTGAACCCACAAACCTTGGGTCTAGTGGCGAGAACGCTAACCACTAGTCCACCAAGGGTGACGACATTATGAATTTCCATACACAATACTAATAACTTAACAACAATGGTTACTTGCAAATACAGTACAATAATCAGGTATTTATTCCTACCACATTAGTTACTTTTTATTCAAAGCAACTGTAAAACACATTTCTAAGATGTTTCATGAACCCTCATTCATCATTGCAATGACACAAAAACAAAAAGCATTCCTTTTGGTACATTAATATTACAATACCTTGTCAGGATCTGACCACAACAGATCACACAAAAGTCCCTGATCTGGAACATCGGTTGGCCTCATAATTCGTCGAATCTGTTCCATACTTTGTAGGTCCGGACTTAGGCCACCATGACAACAAAAGATCTTTTCATCAACAATTGCTGCTACTGGGAGGCAGTTAAAACAATCTGTAAATGTTTTCCAGAGCTTGATATTATACCGCCGCTTGCCTGCAAACAAATACCAATAAAATGTATTATTTACATATAAAGATCACTGTTCAGTAGTCACTGCACCAAAGAATAGAGTTACAGGCAGGTAACCCCAGGCTTTTACAAATAACCTTACTATGCACTATTACCTTTCCCACTGTCAAAAGCCTATTCCTTTTCTATTTAGGGTGAACACAAGTTTGCTTCAAGTAGCAAACAAAACTACAAGCCTTTAATGCAATGCAAATTAATGTACACTGATTGTCATAATTCCTTAATTGGTTTGTTATTTCTATAGTTTTGGATATTATTAATAAGCTGTGCTAAAAATGGTAGGTCACTCAATTAACTAAGGCTGGAACTGCATTTACCCTCCAAGCACAAATTATTTTATCAAGATTTGTTAATTGAAATATTCAGAACTGTTTATTGTTCTGAATCACATTTAAATTTTAGGGAAAAACTGTACTGAATTTGTATTTTTACAAGCAGCTGTAAAAAAAAGGAGGAATAGTATAAAAAGAGGAAAATTTTCAGAAGCCCAAACGCATTAGAAAGTAACAATTTCATGTTGCCAGAAGCAACATGATTCTATATTATGTTATAGAACTAACTCTAGGCACCCAAAGTTTATTAAATACACCAACAATACAAGTGATGAACAAGTAAATAACAAGGTGAAGGTAGTAAGAATGTCAATGTTCTGTTGACATCAATGTCTGCCAGATCTCTCGAGGGATATTGGGGAAACAAGAAATTGATCATAACAGAGTATTGAAAATACATAGTAACTGACCATAAAACGTTTAGGATATCTACAATGATTGTTTTGCACACAAAACAGCAGTAAAGAAATCATATCTTGTCTCATATCTAAATCAATGTCCACAGTGTACATTCAGTAATTGGATCCGTTGGTTTAATCACAGACAAAACATGCTTACTTAATTGTAACATTAAACAAGGCAAATTAATCATACAAAGACTTACATTCATCATAGAAGCCATATATCCTATTTATGCTTGCACATTCATGGTTACCCCTTAGCAAAAAGAAATTCTCTGGATATTTGATCTTGTATGCAAGCAGAAGACAAATTGTCTCAAGTGACTGCTTTCCTCTGTCCACATAGTCTCCAAGAAACAAGTAGTTGGACTCAGGAGGAAATCCTCCATATTCAAATAGCCGGAGTAAGTCATAATACTGGCCATGAATGTCACCTGAAACATTTGTAAAGAACTGATAGCCTCATATATACAAACAGACTTACAAAAAGAAAGTAACAGAACCCTGTGGTACAAAAATTCACACAATTATGGGTTTATTTACATACCACATATTTTCAGAGGAGCTTCTAATTCCAGAAGAATCGGTTGGGAAAGAAATATTTCACGAGACTTCAAGCACAAACCTCGGATCTCACTTTCCGTTAACTGGACATTTTTCCCGGGCCTTGCACCACGGACTGAAGATAGAAAAGCATTGCATGCCTCAAGTGATAAAATACAGAGTGGCCTATGTAGCCATTTATTTACAAAACAATAAACAAAATGTATACTTTCAAAAACAGAAATTATAAAACAAGAATTACTATGGAAAAAACAATACTCAGTCAAGATGTTCTAATATCATTTTCATGCCCACCAAGGCCAAAATGTACACATTTTTACTGGGACGCATTTACAAATAACGGGTGGAAGTTGAGTTGTCACAAAATCCGAATGTAAACCAACAAATTGAACTATATTTTTACCTTCTAATAACCGTGCTATAATACTATCAATATTCAATTTATCTGTTTCAGCCATCAGATCTTTAAATATTAAACTGAATAAATTTATTTGTTTGCACTAATACTTTACGATGCTACAGTTACAGTACGATTGAAAATTCCCAGTAAACCAATTGATTCAGCACTATAAATGGAGGCCCTTTTCCAGTTGGACTGTAAAGTGACGTCAGACTGCGTACTTTCCATTGCTACTGTTGGGGGCTACAAACGTTGGCTCATGGTCATGACAATCCGTGATTACAAGCGTTCCTCACCGAAATTAATTTTGTCCTAAAGAAAATCAGCTTTCATGGCGTGTTTATTTAGATTAACATGTATATCTTGTTAATAAGTAATTTAATAGGCTGTGAATATAATGATTCTCATGAATAACTGTACAGACCGACAGCTGGCTTCCAGTAAAACAGATTACGACTACCTGATAGCTGTCAAATATGGAAACGGTAAACATGTGGAACAAAATGAATGTGCTCTCTGTTGGTATGTTTATGATATACACATACACACATTACTAATTGAACATCCCTCGTTGATTCATTATGCACAGCTTTCAAATTAATGCTAAATACAAATTTTAAATTCAGCAAAAGAAGTGACCAAAACAAAAGAAGCATAAACCCTTACTTACACTGTGCTATGTTGCTGCCATCCCTTAATTAAAAAAAACACGACTTTACCATACATCTATTTTAGCATATTAAATACATTAATGAGGCTAAAAAGACTGCATATATTTCTTACAATACAGTACAGATAAACCCTGGTAAATTAAAGAAATGAGTGTCTGAAATTATCCACACATTTAATTTAAAATGGTACATGCTGCATTAGCAGTAAAAATAAGAATAAATTGCTAGGTTATTAATATGATAAAAAAATATATTATTCTCACTATTGATATAAAAATTACTTTCTTTATATAATAGTCATGCAGAGTTCAAAAGCTTGTACACACTTAAAAGTACATATAAAGTCTTACATGGAATAGGTGTCTTTGTATTTAACTATTAAATACATAATTAAAATAATATGGCTGCTTCTTGTCTACAATTTGTAATGGGATGTTCTTAATGGCACTACCAAACAATATTAAACCTATTATATAACAGCATAGTAAATAAAACAGAAGAAATATTTCTTCTGCCATACAACAGTTGATAAAAAATAGTAATACATACCAGTATTTAGTATTTAAAAATAGATGCCACATTAAAGAATATAGTAATATATGTCTAAATGCTTACATTTTAAATAATGCGAAACTGTGTAATTGTATATATATAAAAAATCTAAAAATACAATTCATTTCTTATATACATTAAAAAAATTGTTAAGTTACATTTTTTAAGGTCAAATCTATATAGCAGCTTGGGCACACTCCTTGCTGCAGAAAGGCTGCTCATTTCTTACAAGGAACTTGCCACCTAGCAATGATTTGTAGCACTGAGAGCAGCAAAAACATTCAGGCAACACATGCCAGCTCAAATCCTTCCATCCCACACGCTGATCTCCAGCTGCTATTTTCAACTTACAAGTGTGACAACTCTGAAATAAGAAAATGCTATGAGTACAAAATGTATATATGTTCATACATACAGAAAATAAAACATTTTTGGCAACTCAATGATAAACCTCGTCTCTCAACGTGATATCACTGGAAAAAATAAGCCGGTAACAGCAAAAGAAAAAAACACAAATTCTTGTCCTTATTAAGATTCATACCTGTGTTTGAAGATTTCCAGCACCAATATTTTTTATAAACACCAGCTACTAAAGGCAGCATGAAATAAGAAAGAGTGCAGTCAATTTTAATACCTTCCATTCCAAATTCCTTTCATAATATTCAATTTTACTGCTTTATTAGCATTCTTGGAACAATATACACTATCAACTACATCCCCGAACATTCCTTTTCAATGCAAAGAATGTACCAACATTAATGTGAGTCTCCAAACACATATACATAAAGTCATAAAGGTTTTTGTTGAATTTGCAAGTGCACAACAAATAATTATTATGACTGCTATGTAACATTGGCAGAGTGTATTACTTTTATAACCAGAACCTGGTTGCATGGGCCAATCCAATATGCAGTTAAGTCATGTTAGTCTCACAAGTCTTATGAATAAAAAGACACAATTTAAAGTAGCATTAAAAAGGTACTTAAATACACACTTGTTTTACTCTGCTGATGTATTTCTAATGTTTGAAAATTACTCAAAAAATGTTTTTTAAGGTTTTCCTGCCTTAGTATAGTACAAATAGGTAGTATAATTTATTTGCTGTAAATGTGTGGATTTATATAAAACAGTTCATTAGTTTATGTGAAAAATTTATAATAGCTTGAATTGCACTTGTACACAGGTACTGTAATTTTTATGACTTATTCCACATCATCATATTGTCACCTGATCAACTTGTGGATCCAAGGAATGCAATAATATGTATGTATTAGGTATGTCATATGCTGAAGAAAGTGTTTCATGCAAAAGGCTTCTTGCTCATTAACACACAGTAAAAAACTACCTTGGTTCATTCTCCATCATGTTATCAGACAAAGAGAATACTTTGTTTCTTTAGTGAAACTCATGTTAACACTGAATTTAGTATGCATTGCACTAATACTGCTAATGAATTTAATAAGTACACATAAAGTTTTAAGTCTTTCTATGGGAAGAGTACACAAGACACAACAGATGATGTAAGGGAAGAGACATAACATTTTGAAGACCAATGATGATATGACTTTGACTTCTAATCAAATATGTTGCTCTGTGATGGAAATAAATTTACAAAAACTCATATATTAACAAATGGACTCAAAGACATAAGTTACGAAAATCAGTGAATATCAGACACTTTATCATGCTGATAAACACTGTTGTAACAACAATCTCTTACCTTGCCATATTTCTTCTGGAAACACTCCAGACACACAGGCTGGTTATCCTTCGGAATGTATTGCTTCCCACCGAGAGGTGTATCACATTCATAGCAACAGAAATGCTTTACATGAAATGCATTACCTTCTGCACATGTATACTCTTTTACAAAGATCAACTGTGAATAAAAAACACAATGAATAACCTTAAATAGATTAAAGTTTCATCTTAGCTGGATGCCAGTTCTAATGAACATCAAAGAAAAAAAAGGTCAACCTGTCAATCACTTCGAGGATTAAAAAATTAAATCCGTGGCGTAACAGCTCCAGAGAGCCAAAGCCAACTAGCTTGACTGCTGGCCTCACGTTCACATGCCTAAGCAGAGGTGAACGATCATTCAACCAGATATAGGGTGACGTGTGGTCAGCACGACGAACCCCCAGCCAGTGCTAGTTTTCCTGACCGGATTACGCTACTTATTGTAGCTCCCCAATTTCCTCACGATGTTGGGCTGGCATCGGTCCCATACACTAGCCAAAAGCTCATGAGAAAATGTCTTTTCCCCCCAGACTCGAACCAGCACGCATTCCGTATCGCTGGTCCGAAGCATGACGCCTCAGACCGCGCGGCTACGGCGCAGGACTATCATTTCGAGGACACAAATTGAATATATGACATGGCCTTCTTAGCAGACAGTTCTGGTACCTAAATAAATCAAATAACAAACGTGAGAACTTGTAAGTGAATTCCTTATTGGCTGCTCTGTGTACAAGATTAACATTCTATTTACAGTTTTGAATACCAACACTTGTCACTTTGCAAACTAACAGAAAAATACTCCACTGATACAAGAGAAACAGTAAGCAGTATGCCAGTCACCTAAATTCATCTTTTTTTTATACTTCTACTGCACAAAAATGTACTATTACATTTATTATCTTAAGATATGTATAATCACTTTATTTACCCAAGTTATATTCAAAATCCCATAGTTACCTCTCAGTTTGATTGGTATAATAAAATAAATCGTACATACTTCATCACAAGCAAAGCACCGAGGAATGTTCAGCAGTTCTGCATAATGACGGCCACAATAAACATCACCTTTATGGTAGAAGTAGATTAAATCCACCAGCAATTCCTATGTAACAAACAATATACAACATCAGGGAAGAGTTTTGAGAATAAAATGAACAGAAAACACCTGAAGAAGCAACCACTAAAAACATTCTTTTGCTGGGACAATTTCTTGGAAAAATCAACGACTGCTTCCTCCAATATCATAGTCAGCAAACCTTTCACAATCATCTTTACATCTTAACACTAAATATCTGCAGATGATCTTAAATAAGCCAGAAAATAAATGTGCATGACAATCATCACACACAGCTGTTTCCATTTATATCACTCTGTGAAGTTATTTCCACTCTTGGTTATTCATCTTCCTCTCCAACTGCAAAAATCTAGGCATATTACATCTTATATTTCTGCACCCTGTTCTATCCTTCAAATAGCATGTCTTCATTTTATAACTGGGTTAAAAGTTAACCTTAATATTAGCATTTTTTATTTTTAAAATATATTCTAACTGTATTACCATTAGCTGACAAATGCACTCACCTCACATGTACAGCACACAAAACATTGTGGATGCCAAGCTGCTTGTTTGCCCGCTCGTTCTGCCAACACCGCAACTTCACCTGCTATTATTGTTCTATTACATTTATGACAATTCAAATGGTACTCTTCAAGTTGAGATGATCCATTTCCTAGCCCTGTCATAATAATGAGAAACATCCATAACATCATAAATATCATGAGAAAATAACAACATAAAAGTAATTTTGGATACCAAAATATTAGTATAAACTGAAGACATACAGCACACTAAAGGTTAAAAGATGTGCCAGACTTCTTACTGGGCTCAGATGACATTACACTTTTCTTTTTATGAACATGAAGCTGCCCCACCACTTATCTATATCAGTGGCTGCCAAATTTATTCACTCCAGAAATACCTACCTTAAAAAGGTTAGATAGAATATGTGAAAACTTCTAAAATATTTTTCTTCAAATTCTGTCCCTTAGAAGAGTCTGTCTCCTTAAAGACACCCAATTGGCTTTTCCCAAACCCAGACAGCTAATCCTTTACTCATTTTTTCACATATAATTTCCCTTAGAAAAGTAAAGAAAGCTGCTTTGATTTTTGCCTTTCAAACTGTACTGGGATACTGGGAACGACCCATTCTTCAAGTGCCTGAGCACTGCGGGTCACAACTTTTTTTAGTTGGCTCGATCTGTAGACATTCGGTAGAACTCCTTGGACGAGGGATTGGCCCATTGCAAGGCCTCTACCTGTACACAGGACAGCATAACACAGAAAAGTACAGACAAACATCCATGGCTTGATTGGGATTTGAACCCATGGTCGCAGCGACCAAGCAGCACAAGGCCCGCGCCTCAGACCACGCGGCCACTGTAGCATAATAAAAAAAGGTAATTTGTCTATACAAGAAAGAAAAGCCATCAGTGTTGTTTCTGGAGGATTTATCTTGTTTGTCATTTTGTTGTTGGAAAGATTCCTGATTGATGAGACCAAGAAACATTGCAAATGTATTATATTAAAATTTATATGAAAAAAATGCTTATACCTGTCAGCTGCTGAAGTTTTCCTGTAAGTTCTTGTTCTATACATTCAGGTTCAGGTCCTTCCTGGTTTACCAGATGACCCTGCTGCATCACAAGAGCAGACTTGGGCAAGGAATCTCCAGCAATAGGTACAGAATGTGCTACTTGTTCCAAAATGTTTGTTGAGTAAGGCAAAAACTTTGCATCTTGAGGAATACTTAAATCCCCTACCTGTGGAAAACTAGGAACATTATTTGGACACTGAGGAAGAGAACTGACTTTTGGTACATTATGAATGCCACTGTTTATGGGGCTAGAATGTAAAGAAGACTTCTGCCCCGAACATGCTGAAGAATATGCAACATTGTATGGATACTGTTCTGCAGACATGCCCCTGTCTTGCTGGAAATTACCACCGACATCAGCTTGCTGTAGATGCGTAAGTTTTGCATTATCACTGGGCACTTGAAAAATATCAGTACCATCACCATGACTTTGAATTGTGGTAATGCATTCATCCTGAATAAAGTTACCATTTCCATGTAACAGATTTGAAAGTGATTCAGTGCTCTGTGGATTCTTTGTTTTTGTATTTGCTGAAAATAATACACCTGCTGGGTGTCTGGAAGCTGTAATAACTCCATCTCTTGCAACATGTTTATTTTCCCCAGGAACATTATTTTCTGTGATTGAGCCAAATGGGGACATTTGTTCACTTGGTGTGGCTTGATCAGATACTTCCCTTGCATTGTCCAATGCTTTTGAATGCTGACTAACAAGTCCAACAGGTATTTGTGTGGAAAAGGCAATCTCATGAGCCTGTTGTTCTGATACAAATGTCCCATCCCTAGCATGTGTATGGCTAGGCTGTCCAACAGACACGTGAGTGGGAAAAGGCACGTTTATATATTGCTTTCCATCTTCAGCAGCCACTGCAGCAATGACGTCTCCAAATGTTTGAGCAACATGTCTACCAGGTAGTTCTGTGGAATACTGTACACCTTGGTTGGAATGATCTGCTGTTGAAGAAGCCAAATAATGAGCCTGTTGATCAGCAACAACTGGGGCATCAAAATAACCAACATGGCGGGGATGAGGAAAGAATGCGCTTGGCGTCTTTAAACCCAAGTTTGTGACATTTGAAGGAAGGGAATCAGAAAGAGGGGGTGGGGGAAAGCTATCTGAATAATTTTTGTCATAATTTTGTGGAGCAAAAGGACGTGGGAGTGGAAGTGAAGACAAGGACCTGAGGGACTGAGCAGACTGTGAAGTTGCTATTTTAATGGGTTTACTCTCTCCTGTCACAGATGACTGAGCTACTGTAAGGGACTGATGTTGAGTCGGTCCTGAATAAGGCACTCGTTGTTCAGTGTAAAGAACAGGAACCTGTGTAAGAGAAAGTTAAAACACTGAATTTACTGTTATACATCAGTTACACATGAAAATGAGTTTACAACAATCACATAAACATCTAGTTATGTACTCTCCACTATGAAAGTTTAAACCACCTCTCTTTCTGCTAATATAAGGAGATGGTTGAATTAAAACAATTCTGACGAGGAATTATCTTTGTGGACCTTAAAATTAAAAACCTTTATGTAACTATAAGGCAAATTAAATATTGCTGTAAATTTTAAATACCTTCGTCACTCGACCTTGTCCAACAACATTGTTCTTCAAATTTTCCAAATATTGCTGAAGCCTGAAACATAACATACACATCAAAACTGAATTTTACTTTCGAAAATAAAATAGCAAATCAGAGTTCTTAAGCAAAAAGTTCCAAAATTGCTCTCAAATATTCAGACATGATTCTACTGTTATATTGAAAAATTTTCAACTTCTCTTCAGGTTGCAGCAAAATTACATCAATATTACTTCCTATAAGCAAGCTTCTCAAGCTGAGAGAAACTATCCATCCACAGACATTGAGCACACACTCAAAGCAGTGCGCTTTGAAAGTCTACATGGTTTGAACAAAATAGGCTGCAAATGCAAAACAAACTTTCTAAGGTAGAAAAGATCTGGAGGGGAAACAAATGACACTCATGGTCTTGCTACTCAATGGGGAAGAAGGGAAGAAATACTAATGTAATTAAGGAAGACACTGTCCAACAGACAAGATGGAAAGTAGTAGTGATATATTTTACACGTCTTGCTGTCTGGCAACAGGAAAGAACAGTGCAATTTAAGGAGTCTCACAGACTTATTTACTGGTGGCAGAAATGGGATTTACCCCAGAGTGGATGGGGAAGCCTTCATCATGTGAACTGAAGTTCTGTCCAAAGAACATCTACTCAGACCATGAAGGAGAAAATCATATGTTCTCATAGCAGTGAAGAAGTGTACTTGTAGCTAGTAACAACAATTTGGATGAGCATGCTGCCTCCCTCTTCATAGCTGAAGAAGGCAGCATGCAAAATTCACAAATTTCATACCTTTAATTCACTTACATACTAACCCTTTAATCTCATCTGGAGTAAGACCATGGCACTTGGAAGCATCTATATCATGTAAAGGTACTTGTTTCTCTAACTGTTGGCGTCGATATAGTGCACCGTCACTCCCTGATATTGGAAGCTTAGAAGAAGGTAATTGGAGCATATATTGTGCTGCCTGCAGATGGAAAGCAACACTATCAGTACACTTCAATGTCAAGACTAGGTATACTGGAATAACAAAAATACATTCGTATTCACATCAGTGATCTCCAATTTCCTACTAGCAATTTTCCTTGCATTGAAATTACTAATTTGAAGATTAATTAAGACCATGACAAAGATTTTTCTTTCAAAAGTTCATGGTTATTCAGCTGATCAAGAAACACCCTACTTTACAGAACCTGAAAGTTCATTAACATTTTCAGAACAATGCACTGCTGGACTTTATCCTCAGCCAGTTAGCTTCATAGACTTCAAATTTTCATGGTGCTGAAAATGTGGACACACACACAAAACTGGCACAGGTTTTTCTGCAAGCCCTTCAGTTTTCCCCTGTCAATAGCATTCAACAGCCATTCCATATTCACTCACGTATCATATAGAAGCTAGACAATAGGCATGCTAGTAGGTGCAGTTCCATACAGACCTATTTTCCCCTCTCTACAATAATAACAATAACAATAACAAACACAAAATTGTCCTTAATCATTAAGGAGCAAAAAAAATCTTACCACACACACTCAGTCAGGAAAAACTGTATACATAATTTTCACATGTTTTTAAAATGACTGCAACTTACCACATCCTCAGAAACATCAGGTGGAACCCAATCAAATGCAATGCTTTTACTTCCAGTAGAATTAGAATTTCTGCTGGCAATGCCTGAATTCGGAACACTTACTGATGTTTCGGGCACCTTGATGTTTAGAACTAAGAGAAAAAGAATGAAGGCATTTACAGCTATTCCAGGCTTTGCATCTGTCACTGTTTCTGAACTACAAACAATGAAGACAACTGTCTTCTGGGTTGTTGCACTGTAAAGTCTGAAAGAAGTTAAACAGTTTTTAAATGCTTGCTGTCTCCATCATCATGGCAGCAAACACCACTGAAACATCAGTAAACTGTTTACAACTAAATTGTTTAACTTCACATTCTACAAACATCTTATCCATTTAAAATAAATTTTCAGTTAAAATTTCCTTTATTCCTGTCTTTTTACCTTAGACTGCTTATGGCTGTTTTATTGCAAATATCTGATAGACAGTACAAATGACGGAATATGCAAACACAAATTAAATATACTTGGAGTATAATTACAGAAATATTTCAATTCTTTAAAACAAACCATTACAATATTTGGAGGAATGCAAGAGAGACAGATTAATTCATGCCAGGTGCAGCATCTGGTACTTTGTTTGTGGATTGTTTGCTATCAGATAACTTAATTTATAGAATTAAACACTTTTAACTTACATGCACCTATGTGTTTCTTCTTTCCAGTGCCACTATTGGCAAAGAGGATTTCAAATTGTTCATAACCCTCATCATCTCTCACATCATGTTCTTCCTTCTTGCATTTGCAGTTGCGGCACAGTTTTCTGCAAAGTCACAACACTCATAACAAAGACAGTGCAGTAGGATAAGCCTGAATCTTCTAACCTCAGTCAAACTTCATCCAATACAGAAAACCAAACAGTTACTGTGTAAGTCTAATTAAAAGCAAAATATATTTATATAAAGAAAATTTGAAGTATAAAATACATACTGTCAGAAGCACGTGAATTTAAAATGAATTTCAAAGTTCCAGTAATTCTATACAAATAAATCTTTATTTTGTTACTACCATTTATTAAAAATTTATTCTCTTGAACTCCTTTCTTACAGAAAGACTAGAAATATACATTATGGCAGAACATTCATACAAATATTTTCCTGCAGTACAACAGAATAATTGAACTATTTAAACATATAAAATATGACCACAGGGTGGCTAATATGTAAACCTCTATTTCAGATTTTATTATGTGTATTCATGTCAGTAGATTCTGAATGTCATGTGCATCAATCCATGTGTCTATTGTCAAACACATCCTGTAATACAATAAGGGTGCTTGTTCAAAATTTCCGAAAAGTTTCTTTGCCCAAGTATTCACTTCTACACCCCCAGAAAATGACATGATATTACTAACATACCTTTAAGAATGAACTAATGATGCATAAAAGCATTGGAGCCACAATTCATGCACCATGAACAATAAAATTTGAAACCCACTTTAACCAACAGAGGCAGCAGAACAATAACACCTATTGCATACATTCAGTAAGTACCCAGTTACAATACCTGAGACTAGCTATTCTGATTGATGATTCTCACAAACATCTTTCCCTCCAGGCAAATACCTTAAAACCTCATACTTTACAAGAGTACAACAGCATCTGAACTGAGTTGTCAATTGTGAATTGACTGATTCCTAGTAAATTTATTAAAACTGCCAAGAATCACAAACAATTCACACTGTACAACCCTAAGAGACAAACCCATACATATTTTAGAAATGGCATGCCCATTAGGTCCATCACTCAACTTCTAAGATGAATACATTCTACTAATCTCCAGAAATTTACCTCCAAAAATGTAGATCTAAACCTGGACAAGCATCTCCACAGCTCAGACAAGGTGCACCTGCTCCAATTTCATGTGCCAAACGATGAGGCTGCAGATATAGAACGAAGGTCTTCATATTTCTGATCATATAAATTACTGCATATATTGAAAATTTCACTCTCGCTCGGATCTCATGGTTAGAATGCTGAATTATAACCCACAAGAAGGGATATAAATACGGATATGATAAACTACTATTATGATTCCCATTCACCTGATCGGAGTGGAATGCATTTTAAAACAACATGTATATGTTCTACATCTCAAACCACTGAAAGTGTCCAACAAAATCACGCACTACCAATTAAATATACTATTCATGCAGTTAGCCTTGCAATGAATATCAAATCCACATGTAAAATAAGAAGTTATGGAAAGATTAATTTATGATGCTACTTCCTTCAAATGCACTAATTTATACAGTAAGACAACAACAAATTAAGAATTATGAGCCATTATTAGTCATACATTTGATGCTTGGTAAGATCGGTTTAAATTGATATAGGATTTGTGACTTTCGCGGCGAGTACAATCAAAATCTTCTCGGGCAATCAGCCGCACCGACGTTTCGGGAACCAACTCTGTCCCCATCATCAGGGTTCTGATGTGACTCACATCAGAACGTCGGTTTACTACGGTAACCGGCTGATAGCCCAAGAAGATATAATTGATTGGTTTAAATTGATACCTAATACCTTACCCAAATACTGATTCTAAATGTTGGAACAATTAATTATACTCACTCTCTTTTTCTTACTTTCCAACAATAACATCCATTCTGGGGTTTTTGGTGTTTCCTCCGAAGTGTTCATTTTTTTGTTGAGCAAAAGCAATTGTAATACAATTTTATTTAGTCTGCATAACAGTGTGTCTTATGTGACATTACTGATTTCCTCAACCAACTGTATGCATGGACATTATTTAAAACCACTATGTGGCAATATAAATTCTTCTCTCCGTCCTACGGACGAAAGAAACTACTAACCAGCAAAACCCAAATAACCACAAATCAGAACTACGTATAACTAAAAGTAACAGTATAAAGTCTGTCTATTCCATAGATAACACATCAACGCCCATCTACACAAACCTCACTCCCGACACCATCTCCTCGTAGTACAGTTAGTGACGTTAATAGTCACGTCCACACTAAATGGTACTTCTACGATCTATGTATTGTCTGTGCTTACAGTGTTCATAAGCAACTTGCAAATTCAAAGAGAGTTTATTCTGCTCACACCAGATAGTAATATCCATGACACAAACATCTCATAATGGCATGATACTTTTGTTGCAAATTAAACGAGAGACCAAATCAGGCTATGTCCTAATCCATGAAAAAAGACTAAGAAGAATTAAATTATCCTGTTGCCTTGACATTATTCATATTATATGTGGAAGGCATAAAATGATGAATTTGACCAAATATGGAGTTATATCTTTCAGCTATTCTCTTCTATGTGCTGATATACGTTTATCACCAGTGATAAGTTTAAGGTTGGGTTCGGTTGGTGATGCGCTTGGCAGAGAAACGCAATAGAATGATCCTCCTGCTTCACAGATTTCATAAATCGTTGCGTTAGTATTACCGAAGAAGCGGAAGTTTATGGTATAAGTTCGTATGACAATATGGAAAAGAAATTTCTTGAAAACATGTCTAGCCATTCTCTACGTTCTAAATACACGTAATGTCGACGATGAAAATTTGTAGTTTGGTTAATTGAGGTTAGAACTTTGGTTCAACACATATTCTCTTCTCATAAGTTACTGGTTCACTTGTTAATTCCTTGAAAGTGTCGTCTGAATTCTATTTGGTTGAACACTTCTTACCAGAAATGAACCATTAAACGGCTTAGCGACTATTTCCTCTTTGTTGAAGATTCAAGGCTTCTGACCATGGCTAAATATTCTTACTAACTTGTTCCATCGCCTAAATTATAAAATTCCACATACGCTATTGACGAAACAAAGAAAAGAAATTGCAACTTTTATCAATTATAAAATTTGCTTACCTATGCTGAGTTTTCCTTTACATGTATGGTATATTTGCATTTAATAAATGAGATACAGTGAACACAAAATAACTCCAAGCTTGATCTACGTCATAGTAAGAGGGGGAAGGAAGATTGAAAGGGCAAGGGGGAGTAAGACAACACAATGCCTGAGCATGTATATTGTAACTGAAAAGATGTACTTTTACTTTCAACACAATCAGCATTTTGATACGACTTTTACACTACACTGTACAAAAGTACTCTAAATTACTAGCAATAGCACATACCTTAGCCCACATGTAATAATTCCATGTCCTATAATGTACATGGAAGGACTGGGTTATTTTGTACGTGCTATGACTCTGTAGTATTCCCCTCAGTTCTACATGAGTATTTGCAACGATCAACAAACCTAAGTTATTTTGCATCCACTGTAAATAGATCTTTAAAATGGTATATATGTATTTATATTCTCATCAATTTGTACAGTATACAAACTTTTTTTAATAAAATTCAAAAAGTTTTCTTTATACAATACACACATAATACAATTATAATTCTTGTCTGAACTGTGTACTCATAGATAATGTTGGACATATTATTAAAGCATTGTAATGTATGAAGATCAAGCACCAAAAAACCCAAAAACTTCAACTTCTGATGAAAAGTGGAGCATTACTAGCTCCTTCGGTACAAACACTTCATTCTGAACACAAGGAATCTGGTGCTACTTCAGCCTTTAGTGTGTATCTGCACAACCACGGCTCATTCCTGAAAGCAATGACAACTGGAAACTAACTGAGACACTAACCAGAACACAGAACAGAGCTAACCTAGGAATTGTACAAGTCTTACAGTTGGACCTATAATTTGAAATTAACATTTGTTAACAATGCTGCTCAAAAGACAAAGTATCACCATAGTTACCAATCTAAAGCATTTACTACACTTGCCTAGAAAGAAATCAAAACCGCAGTTTTTCTGAACATGACCCTCTGCACATCTGAAACTATTTTAAACAATACTTGAAACAAAAGAATTACATAATCACATGAAAACTTATGTGGAATTCAGAGCTCAGTCCTAGAAGTTGTAACATCACTGAAATCATTAGGTTACTTTGCTAATCATGCAGTTATCCCTTAATGTCATTAGTAAACCTATACTGTATTCAATACTGAACGAAAAGCCATGCAGCCTAATAATGATACAGTTTAATTAGTATGGAAATTACAACTATGCTAATACAGTTTCAGATATATAAACAAATTCCAGTTATCATGTGCTGATTCATGTATTTACTGTTTTCTGCACTTTCGATGTTACTGAACAAGGAATTTCTTGAATCACATTTTAAGTGTGTCTCAATTCTTCTATTGAATCAGGTTATTTTTATACACAGTATCATTCAAGAATCATCAAAGATAAGTCAGGTAATAAAAGGTCTGGAAATCTGGGAGGTCATACAGTTTAAGAAATAATTTGATTAACAAAGAATTCTTGCAACCTTTCCAATATGACATTTTTGGTATGAGGTAACAGGTATAATAACATAAAAAAGTCACGAGGATGTGACCTTGAATCATCTGCCCAGGATTAGGTCTAGTGGTGAGTTATTATAAATATGGTAATGAATTTTTTACTTAAAAAGTATGAGATTTTTTTAAAATAGCTGAGTGGTTTAATTTCTGAAGAAGAGCTCTGCTCCATGTAGGTGGGAAACATTTTGAGTTTGCACAGTAAAGTTCAGTAATGCATTACCTGTGCATGGTACTTTTTGTGTAACTAAAGACACCAAGGTTAGGTTTAAAGACTAACCTATGGATGGAAAGATGTTGAAACAGACCAGCAGCACAGTCTGCTCCTTTGTACATTCAATCATCAAGCTCCAGATCCAGTTCTAGATCCAAAATCTCTATCTCCTTGAATGTATTTATAACCGCATACCGTGAGAAATTCATATAAAGTTTCCGAAACCACACGTACTGTGAATGGTGTGCAGCCATTGCTGTCTGTAACAAGACATGATTAATTCTTATACAAAATATAATGCAAATCAAAATTCTGCATTCATTATAATGGTTGAAGAACTCTTTAGTATATTCCTCTAGCAATGTATGAAATAATGTAGTCATATTCCATGTAAACACATTTTTAGTTGCACAAATTATTTTAATTCCTAAAATAATTTCTAATGTAAATAAATATAAATTCACATCATTGACAGACAAAAAATTGCTATAAATTCTCAATATAATGACCACATTACAAAATGTGGGCATAACATAATTCTAGAACATAGCAACAGAAACAAAAAACTATTCATATCAGATTACATCATCATACAGACGTTTCAGTAAACTGGGTTTAAACCCGATTCGTTTCAAAAACACTACAATACATGCAAACTTGTACACATGTCAGGTGCGACCACTTTCAGCACCTGATGCAATGGGATGCAGTTTTGCTGGGTGTGAAGCATGTACTTACAATATTTGATCACCACCAGTGCATAAATAGTGCTTTTATTGACAACTGTCAGGGACATCTGGCTAGAAGATCACCTGTAACTATGTACATTTTAAGTAATAGCCTTGTATTCTTACCTTCAGAATATTGCGTTCCGTAAGTGAAATAATGTACCAATATGATGAAAGGAGGTAGCTAATTGGAATATCCAGCATGGCTGAGTACTTCCTCAATATATTGATCGACTCCAGTGCATACGCCTTGCAGTCTATTTTCAACAGAGAACAATGACATAAGTACAGTATACCACAGATAGATACATTTTATATGCATATACTTATGACATCCACTTTAGGATTTAATTGTCATTATCTCCAAAATAAATGTGTAAAGAAAATGTAGCTACTAATATTTGACTGCAATTAGATTCTCAGAGGGTGGGTTATTTGATTCATGAATGAAAAACTTTATTTGTATATGGATAGACACACGCTAGATCATAATATATGTACAGAGTATTTGTAAAACTTACATGGTGGGAGTTTCCGTTCCATACAGAGGTATGCCATAGCATAAAATATAGATACATGATTCTGATGCCGACTAATTCCAACTTTATCAAAGGTCATTACCTGAAACAGAGTAGGGTTGCAATGCCAACATCTAAGGAACTTTTACACACAAACAGAGGCACTCACAAAATCAGATATTTACAATGTATTATTTGAAAGCAAAATTTTGTAAAAACATAAAAGCGTTTGAGAACATTACGTAAACCACAATAGAACATTTACAATTATGCATCTTCAAATTCATCATATGGTCCCCATGCAAATTCATATATATGGCAGATTTTAGACATGAATTTAAGGCTGAAATATTAGTTTTGCCTAATTACAGGTAATATGAAATACAGACCCTGAAGCAGCAATCATATTATTTCAGCTGTATTTTTTGACACACCCTCCTACGCTGGAACATCACATTATTCTTTATTCTTTACATCATTACCTCCATGAGGGTGAAAACCTATTTCTGGGAATGACAGTTTCCTACCACAAAATTAGTAACAATAGGAGATGTTTAGTGCATCTTTTAACCAATACAGGCAAAGCGATTCTGCTATGTCACAAATAAAGCTATGTAGAATGGACAGAACTATTCTACAAAACAAAAATTACGGTAAGACCATGTTGGATGAAAAAACTAAGAAATTTTTCAACTGATATAAAATTTATAAACATCACTTACAGTGTCTATGGACAAAGCTTCAATATGATTCAATAAAAGGTTTGCCACTATATCTTCACGCCATCTCACCGCAGGATCATCAGGAAGATATGAATTCCTTGGATAAAGGAAGCAAATGATGTCAAACAATTAACATAATTTATACATTACTAGATGTAATGTATGTACATTTTGTGTAGAGTGAAGATGTAGGCCATTATATACATGAACTGAATACATATATATCATACAATGCATCAGGCAATGACAGCAGTTAGGGCCAGTTGAGCAAACAATGACTTCAGTTCCCATTATTGCAACATTCTGTTCAAACAGTGACCTTATTTCTCAGTGTTACATGTTCTATCAATGATGACAGGTCACGTGGGTTGCCTAGATCCCATGAAAACATTGCCTAAAAACAGACAGACTGACATATATATATATATATAGAAGGTAGCATAAAGTGTTCCTCACTCACAGTAGAGTGTCAAGGACTGTTTAAATTTAAATATAAATATTGGTTTGAGTCCCTCTGGATCAAAATACTTGCCTGAAAAACAAAGGAGAAAAAATAAATAAATAACTTCTGTGGCGACTAAAGCAATGAGTATTTACAAGAATAAGGTATAAATATGACAGCAGATGGCATGCATGCATTATCTTGCTTATATTTAACACTGACAAAAAAAAACACAACCTTGGAAATACTTTTTATCTATGAACTATAGCAAAAAATTGAAAGATTTGAAATTATGATTTCCTAATGTGTGGTAACAGCAGACATAATTCTTAAACAAAAGTCTTATCTACCTATTCATTTATATAGACTTATATGCCACAACTTCTACTTCTCTTTATTAACGAACAATACAGCCGGCCCTTACTTGCATAACGTGAT